ATCAGTATCTGCAATTGTGAATGGGTAAACATCAGCAGCAGTCATGTCAATGCTAAAACAACCACTTCAGTAATATTCTCACTAGCATGTATGTGTTATCATTTAGACTTGGCCTGAAATTCCACCTCGTCTTACCTTGTCAGACCATTTCTTTTTTAAAAAATTATGATGGCCAAGAATTATGGAAAATTCTTAAATTCAATCTTATTTTGGAAGTTGGTTCTTTTTAAGAACTGCAGAAAAAAACAGCTTCGAAATTAAGTCTAAATTTTTCACTATTTCTACACAGATCTTAAATTTTAACACAAAATAGTTGTAAGGGCTAAGGCTAGGTGACATTTGGGCATATTGTTCCTACAGTCCAGATATTTCTCCCCCCTCCCAAAATGCCAACATGGATGGAGGAATAGAACAGAGATTTGAAAGGATTATGAGTTCCTTTAATATCTGCTTTTCACAGGCTTCCACCAATGTTACTTTGAACCGAATGACCAGCAGATGCACAAGAAAAACAAATAAATCCCTCATATTTTTGGATCTAATTATGATCAAGACTGCACATGGGGGAGGGGAACTCAAATCTTTCTCTGCCTTTTTGTGGCAGTGCATCCGTGGTCGTACAGTATGTCATAAACCTAACAGTTCAATAACTGATGTTGGAGGAGTTCACTTGGGTCACAGCTGTTGGGTTTGTTCTTACCTGCTCTTGCACTGAGCAAGTCTGATCAGTGAGCACTGCTAGAAAATTCTGCTATGACTTTTCGTCGGCTGCCACTTTCACTGCTGGCGGCTGTATGGTTTTGGGCTGCGGTTATTAGTATTTCTGATGAATTGCATCATTCTTTAACCCAGATCCCAACCCCCTGTCTTCCTGGACACTCCGTCTGCCTGCATCGGAACTCACTTGTATATAGGTGTATTAAAAATCCTTCAGAATTTTCTCCCTTGCTTTAATATATTAGTTTTCTGCTGGAACTGCTCTAAAAGAACATGATTTTATGCATCATCAATGCCTAAGATGAAACTGCAGCTGCATAACTGTTCGGCCAAAGTTTATTGATTTGAGTACATTTACTGCCACCTCCATTCTTCGGGTATTAAGAGAATCTGAAGCTGGTGAGATACTGTGCAACAGAGAGCGAGGGGTGGGGTGGAGGCAGACACAAACCAGCAGTTAGATATATAGGTTTTTTTTTGCTCTGCAACTGCTCCCGATGTAATACAAGTGCTTGCGAAAGCTCTCAGGGTGGACTGATGCAACCAAAGTCACGACGTGGTTATGGATCTTGTGCATTGGGCAAAAAATATGAACCGCACGAGTTCTCAAGTTTCCCTTCAACTCCTGCAAACAAGTTTCGCAAAGTTCGCGGCAGTCAGGTCCGGCTGCGTATTTTCACAGATTTTTGACATCTCGAAAAATGTTTTGTTTCAATAGGGGATCTGCAAATACCGCCGCAACAGAACGCCACGCAGTGCCGCGCTTTCATTTAGCTGTTTTGCATATCAAAGCAGTGACAATGAGCGGAACAGACGGTTCTCAGGTGATCGGCTGTTTTTCAGCACATTGACCTATTTGGCCCTGGAGTTTGCGGTGTTTATTGCAAACTTCCAAACAGCGCTGCAATATGCACCGACTCCGGGTCCTAAAGCCGACCCTGTTCAATCTGCAGCTCTCTGATCAAATGTTCTCATTTGGATTGACGTATACACTTTAAACCCCAGAACATGTTACATGTAGGTTTTTTTAATATCCTTATAGAACACGTCTGGCTTATCTCTACGTTGTGTTTATTTTAGTCGGTTGCTATTTGACACGTCAGTATTCTTTCATTCCGGCTGCAGAACATTCACAGGAGAAGGAATATCCGTTGCCAGGACAGGACGGCTCTTCTCTGGGTGCAGCAGACACCCATTTGCCAGTGATTAGAAAACACAGCCAGAACCTCAGGGGCCCCCAAGCACTAAGTAAGCGTTTTGCTGCATATCCAATCCATTTCAGTGTTGCGTTACCAGACCAGATTCAAGTTTGAAGAATCTTGTCCTGTCTTCACCCCTCCCCCCCACCCTCCTTACCCGTGACATATTTACCATGAAAAAAAATCAGCCCTATCGGAACGTGCTCTTGGGCAGATACAGCGTAAGAAAATGATCACAATCACCAGACATTACGAGTTTAGCCTCTGAGCCTCCTGCAGCCAAAGATAAGCCGAGCTCCCACAGCCAACAGCTACTGTATCTCTCTTGTCAAACGGACCAATGCCAAAGAAACAGAGCAATCTGAAAATGTGGAAGAAATATACACCGATAGGGATGTTTATGTGATACAAACGGACTCTTTTATATCCCAGTCTGGCTTTTAATGTACAGGTTCTGCGTAGACCCTGAGAAGTGCTATTTGTCAGAGGTTAGAAGTATGTAGATTAGGTTTTTATAATTATGTAGACATAAAGGCGTTAGGACCCAAGCGTCACACGGCTGGTTCTCTTTGAGTTGGTCTGTATGTCCTCTTAACTGTAGGCTCAGAGCCTCTCCCTCTCCTTTACATTAATTTGGAGTGAAAACGTACATTTTAAATATATTCATCGCGAGGTTCTCAGAGACAAAGAGGTCACTTCAAATAGCAATAGGCGGAATGAACAGTCGAATCGCTTTGACTGAATAGGATATAGACACAATAGCGATGTGAAGTAAATCAGACAACTATCAGCGAAAACTTCGAAAAACAAAAGAACATTTATAACATTGGGCGGTGGGCAACGATATTGTGTTTACACAATGCCATAGAATATAGATTTGGCACAAATACAATATGCTATAGCATTGTGCAAAAAAAATGGCCTTGCCCATTATTATAGCGAATAATCCTTTTAATATATAAAAATATACATTAGAGTGAACTGATTAGATTTTAAAGCTAAGCTCACCGAACTGGAAGTCAAATTCTATTTTGCAAGTGATGTTCTAGGGTTAGGTAGGGTTGTTTTTACAATATTTCTGTAAAACATTGTAGGGTATATACACGATATTTGTGTACTAAGGTGAATCGATGTATCAGATAGGTGGTTTATTTACAGTATTTTACCTTTAAAGGTTTCAATGTATCTCTGATCAACAAAATAAACCACACAAGTAAACCATGCATTTTTTTGTGCAGCATAATGTATACAATATTTGGATAAGTCATTATAAAATTGGACAGTGCATCTTTTATATAAATATATAATAAATATAAATATGATTTTGCTACTAGCATAATAAAAATAAAGTGAAATGGAAGTGCATTGCCTTCTTCACTATACTTCACAGTAAGAAAATCTTTTGGGATGTCGTCCCAAAGTGAAAGATGTTATATCAAATGTAATGATTATTATCATAAGTGTTTAGAAATGTGGCATCACTTAGGGCACACCACCGTGTTTGACACAAGATATTTACTACAGAATATGTCTGATTAATATCCATTGACTAGGAAGTGAAATAAATCCTGTTTAACTATAAACATTTTCAGTTTAGCTTTCTTTCCTACAACGTTTCCCTTCACTGCTTGCTACAAAATATGTTTTTTTACATATTAATTTACTATAAGCAGCAATGTTGTATTCTGGAAAATGGTTACAATTATGTAATTGTAAACATTGATACAAAGCATCTTTACTGTTTCAAAGTCTTGCTTTAGTTTATAAATCTCCGGGACAGATTGGAAACCTCGATTATTGTGTATTACTGTTTATAAATACTTTGAATATAAGTGTTTTGCACTTTGTGCCCTTGGCCACTTTGTTGCAACAAATCGTTTTGTTGCCGAATATGTTTAGAACAATTAATTTCTCGGACCTCAAAAGATTTAATTCTGATGCGGGTATTAAACCTCTTTGCTCGCTTAAACATCTTATCTGAACTGCAAAGCCTCTTAGTTCGGGCTTAAGACGCAGACATTTGAGCTTGGGTTGGTTTTCCTTAATTGGCAAAAGAAAATACTAATAGAAATGTTTGTTTTAAAAAAAATTGCGACGGTTGCAAAACCCCCTTCAAAAAAAACATATTGCATTTGTAAAACTAATCTCTCGCGGGTTGATTTTTTAAAAAATAAATGTGTTTTTTTTAAAAAAAACTTAAGGTAAGACACCTGAAAGCTGCAAATCAAACTCTTCCCTCCCTCCCCTCCTCCCCTCTTACGGATCAATTTGACACAAACAACCGCAGATGATGTTTTAATAAAACCACAAACCGACTTGAGCAGTAAATGTACAGACTGCGTTGTGTGCCATTGGTGAGATGAGAGCCATGTGATTTGGATCCAACGACGTGCCACACACACAGAGAGAAAACACACACACACACACACACAGAGAGAAAACACACACATACACACACACACACACACACAGAGAAAACACACACATACACACACACACACAGAGGCCTCGCTTTCCTGTGTGGCTCTGTGCCAGAGAACATTTCTCTGACTCTCTTGTCCAGCACGTCTCCCTCTCTCTCTGTGCCTCACTATCTGTGACTGAGGCTGAGAGGGAGGAGGGATGAAGGGAGGGATGGATGGAGGGGGGGAGGAGGGAGTGGGGGGGAGGAGGGATGGAGAGGGGGGAGGGGGGAGGAGGAATGGATGGAGGGAGGGGGAGGAGGGATGGAGGGAGGGAGGGGGGGAGGGAGGGATGGATGGAGGGGGGGAGGAGGGATGGATGGATGGAGGGAGGGGGAGGAGGGATGGAGGGAGGGAGGAGGGATGGAGAGGGGGGAGGGGGGATGGATGGAGGGAGGGAGGGGGGGAGGGAGGGATGGAGGAGGACACCTTGTCCCTGAGCCCGAGGCTGAGGCTGAGAGCGGACGAGGCGAACGTGCGCTCTGCCCTGATTGGCGGAGGTGCGGCTCGTGTATCGAGTCGCCCTCCATGTAGGGAGCGTCGCGCCTTATATGGCGATCACCGCGCTCTCGCCGCGCCCCCCTCTCTGCTCCATAAATAGCCGCGCATCGCGCGTGAGCGTCGCCGCAAGTACTTAGGGAGGAGGGGTGTAGCGGAGCACCGGCACAGCACAGCACTTAGAGCCGAGGTCAAGCCGCAGCCTCACTCACTCACTCACTCACTCACTCACTCCTTCAACCCGTCTTCCAAGTCGGTCGCAACGCACTTTTCTGAACCAGTCTCCCCTCCCGGTGGCTCGGCCTGGGTTTAGTTCGCACTTCCAGCGGCAGAGTCTCCAAAATTACTGGTACTCCCCGTCCAAGAAGGAACCCCCCCCACCCACCACCACAAACACTCCCCCAGTTCCCTCCCCGCCCCCGGTGAAAGATGTGTAACGGGCGCGCGGTTGCTCCCCCTCCGCCCCTGCCCTCCTCCTGGGGTAAACTGCTGCAGAGAATCGCCGACCTGACCGGGAGTTCGGTGCCTCATCCCAACCTCCCTCCAGCCCGGCCGGAGCACAAGGGATCGGTGTGTGATACCGGTGCCGACAACGCGAGTGACACCGACAGCGGTAAGTCCAAACCCCCTTATAATCCTCTCCCCCACTCGATTATACATATATATATGTGTGTATATATATATACTGTTAACAACAACAACAACAAACTATTGACATGCCTACAGCGCGCCTGACTCGGGGTATAGCGCCCCAGCGAGCGAGCGCTGTCACTGTTCACTCTTCCCCACTTTTTTTTTGCTTTAAAAAGAATTAACGCGTGTGTGTGTGTGTGTGTTTGTGTGAGAGAGAGAGAGAGAGAGAGAGAGATCTGCTTTGAAACCTCAACCCCAGTCTCCCCATCCCATCCCCTCCCTCCCTCCCCACCTACGTACGCCTCGTTGTGCACAAGAAACTCTGTAAATTAAATGCTCTCTCTCTCTCTCTATATATATATATACTTATTCTCTCTCTCTCTCTCTCTCTCTCTCTCTGTCTCTCGGGTGAAGACTATGAGAGCCTGGACTCGTGCAGTGACCAGGACTCGATCGTGGACGACCCGTTCGAGGAGCCGCTGTGCGCCGACGTGCTGCAGCTGATCGAGCAGAGCCTGATGGAGGCGAAGCGCGGCGCCCTGCGCTGCTTCAAGCTGCTCATCCCCGACCAGCTCACGGCCCGGGTGGCCGAGGACCTGCTCCGGTTGGCGTCCAGCGAGCCGTGCGGCCTGCGGGGGGCCGTCATCGACCTGAACGTGGAGGACGACAAGCTGTTCAGGAACGTGGACCGGTTCGCCGTGGACGGCAGCCTGTCGCCCACCTTCGAGCTGACCCTGGTGCTGAGGCTCGAGGCTGGGCTCTGGCCCAAGATCCAGGACCTCTTCACCTCGGGCCCGTCCTTCACTCCGGGCTTCAGGCGAGCACTGCGCCTGAGCCCGGGATTCAGGATCATTAAGAGGAAACTGTACAGCCCCACAGAGCTGGTCATCGAGCAGTGCTGAGTGAGCCCCGAGCAGCAGCCGCCGCACTCCCCCAACCGACGTGTTGGAACAGACAGACAGACAGACAGACAGACACAGACAGCGATGATAAGCTATAGAACAAACTTTTTTTGAAAAAAAATTACCCCAATCCCCGGGCTGACGGACTGATCCCGTGATGGGGTCTACATTTTGCACATTTCCAGTCCCGTTTTTTTTTAAAAAAAAACTCCCGAATAGGCCACGGGACGAGGATCGACTTCTAGAGAAGCAATAACTAATTGCAAAGAGTTCCTTTGTACAGAGATCTTTTCTTTTAACGTATAAGCTTCTGCCTGAAGCTTTCAAGCTCTCTTGAGGGGGTTGTACTATGACAGTGGTGCTAATTCTGATTCATGTAGCATAGATATTCCTAGATGGGGACCTTGTAGGTCTGCAGGGCAGACTACTTTTAAGGGGAAATTGTTCTGAACCTTTTAAGTCTGCATGTTTTTTTTTATATATACATATACATGCCTACTTTTAAGTTCTACTCTGATTTTTACTGAATAAAAAAAAACCCAAACGTTTCTCTTTGTAACTTGCCTTTGTTATTTCTTCAATGGTTCTAAAAGAAAATTCACATTCGGAAATGCCTTTACATTTTGTATACACGGGAGAAAACTTTGCTGGTGATAAATTGTTTCTAAAGGCTGCGGAGGGTTTCATAAATGTATCTCTGGACAGACATATTGAGCTCGGTTTCATTGTGTCAACCTGAGTTGGGTTATGATATCTAGCAACTAGGCTTGCTCTGTTCATTTCAAAACTTATATTATAAAAGCTTTGCTTCCTTTCATTTAATAAAATATGAGCGGGTGAACACATGTCTTTGTTTCAGGATTTCCTCCCTAGTTTTGTAAGAAATCCTGAATATCAATCTGACACAAGTCTCTTGGTCCATCTCCTGCTCGCCTGTACCCTAAACCATTCAGCTTGGTCCTTTGCTGTGAGAGAGTTGATAATAATAATAATCCTTGTATTTGATATAGCGCTTTTCACATCTTCTAGGCATCTCAAAACGTTTCACAGAATATATTGTAAAGTGAATTGATTGTATATTTGTGGGCGAAACACGGCAGTCAAATGCGCACAGCAGTGTCCCACAAACAGTCGTGGATTGAGGTGATCAATTTATTATTGTTTTTTTTCTTGAGGGATTATTTTCAGGCATGTGGAGTAAGAAAACTTGCCCAAGGTTTCACCCTACTGGGAATCGAACCCAGGTCTCTTACTTGTGAGGCGAGTGCTAATCCTTGCTTTTGATATAGCTCCTTATCTTGTTGAGACGTCTATAAAAAGTGCTTCACAGAATATAAAGTGTGTGTTTTGTGGGAGATATTGATATCTTGAATAGGATGGGATTAGGGGAGCTCAGCCCCTGAAGAGAAAAAAAAGTAAAACTCAATGCAGCCTGCAAGCAGAAGAGTGAGATAGCAGATTAGGGATAGGGAGGTGCTAGGGTATGAAGGGATTTATATGTCTGGTCCAAGAGTTGGCAGAAATGGGGAGCTCTACAGATCCCAGCATCATCCCAAAATCTGCATCCACCAACATCAAGTTACTTGCAGTTACTAACAGGCTTTGAGCAGGTTAAATGCTTGACCTTGTCTACCAAATAGTATGTGTCTTAGGAGAACCTAAATATGTGTGGAAGTATAGACCTATTCCCAATGTGGCGTAGTGTGGAAAATTTACAGGTACTTACCACTCTATTTTGGAGCCTCATCCAATACGTTGCACCACCGTACTTATAAATCAGGCTAAAAGAACACTCATAAATATTCTGATATTCCAGGACTTTTTAAAAAATATATTTTTAATTAACACTCTGCAAGGCCTAAGTTAGTAATTCTTTTACAGAGAAAGACTTAACAAATGTCACCTAGGAAAATATTTTTGATGAAAGAGTACCAGAGGATCAGAAACTCAGATGCCTCCCATTCCCAATGTGGTCCGAGAAGATTGGAGAGGAATGCTCGGAGCTGCAATTACGATCTGATCACAAAAAATACTACCAATTCTAAATAAGCATGGATGAGAGCAAGGGACAAAGATTTAATAACATAAATTTAACACATTTAAAAAACTTAATAAGCACTTTGAAACAGTCAATATATTCAGCAAAGATCACTTTTAGATCCTATCTTAAGCACCTGTCACCCCTACTCCTATTTCTATCAGAAAGATCAGAGGAGCATCTGGGAGAGATCTGCAGGGCAAGTAGGTCAGGTAAAGCATAATCACCTGAAACCTAATACTTTACTCCAGAACTTAACTCTTAAAAGTGCTGCTTTTAACACTACTGTGTTCTACTTCTTGGTCAGGATACTGAATAATAATGCCATTCACAATTTTTAAAAATAAATTTGACTTTTAACTTTCTTGCAAAAAAAAATCTTTGGGTTATGAAGGAAATGTATTAACTTTTGGATCTGAAGCATCACCATACACTTACAATTTACTCTTCTGTAAACTTGAAAGTCTCCCTTGGAGTCTCCATAGTGCATGCAATCTATCATTTGCTGTGTTCAGTGTCTCAAAGACACTGATGTCCCTGCTTTGGGTGTATACAGAGAGTAGAGGCTGCAGAACTGTGATAGGAATGCTGAAGTTCAGATGGGGGTAACTGGCTCCCACAGTGTTATTTCGGGCATTGCTGGATACAATTCCTGTTTGGAAAAATACAGCAAATTTAACAATTAGTTACTTTCAGATCAGACAAAAAGACAATGGCATGAATAATGAAAATCAGCCAAACCTCATTTTAACAAACTGTTTCTGTTCGTTGCTAGCTGGTAAATGATTTCACCTCCGGTTTTCCATTTCTCCCAGTGGAGAACTACCTGGCCTATTTTTAGCAATTTGGACACTAAGATCATTAAATCAGCCAAATGGGGGGAAATCAGTTCCTGAGTCTCACCAACCTGTGGTACAACAGCAGCTTAAGCATGGCTTTTTAATAGACAGAAAATTAAATCATCAAAATTGTTTGATCTGCCTCCTCCTCTCATGAAGCTAGTGACTTGTTAGGGAGTACGGATGATGTGAATGACAGTCACACTCCTCGTAAATACTCTTTGCATGAGTCTACACGTATAACCTTATGAAGGGTAAATGCAGGTGGTTGCTGTGACCGTCAAATACATGATCTAAAGAACACTTTATTTATATGGAGGTTGAAACTGACCAGAAACAATAGTAGAGGCCAGGATGTGGCATGCATTTAAGAAACCACTTGATATTATAATTGGAAGATGGTAGGGTCGTCGTTATGAAAACGATAGAAGGGGTCATTTTGCCCTTTTGCATTTGTACCTGTTGCGATCACCCCAAATATTCATTTCTTGTTATGTATTAAGTTTTCATCAGTTTGATAGGACTCTCATATTGTGGTTTCTATACTGTGTAACCACAGCTTTTTTACCTCAATGTGGCCAATGAGCTAGAAACTCAAACCAGTATCTCAAACCAGTTAAAATGTTGCAACAACCCACCCAGCAATTCACCGCTGTTTTTTCTGAAGATAGGTCCACCACTGGCTCCAGCGTGGACGGCACACGTTGTCTGAAGCATCACAGGCTGACTGGCGGCAGTAACTACAGCAGACACAACACCACTAGTCACAGATGCACTACAACGCTGGCCAAAGACTCCATAACCAACAATGTAGACATCCTCTCCTGTTGACAGAGACACACTATGTTACTTTGTTGTATTTGTTATTCACATAGATGATTATTTTCAGTTTTTACACAATAATGTTTATTCAGTGAGAATACACAGTATCTTAATATTCTAAAAGTCATCAAGCCCCAAATTCTGTTCAAATGGGAAACACCGTGGATTAGAAAACCACCCTTTCAAGCTGGAATCTGCAGTCTAAACCAAACCAAAATGAATCTTCACATATCTTCACATAGAACTGATCACAAAATTAACAATCTCATCCAGGGGTATTCCTCTGAATCTAGGGTTAAAATATCTTGTTGGACAGATTAGAGGGAACTTTACTCAAGATCTGACCTGTCTCAAAGCGTTTAATACTGCAAAAAGTGAAGAAAATCCCATTCCCCCAATAATGATCTCTATTCCCCTTTGAAGTATGTATTGCAACTAAAATCCAATTTATAATTTGTAGTGTATAACAGTGCATTCCTTCAAACAATTTCTCTCTAATGTTCAAATTTTAAAGTTCATTTCAGTCCCATAAATAAATGTACACATTAACAGAAAATAAACATTGCTTGTATAAACAGGATTCCCATATATCAATAAGGAGATAAGAGTTTTATCTAATGCAGTTGGGTGCCTTTGTCTCTCATTAGTTACCAACAATCTCACATTGATTAAGATAGACCTTGTATCTCATTCATTGGTGTGCAGGATCTTGCTTCTCACTTGGTGGGAAATAGTTTTTTAATCTGGAGTCAAGTGCAGAAAGGCAATTATTAAATGGGATCTTGAACTAAAGTTAAACTTTTGAACTAAACTAGAAAGTTAACTGTACCTCAGTCATTCTCTGCTTTGCTCTGCAGTTTCGATTAATGGTTTGAGTCCGTGTGGAATGCCCATTGGATGTTAGTATTGCTGGATTTTGAAAAGCAAAACCCTCCTTATTCTACTTCCCCTCTTGTCGGCACACTTACAGGAGTAGGAGTGAGCAAGGGCCTTGTATCACTTTATATTTAGCCACTAAAAGATATGCCAGAGTGTCAATGTTACTCATAAGCAAGAACACTTAAATGTACAAAATATTTTAACATCCATGGCCGATAAATATATTGTTCACTTGGACTAAGGCACAAGACTTGAGTAAGGCCATACAGTATGAACAGAGTTGCCCAGTAATCAAAAAGCAATAATCAAAAAGCACAAATATTTGTTGCTGCCCACTCTACAGGAGGATCATATTTCCATGTTTATTTTTTTCACGAGTGGGCCAGCCATATAAGTGGAGTATCAAATAATGGTGCAAATTAGTTATCAGACTCAAAACTGGAAAACAAAAATAGCCATCATGGATTTACTCATATCTGCTCCCCCCTTTTCTGGAAAATAGTGTGGGTTCATCAACTCCTCATACCAGGCCAGCAGAGATCAGGAGCTAAGCAAGTGGGAAGTTGAGATGGAGAATCAACACTGTAGCAGTTAGTCAGCAACACAGTGGAGATCCATTCTGTGATATGGATTAAAATAGATTTGAAGATGCCTGACATTGTGTAAATATCAGGTGTAAACATGATTTCACTATTATCAAGGGAACGACCCAAGTACAGACTTGCTTAAAGATATACTATTACAGTAGATATTTTATGACACCTACATGTTTTAGCAATGAAGATGTATACACTTCATCCATACAATTTGGAAAGTTTAGTTCAGACTTATTTATCTTTTTCATTTTGGACATTAAATGTTTTTTTCTTACATTTATTTTAGCATTATACACATTTTTTCCTTACCGGTATTAAATTCAGAGGCAGCTGTAATTGTTTCAACAGCTGACAGACCTTCTTCAAGTTCCACCACTGCCACATCATAAGCCGAATTATCTTTTGTAGCAAACAAGACTCTTCCCTTCAACACAAGGCACCTGTAGGCATAAATAGGAAACTTTCTTCTTAGCAAATTCAGTGAAGCCCCAGTGCTTAATGTGTAAATGAATTGTGTTAATTTACCCATTAAGTAGCATAAAACCATTTAGCTGAAAAGGTCATAGGTTTGATTTTCGTTCTATGCTGGCATGGGAGGGAGTAGAAAGCCAAATCAGCCAATGTTCTTCTGATCACTTTCCACCTACTTGTTCCATGTGAACTGATGTTACTTTGGTTCAGTTGGTAGCACTCTGGCCTGGAAGGTTATGGGTTCAAGCCTTTCATTGGGACTTTCAGTTCATAGTCTACCTGACACTCCATTGCAGTGTTTGGGAGTGCTGCATTGTAGGACATGCCGTCCTTCAGATCAGGTGTTAAAATTAGGATCTGTCTGTCTGTTTAGACAGATGTTATTTGAAGAAAGAAGAGAGGTTCTCTATGTGTCCTGAAACAACAGACTACCACATAAAATTGGTCATTTAATTCATGGCTGTTTGCAAGACACCAATTCAAAATACACAGTTACTAAACTTAAGTAAATCCTGTGAAGTGCTTTGGATCATTTTGACAATGTGGTGAGGTGTGATTGTTATTATGATCTATGGCCTTTTAAGTGTGAACTTCTATTTCACAAGAAGATATGAAACAGTAAATGCAGTGTTGAAATTGATGGCAACAGGCTAAACACTTTTAACCAAAGTGCAACCACAGCAGAATCGACTTTCATTACTGTACCTGTTTGAGTCGGGGTGTATTTTCACTTTCACAGTTGATTCTCCATTTAACACATGTCGACAAGTAAGAATCAGTTTGGGGCTGATAATCACTCCTGATCCCCAAACTCTTCCACTCTCCAGCAGGGCTACTGTGCTAAGCAATTGAGTTAACCTGTGCCTTCCTGGGATAGTCAGGTAGTCAGGCACTGTCCAGAATGGCAACATTCTCTTACCACTGTAGTCAAAAACCTTCAAAAACCTTCCAATATTCTTGATGATGGAACCCACTGAACACACCAACGTCAACCCAATCCACTCATTGGCTTTCCAGCAAAGAGGGGCCACAATTAAGCCGGCTAAATAATACAGATCTTTCGACTTTATATAAACGCCACCGCCTTCGGTGCCCGGCAGACAGCGGGCATCAGTTAATATCATGGCATTGTCTTCTCCTGCAAGATTACTCACTATTCCTTTACTGAAAGTGTTCATGAAAATGTGGGAAGAGAAAGAGGCAAATGGGGAAGCACAAGTGAATAGAGGTTCCCCTTTCTGTAAAGATGTGCTACTAATGTACTGGGGATGATCTCCTCCCGGGCAATCTTGCCAACCTGGGCACTGCAACACACCAAACCAAACCAAACCCAGGCTGTCATTTTGAAGTTTACCGCACTCGCTTTTTTCTTCCTCGCTGTAGAAGTGCCACTTGTCTAATTTGCTGAACAAAGTTCGGAAGATTTGCCTAAATTCTGGGCAAGAGCACAACATCAGCATCTCAGCCTGGCTATGGGGGAGTTGTGCATCTGTCAGGCGACCAGCAGTCCAAGACAAACTGGGCTTGAAACCCGATGCGGGATCATCAAAGTCCTGTCCGGTTGCATCATTCTCCCGAACTGGAAGAACCTGTTTGGGTTTGCAATCGTTTCTGGAAAACTGCACCTGAACCCGCAGATCCTTGTGGAATGCCCCGGGCAGGAGGAACGTCCCGCGAGTGAGGTCGCGGTCCGGCTGCTGGAGAAAGGGGAGAAAGATCAGCCCATGACACAGGACCACCCCACGCCTGCGGTCCAGGATCACCCCACTGCAGCTCCACGCTCCGTCCCGGTCAGAGCCCCGGCACGAGCGATCCTGCCCGGGACAGGACACCGGGCGCTCAGGACCAGTCGGGTCTGGCGCGATTCCACCCGCACCGCCGCGCTGCACAGAGGCAGAGACGATGCAACTCCAGTCTTCCGGAGCAATCATTCGCGGCCAAGAGCTGGAGAGGAGCAACGACTCCACATTTACTTCTCTCTAACCCGGAAGCGATGACAGTGACTGACATCACATGGCAGGTTATTTGTGTGTCAGGGAGATCCAGTCCAGGAGTGGCTTTAAATCAATTGCAATGTATTAGATATATATATATATTAAAAATCACAATGGTAACGTGTGCGACAAATAGAATGGCTTGAACTTGCGGGAGGACCTGTTCATTGCAAAACAGCCCACAGTGTCCCTGGGAGGCTTTTAATCCACCTATTTTTTTTGGGGGGGGGGGGTGAGGGGGGGTTTCTGAATGTGCAGCTGTTCAGAAGTCGCTACAAGTACTTTTGTCGCAACCTGATTATCCTCAGGAGTTTGTAACAGTGGTCACAGCGGTTGGGATATGTTTTCAGATGCTTCTGTTTTGATCAGGTGAGGGCAGAGCAGCGTCCAAGGGTTTTTTTTTGTTTGTAACAGGGAATACATCCTGCCCTGCTACACCAAACCACTCACTTGACACCAAATGATTTTTCTCCAGAGGCACTGACTGGGGTGTGAATTTACTTGATGCAAAACACAATTGCTCAGTTATAAAGTATGCTAAAAGTAATTGGAAACTCCCATCCACGACGTGAAGAACACCTTATTAGAGGAGGCACCGAGAACTGGCTACCAAGAGATCTTGATAGTCGAAAGCCTTATCTTGGGATTTATTGCAAGCTTACGCTTTTGGATTGCAGACTCGGATTCAACCAGTTCGGTGCAAATATTGCCCCAGATTCTCTAAATTGCATTTCTTTCTGAGCTTTTCACATTCTCTATGGAAATTTAGCAAAACGCAGAAAGCATGAACAGCACAGAAGGCATCTGAAATGTTACGATGAAATGCAACAGATGCCGAGATTTTCCAGGCAAGATTGCTTTTCTATTTACGCAGGATGCACTTGAATGGAATGAAAACAATACACCAATATAATTATATGTTTATTTCAAATAAAGCAATGATTTATAATACATTTATACATGTTGCAGGTTATTTTTCTCCTAGATGGAGAATGAACTGACAGCGAGGGTATGAACTAGCTTTTACAAGAATTAATTGGTGAAGGCAATAATTTGGCGAGAGGCTAAACTTGTCACCAATACCCTCTTTAAAACTGTGGAGAATAATGACTACAAACATGTAGAACTGCAATAATGGGAGTAATACTGCAGGTACAGTACCAACTTATGTGAGAAGCCCTAAAGTCTTGGGAGGGAGGGGGGGGAAGAGATAAAAAAAAAGTTTGCATTCATGCTTTGGAGAATAGGATGCCGCTGACAATGCAGTTGGCATATAAACTCCTTAATTGGTACCCCCACCTAATCAAACTGTGATAAGCAAAACATTCCAGTAATCTGCTCACCCTTATCAAGCAAACCATTTTGAAAATGTACAAGATGGACTTTTTGAAAATACATTCCCATTAATTGGCTTCTGCTGTACTCCCATTTCAAGAAGTAATGCATCACTGTAAGGGCTTGCCACCATGGGGCTGAGCACTAGGGTTGAGCAAACCGAGCAAAAAAAAACAATTTGAGCTTGGGAATGGGATGCAGTGCTATTTCTAGAGAAATCTGCCTGGCCCATGTAGAAGCACAGCAAAGAAAAACAAAACTATTACATAGAATGCCTCCATTCTTTCAGCAGTTTGAAAGAACACCACCATTCTGACAAGTGACTAAAGCCTTCAGATGCACAAACAAAATAATAACTATAGTACTTAGTGTTGACTGACCACCACTCATTCTTTTCGATTGACTACTGTAAACGTTTTTCCCATTCAATAACAATGCTACTCAATTCGACTTTTGTGAATCTGTGATAAGCAAATCTTGGAAGTGAACAGAAAAAATAAGAATTCCCAAATACATTTGTTCTATTGTATTAGCTATAATTAATAGGAGTAAGGGGAATATCTGCTGCTTGTTATCAATCTGTAGAACACATTGCATTATCTATGGTAATTTTACAATCAAACCACACAACGAAGAAAGCTAAAAGCAACCAACCGTATGAATCAGAAACACTTTCATTACAATTAAAAGTGTGCAAGAAATTGTGCAATAGAAATGTTTACAAATATTTCAGTCGCTGAGAAGTAAATAAAATTCTGGGTCAAACTTGTTATTCACTGAATAGCTCTTGATTGTGCCATCCACCTGTGTTTACAAACTGGAGATTTTCTTTGTTCTTTACAATCACTCATGAAGTTTAAACAACTACTTCATTATACTCAATCCACCTGGGTATTGGTTGTCTAAATTTTTTTCACTCTCAAAATTACTAAGGTTTAAAAAAACCCAGGCCATCATTTAGTTATGACACAATAATTTGTTTTTAAAATTTGTTTTAGTGAATTTTTAAACTTTACAGTTAATTAGTCATACAAAACTAGACTGGCAGGTTTGAATGAGGGATGCAATATTTGCAGTAACACTGAAAGGTCTTCGAAGATCCACCTTTGGTGTAACAATTAACCTGCACCACACATTGACACAATAACTATAATCACTGGAGAATCGAGAGCAAGATAACTGGATATTGAACTAATTACTTGTGTTTATAAATCAGACAGCATTTTCACCAACCCAGACAGGTGCAAGGTACATATTTTGTAGTGAACTGTATCTCAACCCAGAATATGTTGAGAATGGCTTCAATTGCAAACATTAACTTGCAAAGAAGAAAAACAGATGTGAAAAGTCAACAAAATTCTTAATACAATGATAACCTATTTGGGTTAAAAAAATGTTTTTGTCAATTTTCTCCCCTTTGTTGCTCCTGAAGTGCCGACTCCTATTGGGATACAGTTACATAGTGCTAGCAGGTAAACCATGTGATCTATTTTACATTACTAAATGTCAGCAGGCTGCTGCTCGACTCTGTATAGCATCACAACTCAGCCTGTTTGTGTTAACGATGCCCATACGTCTGCACTTTCCAGTGAGGGATTGAGTGGGGGGAGGAGGGAGGTGTGGAAGGAAAAAAATCAGGCAGTATTTAACCTCCTAACTGGAGTAGGATCCCACTGTTGAGGGAGTAGGAACTAAGGCCAATTGTAACCTCCCATTTTCAAGTTGGGTTAAAATGCTTTCAGCATATACTTAGATCAGTGGCCAGTTAACAACTGTTCTGTTTCATTAATGCACGTTGTTTGCAACAAGGCCTTTGAGTATAAACATTCCCAAACAATTTAAGAGCACCAAAAAAACCCTGTGGTGAGAGGGGAGGAAGGGAGAAGAGGGGCAGAGCAAAAAAAGAACAATGCACACATCCTGAGACTGTTGCACAATATACATTTAAGTGTAAATTTTTCAGCTAGTATGAAACAAAGGATCATGTGTAACATTACAATTTGAATTATCGTACAAACATTTAACTCAAATTATACTTAAAAACTCAGAAAATGGGGATTATCTCCTGGTTGGCATTATGATGTGTTGAGTCGACAGTTGTGTATCCTGTTTTTTTTTAAATAAAAGAAAAAAAACATGACAATGGCAAACTAGTTCAGTCCACAGTAGTCAAATTTTAAGTTCAGTCGATGTACTGTGCAAGCCAGCGAAATCCTTCTCCATAACCTTGACGCTTTAGCACACTGCACATAAACACCTCCAATGGCCGAGTGTTCAGCTCCTTGAGGGGTACATTACCCTAGAACAGATCAATGTGTGAAATTAATACAGTTTTTTTAAGGGGGAGAAGATTTGTGAAAACAAAATACATTTCCTTGATGAATATTTCTTGATATATGCCATAATAACATAACAAGGTCTAAAATGTTATTTGCAAGCAGGATTCCTTGCATTAATTTCATATATTCCGAGTCAGATTCCGAGTGTATAATAAAGACAGTTGACAAAGTAGACTTGATTATTAAAAAGCAACTCCTTGCTTAGAACCAAGATTTAATGGTCCATGAGAGTCATGACTAGTACCAGCAAATGCGCAATAGTTTTTGGCAGTACAAAGTGTACCAGCACACATGCTATGGAACACGACACTGGTTTGAGCTCATTAAAGCACAAGCAGTTAGCTTATGATTTTGCTGGTATTAAACAGGAGAGGTAAGATACCCACAGAGAGAGGAAAAAAATCACAGGAAGAGTCAGCTGATTGCTCATATGCACATTTTTGAGAGTGGCTGAAAATAAGTTCTACCAGTCAGAGGCAATAACAACTAGCACTTATATAGCACCGTTCACGACAGACAGCATCTCGGAGCACACAGGAGTATATCAATTGATGCCCCCTCAACTAAGGGAATGGTGCATGAAGACCTAATGCTTTCCTTTTTCCTAACTTAAGATACCTTTGTATTTTGGCTGCAAACATAACTGAAAGAGGAATTGGTTGAAATACAAAACTGTCCTGCTCTTATTTAGTTTTGATAATTTTAACCTGTTCATTGTATTCACCAGGGGTCAATTTAAAAAGCAAAAGGCACTCAGCATGGACTTGTAAATCTCCAGGTGTACAAGAAACAGCATTTCATATAAAAAGAAAAAGATAACCTTAACAGGGTTGTAGGTCCGATTTATAAAACAGTTGGAAGGAAAATTCCCTTATCACTAACGCTGGCACAAACAACAGGGCAAGCAGCTGTCTGTGCTAGCTCAGCACATGGTCAGCTGTCACTGTAAATCACTGCAACTTGTAAGGCAAAATGAAACCACTCCAGGGAAAGTGACCCAACCACACGTTTAATTAATCCTTTGAGGACTGCAATTATTTTTCTGCATCATGCCCAGAGTAACATGAGTAGAGCTTCCCAAGCATTTTGGGCATCTAATCAAATGGTCATGGTCTCAAAGAAAAAAGGTTCTCTCTGGAAACCCAAACCATATTTTACCTTTCCTGTGGACTGTCCATACAGACCGAAGATTTCCCTTAGCTTTTCCTCACTGATGGCTTCTGGTCGATCAATTTTATTTCCAAGGATAAGAATTGGAACATTACATATTGTTTCGTCTGTCATCAATGCCTGGAAGGGAAGGGAAAGTTTTAGATTATGTTGCACATTTGACTACATTGCATACAGCCTACGACTGAAATAAGGTTTGCTGGTCAAGTAGTGCTGAATCACCAGCTGTTATTTGACCACAATGTTTGCATTAAGTGAAGGTACAATTGAGGCAGTTTCAACACAAAATCCCCCCAACAAATCAGTAGAAACATCACATGCATTTATTACAGCTAAATTATGGGAATACGTTTAAATAATTTTGTAATTCAGAAAAGTTAACCTGTTCAACCATTGCTTTAATGAGTTACATCATACAAACCCAATTTCTAGAATTCAAGAATCCTTTCCCACACACCTCCCAAAAACTTCACCTTAATGTTGTTTGACTTACATCAAGCTCAACCTTAGATTCAGCAAGCCGTGAATGGTCTGCGCAGTCAACCAAGAAAACAATTCCATTAATGGCAGGGAGATAATTTTTCCAAACTCGTCGGGCTGCAAATAAGCAGGAGAGTTTAAATAGAACTCCTTTCCAGAGAATAGTCCATTTTTTTATTTATTTGAATGAGAGTGAAAAGATTTAACAGTTGAAAGCCTATATAATTATTAATGACAAAGTTTAATTTTACATTCAAAGATTCTTTCCTCCTCTGTTCCTCTTGCCTCATTTTCTCATGTTGTTGTCCTGCACTCATATGGTTGTTGTTAATCAAGAAAATAGAGTGTATCTTGAAAATCCGGAGTCACAATGCTACAACTGTGAGTGCCTCTTCCCTTTACAAGGCAGTTCCCCAAGAGCCCACTACTCTGCTACTGATGTGAATCTACAATGCCTGCCATGCTACAGTCACCATATCAAGTCCTTATAAGCCAAATACTGGGCTGGTTAACTGATTTATCTCTGCCAATGGAGATGAACAAAATGAAAGTTCTTAAAACCAGAGCCCAAATAACAACAATTGGCATTTATATAGCGCACTTCACACAGGTTAGTGTCCCGAAGCACTTGACTGAACACTACCCAGTTCTCTCGGATCCACTGTTGAGACAGTCTACAGATACTTTGTGCATCCTAGGTAATTGGTTTCATCACTACCTGCTATTGATGGCGAGACTCGGTAAGAGAAAACAACGTATAAACAGGGAGCATAGCTTTAACTAATTTAATTCAAATACTGTACTGAATGAAGACTGTTGATATAAATTCAGCTTATCCTGCTTTAAAAGGTAACAAAACATCTCTTGTGAGAATTTTACCTTGTGCATGACCTCCAAGATCAAACGTGGTAAACGTCATTCCTGCAATGGTCAGTTCCTCCGATGCTGTGTAAAGAAACAGGACCTAATCAGGAGAATGAATCAGATCCATGGAGCTCCCAAAACCTGCAAAGCTCCAACAGCCACAAATAAAACAACCATCTACACACGTCAGGGTTTGTAGTTATGGGCAGAATTAGCAGCAAAACAACTCTTAGGAGACAGTAAGAACAAAAATCATGAAAAAGGCCAGAAAAAGCTACCATTGATTGACAGTACATAAGTACACAAGTTTTTCTCGTTGTGTCTGTTCTTACTGAAGAATGCAATGCTTAGAACATACTTTTGTAAGGAAATAAAGGGATTTGTTTGCTTAATTCTGGAAGGCAAAAATTGGTGGCTGCAAGTGGGATGAAAACTGCAGAAATATAGGAGTTAGTTGTCAATCACTTGGAATCAACAACTCAGTATACTCTAGGTAAAATAGACCCATGGTGCATCCACTAAATAAATCAAATTACTCCTGGGAATTATTACAAGACTGTAATCTAATTTAGCAGATCAGATTGCATAAATAGTGAGAAATGTGAATGGATTACGGTCATCTAGATCCCTCAATTAGTTTACTACCCTGTCAGCTTGCGTGATTACTCAAGTTTGGATCTATTCTTTAATGACTATTCATGCAGGTAGCACTTCTTATAAGAGCTCTGTGACTGATGTCTATTGATATTCAGACTAAACAATTTATCTACTGGACACCATCTAAGGAACAATATGGCCAGTCAACATTATAAATCACTACCCCAGTTAAAATGATGAACCAAAAGATGAATTCTCAGCCTTTTGTGAAAAGTCAGTTCACTGAGGAATAGTATGCTAAATTGATGGAAATACTTACTCGGGTGTAATGTAGGAACATGCTGTCCCAGTCTGTCATCTTTCAACATGTGCAGTAGGGTTGTCTTGCCAGCATTATCCAAACCCAAGAAAACCAACTTTCCTGACTTCTTACATAAACCTAGACAAAGAAAATTAGTGTAGTTTTGAAAGAAAATATTTCTTGCTTTGACCAGCATGCAAATTTTCCAAACATTACTAATGCTTTGTACACAAAAACCCGTAGTAAGTCCAGTGCACGGATACCGATTTGGACTGGAAATGTTTATTATAGCGACTCTCAATTTAGGAACATTTTGATCTTCTTTGGGCTAAAAGGGAAGGAGACTTTGACAACAATGGGGAAAAGAAGCAAGTGAGACAACCTGGGCTGATCTCATGTCCCCCATACAGTTACAGAACTGGACTGACGAAGTTCTTATGAAGGGTCGTGGACCCGAAACGTTGACTCACTTTCATTTTTCCATAGATGCTGCCTGACCTGATGAGTGTTCCCAGCGACTTCTGTTTTTGTTTTCAGATTTCCAGCACCTGCAGTATTTTGAGTTGTATTTTATAGAACGGGATTGCCTGACTGCTTTCTCAGCTGGGGGTTAAACCAGCACAAAAGGAGAAAGGAGGCACTGAGCATCTATAAGATCTTCTCAATAATTCATGAGGTAATGCACAAATAGTCTTGGGGATCCCAAAGGTAATTTACTGAGCTGAATAAAGATGAAAATAAAATAAAGTACAAATCAGAGATGGACAAACTGAGTCAGTGGGCTGGTAAATGGTGCAATAAACCTACTACTAAGAGCACATTTTTGGGTAATCACATCTAAATTGCGATCAGGCAAACAAGTAGGATAGATATCAGAAAAGCTGTTAGAAGTCTGGAAATTCCTTGTTTAAAGGAGAAAGGGAGAGGAAATAAAAGACTAACCCATTTACCTAGGAATTGCAGCATACTGGTAATATTACCAAAAATCCAATCGAAAAAGGTCTCCATTTCTGAATCGGACACACCTACAAATGTAAACACAATCTGGATCACTACTTGGTTACACAGCAATGGAATTTACTTAAAAAGCTACAGATACTGCAACATATCTGAAGCTAACCTTAAGGAACCTAAATAGAGCCAATGCTCTGCACTACAAATGAGCAACATGTCTTTTAATCCTATGACCTCCCCTTTTCATTTTAGCTATTTTTCCCCAAGTATCTATTTAGATCCAGTTTAACAATCCTAATTCATTCTGTCTCTGGAGCTTTAAGGCAGTACAAGTCAGCCTGCTCAGCTGGCAACACTTTCATCTCTGAGTTAGACGGTTGTGTTCAAAGTGCCACGTCGGGATTTTGACTTGTGGTGTGAGCTGACACTTCAATACAGTGCTGGGATAACTCTGCATAATCAGTGTCATCCTTCAGGCGTTTGCTTGTTTAAGGGGACGTTAAAGATCCCATGGCGCTATTCCAAAAAAAAGGAGTTTCTCCTGGTGTCCTGGCTGACAATTCCCCAGATAAAACATTGGCTGTGCAGTTCTTGGCTGTGTGTGTGTGGGGGACATTGCTGTGCACAATTTGCCACACACGTATAGTCACTATACTTTACAGTAATTCGTATGAAGCACTTTGGCAAAGATTATTATTCCATATTTTCGCAGATCTCTTCGGTGAAGAAATCTGGTGTTCCTCCCAAACCACCAACTTCCCCTCTGCTTCCTAACCTCCTCCTCCTCCTCCTCTTTCTCCCTCCCAACCTCTTACTTTTTTTCCCCCTCTACTCTTTCTCCCCCCCCTCCCCCCCATTTCACTTCCTGTCTCTCCTCTTCACCCCCTCCCTCCCTCCATCCCTCCCCCCACACGCTCAATCATTCCCTCCCTCTCCAGTGTCCTCCTTTCCTCTCCCCTCCCCCCCCCCCGTCATGGCTCTTTCTCGGTTACGTGTCGCTCAGTGGGGCCTGACCCCCCCCCTCACACCCCTCACACCCCTCACACCAGCTGAGCGCACTCGGGGTGTCTGACAGCCGGTGGTGTGGGTGGGGGGGGGGGGGGGGCTGTGCTGTGCTCTGACCTGATCCTCTTTCTCTTTTTTTTCTCTCTCTCTCTCTCTCTCCGTCTCTCTCTCTCTGTCTCGCGGCTCCGAGCGGTCTCTCTCCGACACCGACTCCCGGCAGCGCAGGAACCAACGGGAATGTTTCCGGCCTCAGCACAGCATCACTTCCGGGTCGGGGTCAAGTGACAGAGACAGGGAGTCAAACAGAGGGTTGTACTAACTACACACACAGTGTAGACATATATACACACACATATACACGTACACAACCACATATACACGTACACAACCACATATACACGTACACACACACATATATACACACACACATATACACATACACAACCATATATACACGTACACACAAACATATATACACACACATATATATACACACACATATATATACACATATACACATATACATATATACACATATATACATATACACATATATACACATACACACATATATATACATACACACATATATATACACATACACACATATATACACACATACACACATATATGCACATACACACACACACACATACATACATATCTAGATGTATATACAGTAACTACCCACATACAGTATATACACACATACATATACATACAGCATACTCACACATACAATATATACACACACATACAGTATACATATATATACACAGTATATACACACATAAACAGTATATATACACACAGTATATACACACATACAGTAAATATATACACACACGAGAAATACAGTGTATAAGTACACAGAGGGAAGAGAAATAAACAGACAGAACCAGGGGGAAGAGAGAAATACACAACAGCTGGCACGTATATAGCGCCCTCCATGCAGTGTAGCGTCTCAGAGCGCTTACAGTAACAGACAGACAGAGAGGGACACACACAAACACTTTCAGAGAGTGAGAGAAAATATACTGACAAACAGATACACAAAAATTGGTAGAGAGACACACGATCACATTAACTGATAGAAACATACACACAATTGCTCAGATTGAATTGATTTTTAGAGAGTAGCTCAAAAACTAATGCAGAGTGCACCAGCTGTCAAAAAAGGTGCATATGATAATTGCATAATCATTCTGCTGTTTAATAGCTGGAAAAATTATGAATTTTCATTGTATTTGATCCAAGAACTGCATTTTTCTTCCATATCAGCCTTCAGATAAAAGTTTCTCAGCTAATTTCATTCCATTTGTGGGCAAACCTAGATCTGCTTCCAATTAAACCTCCTTTTACCATACAATAGAGAAAATCCTATGTTTGACAACAAATGTACTCCTAGCAATTGTATTGCTATCGTTGAACCAATTAGCAGAAGCTCGTGACAACCACTGAGCATTTGTTTTTTTCTGCTTGGTGAAGGCATTGCATCTCTTTGATCCACGGTAAGGCCATATCACATTACTACTACAGTATACTACAAGATACAACATCATTATATATACAAATAGTATAAACAGAAAGGTCAATGGAAACTGGTTAGAAATATTGAATACGATCATGTATTCAGATGTATTACAATTTACCTGTCAGACAAATAGCAAACAGCTACTTATGTTTTAAGTTTTTATAAATTGATTGCTGTGGAACATTGCATTATGGAGTGGCAGGTAGGTTGAGTCACAATCCCCCCTAAAGATTCTGGAGGCACAATCAAATGGGATGTGAAATAGATATATACTTGGCAGTAATGGTACTGTGTTACGAAGGGTATGAAGAAAAGGTGGGGAAATGGAATTAAAAGATCTGCCATGTTCTAATGTCAGCTATATTCTCCTACACTACACGATTATTGCAGTGTACAGTAAATCCTGTGAAGCTCTTTGAGTCGACCTCTTGATGGGAAAGATGCTACATCAAATGCAAGGATTATTATTATTATTTACAATAAAATGATGGGACAGGGTCAATGCGCTGAATGTCCGTCTCTTCTGGTATTGCAATCACATATTACAGTCTTTATAACAATCCGAATACATTAAAGAAGGGATACCTGACTGGTAGGAACTGTAATGTAGGAACTGTAATGTAGGAATCAGTAGAGAAGTGTTTACTACCTGAGCTCTGGTTGGTTGTAGAACATGTTGCTGTGGTGACAGCACTGTAATCAGGTTACGCAGGTGTTCAATTCTCTATCAGTCCATCAAGGAGATTTTTCAGAATAGGGATTACAGCTATATTGTATCTGAATCAGTTTAACATGTGTAGCTAAAATTAATAGTGACTGAATCTGCTGGATAGACTAGATGGACCAAAATGAACATCGTAATCTCAAGTATATTGTGACTGAAACTTTAATGTGAGTATTTATTGCTTGAAATATATTTACCAGTTTGGTTTGTCTTGCTGACTAAAGGCTTTCCTTCTACTGAAATAAATGTCTAATCCAGTGTTTAATTCTAATCTGTCCAATAAATCTCTGAGTTGGTCTGTCCTTCTCTCAGTTCATGCTGTCTCTTATCTTTTGCCCTCTTACTGTTTCAAAGCATCAATTGCCACATACTAGATGTTCTGTAAGTGACTTTATTTTCTTTCCCACATCTCAATTCATTATGGAAATGATGTGTTGTAATTACCTTTCGACCTCTGGTAATAGTGCTGTAAGTCTCTTTTAAATAGAGATTGACCTGAGCTGTTTCTTTAATGTAGAGGCTTTCTAAAGTTGTTTGAGGATAATGTTATATTATAGATTGCAATATCACATTCATCACCTAATACTTGTAGTTGTATTGCAGCACCTTAATTTCCCATGTTCAAATTCTGACAATGTTTGTAGCATATCGTTTGTGGGCTTTGTCTTTCTAATGAGACACAAAAATGCTCAGTGTCAGGTACCCTATTAAGTGACAGATCAGACATTGGTTATCTGGCAGACCTTCATGATTTTGTGTGGAGTGGAACCACAGTGTCTCAAAGAGTATCTGTGTGTATTGCTGTGGCTGAAATACTGTAGCTATGCCAACAGAGGTGATTAGAATACATTACTACTACATGGGAGTTGATATCGTTTATCACCTGAATAAATTATACTGTCCTGTGGTAATTAAAGTTCAGCCATCTGCGGTTTGTATAGAGAGTGGAGTATCAAATGTCACTGTTGTCTGGGATCAACGCTAATCTCAGGCTGTTATAATCATTCTGGAAAGTGTATCAGTACAGTCCAAATATATGCATATATTGCAATATATATATATTCAATATATATTCAACCATTATGGTGCAAGAATTGAATGGGTAGGCAATATGTTTTGATAATTGATCATATGATTTTCCAATGAGAAAGATGCCATGTTTTCACTAGCTAGTATGATCTCCATGTGTGTCTGTCTCCTTCACATATGTCAGTGAAACTCATTAAATCACTTACCCTTATCCTGCTGGCTGCAAACCTAGGACTTCTTTAGTATTTAAAAAAATATCGATATTGCATTTAGGAATAACTGTTGAAGTGTTACATGTGAAATAGGTTAAAATATTTTTATGAATATGGCACTTGTTTTTTTTTAAACTTTATCTCCGTTGACACTTTGGAATTTCTTCAGGATCCTCGGAGTATGTAATAATAACAATAATAATAGTATATCTTGTAATTGTAATTGTGTGCACTGTACATAGTAGTTATGATGCAGTAGAGGTAGAAAGGTAACTAGCTTATATGTGTGATGTTGCTCTGCTGCATAAAGTGGTAGCCAATGTGCATCTTGTTCACCCTTCCAGTTTATCTTTTAGATGGTATTGTTCAACTCCATTTACTAGAGATAAAGTCTACCAATAAGGCTCCCCAGACTTAGACTGTGCAGACTCCATCTCAGTTGGGCAATGTTTGTTTTCAGGCTCTGACTATGCAAGGAGGGGGGAGGATAGAGTCAAGAGAACAATCATTGTACGGAAATGGAAGAATTGGTTGGAATCTGAGAACTTAAGGGATTTTGAGCAGGATTGTGTAAGCAATACTCCAATTGGGAAGTTCTTGACCTTGATTGTGCTGTTAAGGATAGATCAAGCTACCCTTAACATTATTGCTGCTTTACCATCGTATCTTTTGGTAGCCAGTTACAGATGGACATTGGCAGATGTTTGCCTCCCCTCATCTGAGGGATGGTGCCTGGAATATAGAGCTGAGAGACTTGAAGAAGAAAAAATAATTGGCTTTAAATATGAAATACCACAGTAGACTGAAGTTTCCTGCCAAAGTATGATTGGAAATATAAGTTATCTTTGTTTTTCAGACAAATCCCTCTTATTTTAAAGTTGTCTACACTTTTAAAGTTGTCTGGTAGTATGAATTCTGTATGGATCAGCTGAAGGAGATGACACCAAACTTAAATCTGCAGCAGGCCAATGTGCGGCCAGTGAACCTTTTACAAGAGAGATGTGTTCTCCCAGTCGAACCAGCTTCAACCCCTGAGCCAAACCTGAGTCCCTCCCTCAGGAAACTGAACTGCAGCTCAGAGTAAGAACTCAATATTCTCTTACACGTCAGTAACATTAGGTACACTGTAAAAGGTAATGTATGTATTTGATGTGTACATTGTTTAGGAGGTGTTAATTTTTTTCTATATAGTACATATACTATTTATTTGGGACATTTACTCACAGCAAAGTCTTTTTGAATGAGCTATTCTTGGCCTCTTGGGACAGGATCCACAAATACCTACTAGTCATCATCACAGAGTAATTCTGTTTAAACAATATGATAAATATTAACCAGGCAAAGAACCGAGAGGATATAAAATATGACATGTATACCACACTATGTGGTTTGCTTTTAGTGCTGGCAGTGAGTGAGCTGCACAAAAAGTATGGAATGTGAGCGTTTGCCCTGCCTAGCTCTGGGACATTGCCTTTCCATGATTGATCACCTCAGCACAGACTGTAAATCACATCTGGTACCTTCCTGGTCTGGATTATTCAGGACCACATCACATCAGACATTGCATTTAACCAATAAGCCTTTGGGTAGCAGCAACTTCTTTTAATATGTACAGTATGAACTAATCATTGTGTAACAGTTCAAATTAGTACATCAATGACCCGAACATTTCTGCTTTCTTTGTTTTTTTCCTCCTACAGTATATTTCGATGCACCCTGATGAATATTCCTCAGACTCAGGCACTCCTGAAACAAGTGATGCTTCCTCTTGGCCTGATTTTCCACCCATTCAAGAATTTCAGTGTAAGACGGCTGCTTTAGGAGCAGACAGCCCGAAATACATTACGGATTAGCGAAAAAAAATCATCTTTTGCCTTTATCAGTTTACAATTTAATAATGAATGTTTTTACTGACCCAGCCTTTAATTTCTTCCGCAGGAACCTCTCCCAGTGATTCCTGGAGCTCCTCCATGCTGTTCAATGTGTCAGACTTATATAAACCCTTTTGTGATCTTCATAGACCAGCGACACTGGAAATGCAACACTTGTTTTTCACTCAATGATGGTAAAGCAGCAATAATGTTGGATTTAACCTCCCTCAGAACCCGTGATGCCTTATAAAGGGGGACCTGGTCACCTTGTATATTGCTGCTTTGCTAATAGTGCTGGTGACCACAAGATAGCACTCAGCTTCTGGAGCTCACAAACCAGTTTCCTAGGCTAAAATGAGACTGAATTCTGGGTCATCAAGTTGTCACTCACATCACTTTCTGCATTCTACACATGTAGGAAGTGATATTAATAATGTTTTCTGCATATAGCACATCTGCATGCAACTTGCAGGAAGAGACATGATGATATCAAAGTCACTTTGTGCTTTGCTTATAACATGGCCTCTAAGGTATTATAATCCGGAAGACTGCATTAAAACAAGATTCCCCTGTATGTTTATATCCATGAAATAGAGAATAATGAATACCTGTGAATAATTACAAGGTAGTGTTGTCAGGTAATTTATAAAGACTGTAATAGATACCTGGAATAATTACAAGGCACTATTGTAATGAAGGCCTCAGGTATCTAATAGACATCTGGAATTATTACAAGGTACAATTGTAATCAATGGTTTAATCCTAATCAACAGCAGGTTTCACTACTTGTATTTTGTTTCTGTTTTATAGTTCCTGGGAATTTTCTCTATGACCCCATTACAGGCAGCTATTGTAACCCACTCATGCGACCTGAACTGCAGCATGCTGTTCTGGAGTTTGTTGCGACATCCAACCATCAGGTACAACCTCCACTTTACAGATCACCTGTTGCAGGAACTTCCTCTTCCATCTGATTCACATGTACGACTTGTACATTCACCATCACTCTGTACAGACCATCTGTATGTACCATGTCCAGTTGTGTCCAATTGTGCAGTTTCCTTCATTGTAAGCTATGTAGTTGTAGTTTGTTAGACTCCAGCAGTTACCCCAATGCACATCCTGAGGTCCCCAAGCCTTGGCTCATGCCAACCTGTGCCAAATACAACAACAACAAACAACAACAACAACAAAATTAAAATTATAGAGCGTCTTTCACGTCGGGGGGATGTCCCCACCCACTGATAATCACTCTGTACAGATCGGAAGGCGTAATACCTTCTGGAATTACGTTAGTAGGATGCATCCCTCCAGGGAGAGAGTGCGCATTCCATTCCAACAATCTATCTCTGGAATTTCCCATGTGTATGAAGGACGCATGGAAATCTCAGCTTGGTTTGGATACTCTTAAGCATAGTGATGGGTTCTGCATATGTCAAACACCTGGCTGACCCCCCAAAAATGTTTACAGGTCAGCTGTAATGGGAACAGCTACCATCCCACTGTACAGAACCAGTTATAGCTACCTCTTCCATTGTACTTGAACATTTCCCTTCCACTTGGGTCAGATAAAAGTATCTCTCTTTTGTTAAAACTAGAAAGTTATTTTACCTTTTCTTCCCTCTCTAAGTTTTACTTAATACCACATCATACATCGCAGATCAAATGAGGGCACAAATGACTCTCCACAAATGTGGAGAGATTTTCTGTTGCTGTGACATAGTGCCCAGCCTCTGCTCAGTGTCTTTGTGTAAGTTGCACATTGTGGCACAGTGGGTTGATACTGACAGAATCTCTGTTGAAGTGAGTCAGCAACCAACACTGTACGGTAAGGCACAGTAGAGGTGTACCCAATACAAGTCAATTACTGTGAAGTAACATACATGTACCGTGTAACTGATTAGCAGGCCGATGGATGAAGTTTGCTGATTGCACTTTATTATCTCTTTATGGCTCCTCAGGCTCGTCCCCCTCAACCTGCAACATACTTGTTTATGTTTGACGTCAGTTACAGAGCAGTGGAAACTGGCTACCTGCAGATTGTTTGCCAAATCCTGCTGGACAACATAGATAGGTGAGGCATTCAGTGGCTATAGGCAAAGCTCTTAACGCAGCTCTATCTCACTATGGTTTTTGGTCTGAAGGTATTTCTGGGAATAGCCCAAAAACTTGAAGGAAATAAAGTTGATTCTTTTTGATTAATGAGATATCAGAGTGCAAAAATACTTGCATTTGTTTACTTTCAGAGCTTCTGTTTCATCTGTTGGCAAGGACTACAAGTTGTCATTGTACCAGAGCTCATGTGCCCAGAAATTATCAGGGAGATGTAAATGCTGCTGTTTTCAATTTAGAACAAAACATTTGTTAATGCCTAAGGCTGTAACGTTTGAATTTAAAAGCTATCGTGGGCTTTGAGGGTGTACTGTTTTCTCATCTTCTAATGGTGGACGTATCTGGCTGCCATGAGGGACTGTTGGAAATTTCAATGTGTTGGTGAAATTTTGACCGCAGATCTTCGAGCTGCAGCATGTTAGAGTATTACAGCAAATGGCCCTCCAGCAAAACATAGCGTAAGACTTGGCAGAACCTCACTGAGTGACACTAATTTATGCAGAACATTGACTCAGGAGAATAAATCATTGGGAAGGAGTGTGAATCCATAATAGAATCATTCATGCAGGCGTTTGTGGAAGTGGCAGTCTTGATGGGTTGAAAAACCTTTTTATAGTGAAGTTCCTTTACTTTGGTTCACTTGCTTCTGATGAGTTCCGACAAGATCATTCCTCCCCAGAGCAGTCTTACTGATCAAGCAAGCAATGGACGAGAAATGACTATAGATCCTAATTTAAAGATAATTCCATTCATACATTGCCTCCTGTCTTTGTTACCTAGGTTACTGGAAGATTCAGAAACTCGCATTGGATTCATCACTTTTGACAGCACAGTTAACTTCTACAATTTGCATAGGAGTCTCTCCCGACCGCGTATGATGGTCATGTCCGAGATTGATGGTAAGTCGCTATTTGACACTTTGACAGTGTTAGAATACAGACATTTGATTCTGTGGCATATAATTAAAATCAGAATTTTTGCATAAAAATCTTTATAATGAACAGATTACATAGACTGTAAAACATTGATTGCATATTAGTATTCAGTAAAAACATCTGTCTGTCATTATTGATACAAAATAACCTCAAATTGTTGTGGATATGATGAGTTATATTTGATGGAAGATGTGTGAACTACCATTTTGCAGAAGACTTGCTAAATTCCTTACGGTTAGTAGATAGGGACTTTTGATGTATGTGAATGTGAGTCTGAATGAGTATGTTGGAATATATTTGTATGTGATGTGTCTGTATACGTATAGGATATCTATGTGTATATCAGCATACGTGCGTGATAATTATATGTACAAAATACTTGCTTGATGAGGGTATTGTGGCGTTTATATTCTAAATGGTTACCTGATTGTAATAATAATAATAATCCTTGCATTTGATATAGCGCTTTTCACGTCGGGAGGACGTCCCAAAGCGCTTCACAGAACACACTGTAAAGTGAATTGACTGTATATTTGTGGGCGAACGCGGCAGCCAATTGCGCACAGCAATGTCCCACAAACAGTCGTAGATTGAAAATGACCAATTTAATTATTGTTTTTGGTTTTGGAGGGATTATTATTAGGCGTGTGGAGTAAGGAAACTTGCCCAAGGTTTCGCCCTGCCTGGAATTGAATTCAGGTCTCTCGCTTACAAAGCGAGTGCTCTAACCACTGAGCTACAGGACTCCAGGACTAAGATAATGTCTCTGTATTAATTGGAAAGATGAGTCAAATTCAAACGAGGGATTGAATATATTTTAGCTCGCCCTAAATAATTAACATTTAAACATTTATGAGTTAGTAATTGCTCTGTACTTACAGTTTTGTTAATTCTGATTTGATTTATCAATAATTTTATTAATACATTTTCACTGTATTCCATGGATGTAGTAAGCCATTACAACTGGTGTCAATCACTACTGCAAACCACAGAAGGATACAAACAGTGTACCTGACACTGAGCATATTTGTGCCTCATTAGAAAGACAAAGCCCATAATCTCCAAGATGTGGCACTTCTGATTATAGCAGTGTGTAGTCGATTCCAAAGACACAAAATATTACATCAGCTGCTGTGTGGGGAACTTCTGTTCCAGGCCAGTAATGGAAAACAAACCTGCCACACTTTCCTGTATTCATACATTTACCACTCAGAAAATAACAGCTAGCAGCCCTGAAGTTATGTTCAACTTGTTTGTTCTGACAGTGCTTCCTCCAGAGGCACTGAGAAAACCCAGCTCTGAACATGGTTGCTAGCTGAGCTGCAGTATTAACGTGGCATGCAGGACAGTTCAGCACTTTGTTTGGCATTTGATGTATTTGCAGATGGCTGTGGAGGTTTGAATTCTGCACTGTGTTTTCCCTCTCACTAAATGGCTGTGCATGTTTCATTGCATTGACTGAAGTTACCACTATATGTCTACTGAGTCTCTGAGCAGTTGCTTTGCAGGCGAAGATTAGTTTGTTTTCTGGTCATTGTTTAAATGAATATTAAAAGCATTCTATTGCTAGTTACAGGCAAACAATGGGAAATCACACTTAGGTTCACTGTAAGTCACTTTACACACAAATTAGGTTGGATGTTTTCCGTACATTTGAGTTTATTATAAGTTTCATTGTGGTATACATTTTCCAAACGTCAGCCATATCTTTAATGGCAATGAACCTCCACACAGATGGAAGCAGTCACAGGCAATTGCCTCCGTACTTCAAAAGAATTGATGTTGTGTATGTCTTTCTTGTTCTAGATGTCTTTGTGCCGAATGAAGAGAAGTTGCTAGTGAATCTTCACCAAAGCAGGGAGGTAATTGCATGCCCTTACTTATTCCTTGTGAATCTGTTTGATGAAGCATAATAGCTAATCACTGCCTTGCATTTCATTGGATTCAATCTTATTGTTTTCTATCAGCTGGCTCCAGAGTTTTTAAAAAATGAGTTAAGCAGTTCCTTTCAATTGATATTTGGCCTGTCTTCAACATTAAGCCACAAATAATAGTAACATATCAATTGATATTGATATTTTACACACCCTTGTGCTTCTTGCCAGCTTAACCAAGTCTCATATGGATTTTTTTTTGGGTTGGAAAACTAATTATCTAAGTTAATCCTCGAGAGTTGTAAATTCACCAATATTTTCTACATACCTTGGTGTTTAAAACCGTATTCATTAAGTTGATATGTTGTTTCTTGTAAGCCTCCACTAGTTTCTGAAACAGCCTACGAATAAATGAAACATAGCTCCTGTGTTGTTAAATGTTTGACCATTACCTTCCTTTTTCTGATTCCTGCACTAACTTTTCTTTGTAATAGCTGCTTGTTTCTCTGCTTGAAGAATTGCCGGATATGTTCCGAGAGACTCAGCAGGCACAGTGCGCTTTGGGGCCTGCATTGCAGGCTGCTCAGAAACTCCTGGCTTACAGTGGTGGTCGTGTGTCTGTGTTTTTGACCCAGTTACCCAACATAGGCTGTGGCTCCCTGCAGCCACGAGAAAGCCCTGGAGGAAGTAACCTGGTATGTAAGCCATGTTTCAATAATAATAATATCTTGGGATACAGTATACAGTTTGGGACATAACATGTGCATGCCACTACCAGGATGGTGGAAGGCAAACTGGATGGATCTTGGTCTTCTTTCATCTAGCAATTCTTTTGTTCTTAATAATAATAATAACAATTAATTACTTGGAAGAATTTTTTCTCCTCCCCTCCAACCCTACAATTTAATGTTTTTTTCTATTAACAAAGTTCACCTGAATAGGATTAAAAAGGGCGCTGAGTTCAAAGTGCTCAGATTTACTAGCCTTTTTTTTCTCTTATCTTCTCTCAGGGAAGTGAGCAATTGGGACCAGCCATCGACTTCTACAAGGTGCTTGCATTGGAGTTCTGTGGCCAGCAGACCTGTGTGGACTTGTTCTTGCTCAGCGAGCAGTATGCTGACCTTGCTTCCATAGGTAAATGCTACTTACGGTGTTGAGATAAAAAAATTAGTACAGTTGTCACAAATGTATTTTTTGGGGGCAATGTCATGCAGTGAAACTCTGTTGGGTTGGGATAATTGAAAAAGATTGATTGTAAGGAGATCTCTGTAAGAATGTAGCTTGTAAACACATTGTTACTTTTTGGTTTAGACAACCCGGTTTAGTGACCGTACTATACAATGTGTATAAGTACATAGGACTAGAAACTCCCCAGGTCATTTTCAAATGACATTTCTTCCCAGCTCACACACTGTTGCTCCAACCAATTTTGCCATCAAAAATGAATCCAATTCCCTCTTGAAATTGCCCGTGTCACCTGTCTCTACCAACTCTGTGAGCAAACTGTTCTGCATTGTTAATTATTTTCTATGTAAAGCAGTTAATTCTGAACTAGCTATTCAGCCATTCCCTTCTGAGTTTCAGACCATGACTCCTTACTGTGGACGTCTTTAATTCTTGATTACAATGTGTTTCTGCAGCTTGTATTTCCAGGTACACGTGTGGCTGTGTGTACTATTATCCAGGACTCCATCATATACACACCTATTTCTTGGTTGAGAAGTTTCAGGAAGAATTCCAGTACTATTTGACCCGTTCTGTTGGCTTTGAGGCGCTGCTCAGGATACGATACACACAAGGTGAAGGGATTTTCTTTGCACCCAAACAGGTGGGATGACTGATCCAGAATAAGCTGTGTATAATCAAAGTATATGGTGGAGCAGGGTGTGGACATTTATGACAAGTCCTTAAGCTTATGACTGTTTATAAGAAAGCATGCTTCATTGTAACCTTTGTCTTAACTCCATGAAATTCAGGTCTCCTTCTGCACACATTTTATGGCAATTCTTTCCTGCAGACGACTGAGCTGCTATGCCTGCCCACTATCTGTCCTCACACAGAATTTGCCGTTCAGATGTTGATTGATGGATCTCTGAGTGAGAGCACATTTGTGGTGTTCCAGTTATCTCTAATCTACACTTCCAGCCAAGGTACGACCCACTCTGCCAGCTTCTCCGCATTCTCAATGAGAATGCTTTTGGAACTAGCTTTATTCCCTTACATTTACTTCAGTCTGTGTCTGCTTTTCCTGCCCCCATGATGGTAAGCCATCCACGATATACTGCTTTTTAGCGGCAGTCAAGGTGCTGAATAATCCACCCATTTCCTGCTTAACATTGTAAATGTATTCCCCTTTGTTAGGTAATATTTTATTTTTGTTGCCTCCCTCCCTGAGTGAGAGGGCAGGTACTTTATTCCCAGGGCTCCGCAAAGCTGTTCTGTGAACTGCTGCTCCAACATGCATGCTGTAGCTGCAAACCATTTTCACTGTTGTTTGTGAGCTGACTTTGTAAGTTACTACAGGCCTTACTCAGTGCTGCATTTGTAGGTGAGCGGCGGGTTCGGATCCACACATATTGCTTACCTGTCGTAAGTTCCCCGAGTGAGGTTTATGCAGGAGTTGATGTACTTGCTACCGTGGGAATTCTTTCTAAAAAAGGTAAGATAATCTACAAACTGGTGAAACGAATAATAATTTCACACAAACATACATGAAGCATGATGGTGATATTGCTTAGTGGTGGAGCAAAGTGGTGATACATAGTTGGGTGGATCAGGTGCAACTTCCAACTCTCATCTAGTATCAGGGAATTAAGGAGGTACAGTGGGTTTGCACAGAATTGACCAAAACTCCCTAACTCCCTAAATTTGTGTTACCTACATATTTAACTATAACAACAAGGACAACTTGCCTTTATATAGCACCCTTCACTTTTACTACCTTGTACTGAGTCTGTGAAGCTAGGCCATTGATGTATACAAGGCTCCGGAAGGATGTCTGAACAGATTCCTGAGGTAAAACATTTAATATCTCTCCCCATTTTGACCTAGGTCCACTAAGGACTATCTTCTGCTTCCTTCCTTTCAGACAGTTACTAAGTCACATTTTATGTCTAATCTTTGATATCGAGTGTGATCAGTTTGTAAAGGAGTATTTCACATGGAGCTTTGTCAAAGACCATTTGGAAGGATCTTAGATCATATGCTTTCCATATCAAATTGATATTTGTTAACAACTCTTCAGAAAAATCACGGAAAACAGTTACAAGAATATGCCTCAGTGATTCCAAGACTTCAGGGGCCATTTCTTTATCTCAGCCTCACTTGAGTTCACAGTTTTAAAATATCTGCCTTAGTATTAAAAAAGTTTAGAAAGTGAAAAAATTAGCCAACAGAAGATGGCGGCCTGCATAACTATGATTGGGAATCACAGCTTTCTAGAAATTTTGGGAGGCTTGAGGATTTAAATATAGGGGTTCTAGGTGAAGGGATGAGAAGGAGGGATGTTAAGAATAATAGGGGGAGTTGAAACTTAAGAAGTTCAAAATTTGCGAGATGCCAACATTCCAAGGGTTACATGTATGAAAGGGTCTGTTTTGTCCTTCTCTACATGTTTCTTTACAAAGTATTCCTTTCTCTGTGTGGTTGATAATAATAATCATAATAATCCTTATATTTGATACCGCGGCTTATCATGTCTCAAAGCGCTTCAGAGGATACACTGTAAAGTGTAGCGACTGTGTGTTTTGTGGTTTCTTACAGCAGTGGATCGTGCAGTGAGGTCCTGCCTTGCTTACGCCCGAGAAGAACTGATGCAGGCTGTGACAGATGCTCTCACTGCCTACCAGAATTCAGCTTCCAGTCCACACCATTTTGGCCTCATCGTCCCTTATAGCTTACAGCAACTTCCGCTGTATGTACTGGCCCTGCTCAAACAGGTAAAAGGTCACGGCAGGATATAGTTCTATGTTTCTGTCTCCTTGTATCACTTGTACAGACTTGCTACACTGCTTCCAGATTTCAACCAGATTTTCCTCTATGGCAATGCGGTCATAAGTTTAGATAATCAGCATTTATTTTAAGCCTTTAGGAACACTAAATAAAATTGCACAATGTTTAAGTCTGAACACTTGCGCAGACCCCATGCTTTGAACTGTTGCAAAAGCAGTGTGTTGTAGGGCTCTGCGAGTTCACAAGTCATGAACTAGGAGAGGGAAATTTGAGTATTATGCGCATCCTTTCAATCTCTGTTAACTTCCTTTCTCTACATCTCTCTGTGCAATGCAATGTTGTTGAGAAAATGGGCAGGTGTGATGATAGTAATAATTTGATGCAGTACTTTATCATGGCAAAACGTTTCAAAGTGCTTCACGGAGTTTTCTGTGCATTTCTATAGGCGACTGTGTATTTTAGGCACAACCCCTAATAGTGTGATACTGATGGGACCAACTGCTGATATTAAACATTTTATGTTACAGTCGGCCTTTCAGACAGACGTAGCTCTGAGCCTCGATGAGCGTGTTTTCACTATGTACCAGCTGATGACACAGCCATTGACTTTTGTGATGCGGATGGTGTACCCTGACCTGTTCCGAATTGATACCTTCACCAGTGACAAGGTTACGTATGGTGTGAGCACTGGAATTAATGTGTAGCATGATAGATTTTCAGTGTTTTTTTTCTATTGGTGTTCATTCAATGGTATCCCAGATACATGATAGTGAGATTGGTAAACAAGCTTCCCTCCTGTTTTCTTTGTTTTACTCTAACAGACCTCCATGGAATCAGAAGATAAGACAGTGAAGAGACCAGCCTTGATTCAGCTCTCTGTAGATAACCTTACTCTTCAAGGTGCCTTTCTAATGGACTGTGGCAATGTAAGTGTTAATAAATGTTCAAAGAAACTTGGCAAAGAAATTGTTTCTAGAAACCCATTGAAAGATATACTCTTCTTGCAAATTAATGTATTGATCTTATTAAGAGATGTTGACTGAGAGAAAATACTGTTAGTTATACCTAGGTGGAGTCAAGGTAACTTGTAGATAACATTTCTCCCCTCTCTTTTTTTGGACTTGTATTGGAATCTTCTGCTTTCTTCTAACTGCCTGATTCAATATCGCTTTTGCTTTTCCAACGTTACCCTTTACCTGAATTGCACAATCTGGTAAAGACCCATTAGCTGTCTCTTTGTTTGTGTCTATGTCATAACATTTTTAATTGCTAATGTTTTCTTATTGGGCTGGCCCTAAAATCTAAAATGATGGAACATATGACATTAACGATATTTAGGATTACATGACAGTACAAAAAGCAGATAAAACTCCTATCTGAGAGTGTAGTGTACAAGATTCCAGCAAAATTCTGGTAGCAGCTACATATTCAGGCATACATAATTGCTGGTGAGTGAGTAGTGGTGTCCCATTTGTGGCAAGTTCTGAAAAATGCCCTAATGCTGCTTCGGTGGAATGCTTCAGTTACCAGACTGCTCTGTGTTCTTGTCATTAGGTTTTGTATATTTGGGTTGGCAAGCATTGCAGCACTAGCTTCTTGAACAAGGTTTTAGGAGTGTCGAGTTATACCTCTCTATCACCTACTCTGGTAAGTGGTTTATCTGCTATCTGTATCCACTGCAGAATTCTCGCTCTCTAAAACCCAGAAAACTGTGTTAAATTTTGATCACACAGGACTATCAGATTGATACCTGTCCATTTGCTCACAAGACATTTACTGTGGACTATGGATTGGACCATTGCTTACTTTCAGCTGTGTGCTGTGGAAGGATTAGTTGGATATTGGCTTTTAAAGAATAAAATTCTTGGTGTTTCTGATGTTACAGCATAACTCAGCTGCAACAGTAGTGTCAGAATGAAGCACAGTGCCAACAAGTAATAGAACCATTTAAATTCTTCATTTTTTTTCATCTCAGTGTGATTTATGGGCTGTTTTTTATGTTATTAAGATAGGGTTTGTCTGTTTGGTGACAGGTCATAAGATGTGCAGCTCAGCAATTGGCCAAGAGTGGCACAGACTGCTCTGGGAGCAGTTCACTTGTTCTGCCCTCCAATATGCAGTACGTACATGGTCTTGGGGGACACTGAAAAGGTAGATCATGAGTAGGGAAAAGCAAGTTATGTTCCATAAAGAGTTACATCATACCAAAATCACTGAGGAATTGGATGTCTGGGATTCATACAGCTTAGGTCATTTTCACATACGTTAGTCAGATGGCCATATTATATGGATATTCTTTCTCACCCCATCATACCCCAGCTTATTGATATTTGTGCTTATACAATATGTTTGCTGATGTCTGTCTAATTCTCTGTGCTCCGTAGTGAAAGGAAACAAGTGCAAACTAAAACTTAAGTGCTGTACAGTATTGATTATTTTGTTGTGCTGTATTTCAGACATTACTGCCTAAATTCCAGAACCCCACTTCAAAGCTTGTTCAGACATTAATAACATCCATGAGAAATGGGAGACTTTTTCATGCACCATGTTACGTCATCAAGTGAGTGAAAACTTTTACAAAGTATCACTTAAACTTTTTTTCAGACAGCCGGAGAAATATCCTGCACTATGCTGAAATCTTGGTCTCACAGTGAGGAAACACGTTTACATATCAAGAGCGATTCTCTGATTGTCCTTAATCAACTTTTCAAGGGAACGTTTTTGATTCTCCACTGATTAATAACCACCAACCTTCACATCCTCACGTGGGTTGGTCAAGTTACCTATGATTGGGATCCTTGAGTTCTAACTGGTGTTTGCACTACAGAGTGGATTGGAGAGGGATTGCAAGAGGTTCCTTTCCACAGTACTTGAGTGTCAGCCTGGCTCAGCTGGTTCCACATTTGCAACTGATTCGAGTGTAAGTTATGGCTCACATTCGAAAGCAGTAGAGGTGGCGTCCTTAACATGAGATGTTAAATCAAGGTATCATCTGTGGGTAGATATTAAAGGTACAGTGACACTATTTGAAAAGAGAGGGAGTTTCTTCAGTATCCTGGTCAATCCTTTAGTTAAATTGGTCAGTCACATCATGACTGTTTGGGACACATTTGCTGTGCACAAATTGACAGCATCTTTGATCTACAAATACACATTACAAAAAAACTCTGAAGTACTTTGACATGTTTTGACTGATAAGGCACTACAATATTTCAAATACAAGGATTTTTTTATTATTACTCAAGACTGCTTGCTCGTGGCTACACCAAAGAGCAGCATTACTATTTTCTTTTAATATGATCTAATTCTGGATCATCCATCAGACAAAGGAAGACAGGACAGGAGTGAATGAGAAGGAGCAGTCACACATCCTCCTTGGCTCAAATTCAATGTACCTATTAAGAAAACAGCAGAAAATCTTAAGTATATGTTTGCCAACAAGCTCCCTCAATGATTTACTAAATAATTACATATAGATAACTGATTCTATCTTTTGGCAGCTAAGCTTGTGTGAGGTGAGGATAAAGTTCTCACTTGCTGTGGAGGTGAGAGAAATGGAAATTTCCAAACAGTTTTGATACCAAACAAGGTGAAATATCACTGAATTTAAAAGAAGTTTTAAATTGTTAGTTTTATCTGAGGTTAATAATTGTCTGAAAAGTTTCATGCTGTGCTCGTTGTAGATTATTTATGACTTGATGGGCTGAATTACCTCGCTTCATTCCATACTTGATTCTTATTGTGTGCAATAACAGTCATGGCAGCAGGCGGCAGTATCTTACAGTCATAAATTCTGAAATCAGGGCTTTCAGATTGAGTGTAACAACAGGATTTAAAATGCCATAATAGATTATAGCTGCATTAAGCCAGGATCTAATAAGGTTGCTTTCTTAATTCGGCAGGGATGACAGTACTACGAGGAACACGTTTGTTCAGCATATGGTTGAGGACCGCAATGAGTCAACCATGTCATACTATGATTTTCTGCTTCACCTGAAGGAGCAGGTCTGCAAATGAATGCAGATGGATTGTTTGAATTTGGACGGGGAGCACACTGTATTGAACAAGCTACATATCAGTGGTAAATAGGGATGGTGAAAACTCACTCATCACAACTCTGAAGTGATTTGAAATATTTCAGTGTCATAAGGAGGCATGGAAATGCAGGTTCTTTCTTATATTGTTGAGTCCATTCATCCAAGAGGTGCTGGTACATCATTTTGTGAATGCCATAGATTAATGTGACTTGGTACATAGACAGATGCTGCTCCTTATACGTCCTTAGAGCCTTGGGACATCCTTCCGACGTGAATGGCGCTATATAAATGTAATTTTGTTGTATACACTCCTCTGTGTTAGGATCTCATGGCAATAATGGTGCAAGTCAACAGAATGAGATTGGGAGGACTGAGGTAACACTGAAGAATGATTTCTTATAACTGTTGATGGCCATTCTCACTTTGTAACTACACGTAATAACTGTGGTTGGGTTTTGTTGACTGAATGCTTTGCTTGCTGCCCAAGGTTGTTAAAGTTATAAAAAGGGACAGAATTTCCCTCCCCACTGCTGCCCATTTGGGCTGCAAACATTTTTTAAAAAATGTTCTCTTGTTTATAGGTTTATCCCCCCCGCTCGGAATAGTAATACAGCTCTCCGTTAAACAATTCCACAAATATTAGCCTGAGGGGAAAAAGCAGGTTTGAAAGGTTCGGTACCACATGCAGTACTTTGCAGATCGTTCTTGTGTGTCTCTTGAAAGCACTGGTAAAGTTTTTTTTTATCTGTTTTGTTTTCTTGGCCAAACCTATATTGAAGGCTTATCCTTTTCAGACCAGCAAAGCACTACATTAAGGATATGTTGTGGCCAACAGTGTCATGAGAAATATCTCCACAAGTGAGGCTCACTTGAGAACCCATGACCAATAAATACTTGTAATTGTAGCCCGAGAAACAAGTTCCGCTGCAGTGCTGTAATACATTATATATTTCCTACACCTACTGCATTGCCACCTACTGAAAACAAAATGGTATTGTAGGAATATTTATTAAGCTAAACTAAGCAGACAGCTGATGGCCAACTCCTGCTCACTTAAAGCAGGGTGGTCTTAGCTGGACAAACAGAGGGAAGCATGCCAAATACTGCTCTTAATGGCAAGCTATTGTTTTAGCTGGTTAAACACTAGAGGTAGCCCAACGCTCACTCTGCCGTCCCCAAGACTTGATCCTCAACAACTAGCACTAATACTCGCGAATAGGTAAGCAGAGTGAGTTTGTCTGGAGGAGAGTACACATTTTGTTCCAGACAGAGGAAAATTTCAACATGTGGGTAACATACAAATGTGGAACTGTCTTGCTTGGATACTCATGCTTGGTGGTGGGTTTCTGCATGTGTCAGATCTGTTTGACCCCCAAGATTGGAATAATCTACTAAAAAAGGCAATAGAGGCAAACATATTGGGGCTAGTCAAAACTCACTAGTATGAGTTCATGTAGCAATGGGATGAGCAGCTTTGGTGGGCTTCATGGCATCATCTTATTCCAGAGTTTTCTTATGTTAACTGCAAGATAAACTGCTTATAATTTAATATCCATATATGAGCATTGATACTGGATTAAAGGCTTGTAATCACTGCAGAGATGTGATCTCTTTGTCATATATACCGAGAATTTTATAGAGATTGTATTCCTTTATAGGCTCCTTTTTTTCTGCTGTTGATTGCCAGAGCACTCAGGGCTGTTAATGCATTTTGATATTCAAAGATAATGATTATGAGATAAATGCAAGTGTATTGAGAGATAATCTGCATCTGATTACTAGGAATTCTATGGTTGGTATACTTACTAGAGATTACATCTTCAGTCACAGAAAGGTTTCTAAAGATGCTGAATGGATTAGCTATCATAAAATGCTGTTTTATGAATTTGTTAACAAAAATTGAATTTTGCTATGCTTTCTGATTCTACTGAAATATGTTGTTACTGTTGTAAATACTAAGTAATGTGAGTGCTCACAAATAAATCTTAAATTTAATATAAACTGTATCATAAACCCAGGATTGCTTTGTGGTCAGAATTAAACAACCAATGGATTAATCAACCCATCAGACAGATAGGCCAGGATGATCAGTTTTGATCTGCCCTTTCTATCCATTCCCAGTTATAGTTCCATGCTGGTAATTTCTCAGTATTTGCATTGTATTTGTGCAGTGTCATATTCATGATCCAGTTTCTCTTTGCATGATTTCTTAAACTGCTTCCTTTTTTTAAAAAAAAGAATTTCTCTCCCTCCCATTCCTTTCTACAGTTGCTCCTCAAACGTATATCACTTCCCGACAAACAGATCGACACTCAGCCTCCATGCCATGTCTCTGCCATTTCTGCTTGGTACACTTCAAACTAATTCAATATGTGAAGCTCCCTGAGACATTTTGACATTGATAAAGGGTCATATGAATTTCAACAACAACTTGCATTTGTAGAACATCCTTCATGCAGAATAGCGTTTCAGAACTCTGATTACTTTTAAAGAGTGGCAAGTGGACACTAGTGCATATGCAGAGTTAATAAAATAAATGCGGATTTAGTAAAAAAAATCAATGGGAAGGAGAAAAAGCAGCCAGAGTTAAAGGAGGAAAACTAAAGTTGAGAGGTATCCAAATAAGTTGTAAGTTCATTACATTAAGATTTGTAGCCCTTGCTCAGTAAAGATTTTTTCTGGTCTTGATCTTTAAAAGATTTGACTACGTTTATTGCATTGCCTCTTCCCAGCGACTTGGGAGGCAGAATGCAGAATTACAATTTACTGTTGTTTCTGCAGCGTCACAGAGTGGCTGGAACCTGACATTACAACAGGATCGATATCTTGAAGAGGCAACAGGTTTTTGAATCAAGTTTTCCCAATTTATATTCTTTTACCGATCATTTAAAACAATCATTTATTTATAAATTATTGGTATTAGTTTACCCAACATAGCCAGAACACTCATTCTCGTGCCTTTGTCACCTTCAGACTTGACACCTCCAAACCCCTGCTCGCCCGTCTCCCCTGGTAGTTTGAATTGAAAGTTCATTGTCATCCCCTTCAAATGCCTCTACAACCTGCCTCACCCTCGTCCTGTTCCACTGACTTCCTATCCCTCAGCAGATCAATTTCAAGTTCCTTATCCTTACCTTCAAATGCTCCAAAGGCTTAGCCCACCTTACCCCTGTGATCTCATGCAATCCAACTCCCTTGGACAACACTCTTTGTTCCACCAAACTCTGGCCTGCTTCATGCACCCCGTTTGCTCTGCCCGAACAACCTTTCTACCACGTTGCCCCCACTTTTTGTAGCTCCCTCGTTCTGATTTTTTCCCCCCTAGTCTAAAAACCTAACTCTTCAACTGTACGTTCAGCCACTAATAACCTCTACTTATTACCCAGCTCAGGCACGCATCCATCCTATCTTATAATAGCATTTCATAATAATAATCCTTGCATTTGATATAGCGCCTTATCACATCTTCCAGACATCTCAAAGCCCTTCACAGAATATACTGCAACATGGAAACATATAAGTGAATTGACTGTGTATTTTGTGGGCGAAACGCAGCAGCCAATTGTGTTCGGCGGTGACCCGCACACAGCCGTGGATTGAGTGACCGATGTAAAGGTTGGTACCCGAGAGGCTGTTTGTAGCGGATAAAGTGCGGCCGCACATTCCTATTGGCCCAGGATGACTGACTGGCAGTGGGAACACCAGGCTGATTGGTTCAATTTATTCTTGCATTGTGCTGGCCAGATCCGCTTTCCTCTTTTGATTGGCGAAGCGGGACGTCAATCACCTGTCAATCCTCCCGTGCGCCCACCTCCGCCCGCGGATTGGCAAAAGGGGCTGTCAATCACTAGTCAGTCCCGCCCTCAGCGCCTGACGACGGGCAGGAGCAGCCCCCCGATTGGCCGGGACGCCTGTCAATCAGCCCTGAGCCAGTCTCTCGCTGATTCTCGCAAGATGGCGGACGCGGTTCAATTCACTGAAAACGGCGGCGCGGCGGCTGGAGCGGACGGCGACGGCTTCGGCTCCGCCTTCTACAGTTACGGCTCGCAGCAGCCCAGCGCCGACAACGCCTTTTCGGGCATGGCCAAAGCTAAGCCCGGGGCCGAGGAGGCGGCGGCAGCAGCAGCAGCAGCAGCCGCCGCCGCGACCGGCGAGGCGACGAGCAGCGAGGCCTCGGGGCGGATGGAAGGCGCCGAGGACGGCAGCTCCGAGCAGAAAGACGTGGAAGGATCCAAGATTAACGCCAGTAAAAACGAGGAGGATGAGGGGTAAGCGAGAGGGAGGCCGCGGGGAGGGAAGGGGCTGCAGTACGAGGGGAGCCCTCTCCCCCTCTCCCCCTCTCCCCCACCCTCACCCCCTGTGTACATTTTATATATTTTTGGGTATAAAATTGGGTTCCGAGGCCTGAGGCCTGAGCCGTAACCATAACGGGGCTGTAACTCTCCCGGGCCCTGTTATTGCGCCTGTGACCCCGGGCTTTGAATTCACTTCACTTCAGCCCTCCCTCCCCCTCCCCCCCCTTACCCCTTACCCTTACCCCCCCTTACCCCCCCCTCCTTACCCCCCCTCCTTACCCCCCCTTACCCCCCCCTCCTTACCCCCCTTAACCCCCCACCTACTACCCCCCACCCACCTACTACCCCCCTCCCCCCTCTTTACCCCCCCCCCCCTCCTTACCCCCCCCTCTCCTTACTCCCCCCTCCCTACCCCCCCCCCCCCCCCGCCTGAGGTGCACAAACCCACAGCGAGTGTCTGTGTCGGAGCGGAGATATGTAGAGCGGAAAAAAAATATAGGGGTTTGGTATTTATCGCAAGGTCCGAAAAAAGAAGCTTCTCGAGTCGCCGGGAGGGGTGGGGGGAGATGCACTGAATGTAACGGTTTAAATCACATCGAAGATTGCCCACCGTGAGGTGTGGGGGTGGAGGGGCTGAGAGGTGAAGGGTGTCATCAGTCACAAGTTATAGTTTTGAGTCACTTAATAATAATAATAATCCTTGCATTTGATATAGCGCTTTTCACGTTGGGAGGACGTCCCAAAGCGCTTCACAGAATATACTGTAAAGTGAATTGACTGTATATTTGTGGGCGAACGCGGCAGCCAATTGCGCACAGCAATGTCCCACAAACAGTCGTAGATTGAAAATGACCAATTTATTATTGTTTTTGGTTTTGGAGGGATTATTATTAGGCTCTGTGTGGAGTAAGGAAACTTGCCCAAGGTTTCGCCCTCTGCCTGGAATTGAACTCAGGTCTCTCGCTTGCAAAGCGAGTACCGAGAGTTAGAATTTCCTCGGCACTTTCTGACAATTCCAGTTTCAAACATTTTCTTTCTTCTCTGAAGGATTTGTGCGTTTCTTTGTGGGTTTGTTTGCGGATATAATTTTTGCGGGTGAGCAACGTTGCATTTCGCCCGCAACTATACGGTCCATTCATTTTGCAGTCTCTTCCCTGAAGCGCTTTGAGATGTCGAGAAGACGTGAAAAGCCCTATATCAAATACAAGGATTATTATTATTATTAGGAGTTTTAATGAATGTATTAAAGTGAGAGACCTGGGTTCTATTCCCGGCTGGGTGAAACGTTGGGCAAATTTCCTTACTTCACACGCCTCTATTTACCTAGCAGTAAGTAGGAACCCGGTTGTTAGTCGATTGGCGGATCGCTTTTCCGCAGATAATAATCCCTCAAAAATAGATAATAATTTGGTCACTAAATCCACGACTGTTTGTGGGACACTGCTGTGCGCAATTGGCTGCCGCGTTTCGCCCACAAAATACAGTCACAATTGACTTTACAGCGTATTCTGTGAAGTGCTTTGAGACGTCTTGGAAGATGTGAAAAGCTCTGTATCAAATGCAAGGAGGGATTATGTATGTATTAGTAGAGCAAAGGTAACAAATGAGTCACAAAGATTGTTTTTTTTGTCAATTATTTCTTTTGGTCAACTGGATGGTCAACTGGTCAACAGATGAAATTGCGTAGTTTGCCATTGAAAGCACAGCTGGCAAGCTTTCCCATTGCTTGTCCAGATTGGGCCACCGTGCCTGTTGGAGCTTTGGCTTGCAGAGTTAATGAGAGCTCAGTGGAAAGAGTCCCTGCTCACAGTGACTGGTCTGCCCTTCCTGGGTCTGCTGATGAAATAGGCTGCCTTAGCAGTGTCCTGGAGCACTCCAGAGGAGAGTTACCAGTTGGTCATTTAACATCTGACAAATGCAGGTTTGAGCCCTCACTAGGTGGGTGGCAAGTACCAGAACTCCCTCCCTTTGCCCACAAATATACAGTCAATTCACGTTACAGTATATTCTGTGAAGAGCTTTGAGATGTCTAGAAGATGTGAAATGTGATAAGTCAAATACAAGGAATATTATTCCTGGTGGCCATACAACTCAGCATGAAAAGTGTGAGAGCACACACATTCCTTCCCATTGAGCAATGGTTCCACCAGTTGGCAGTGAGGAGATTGAATAGCAGCTGCTTACCTCTCTACAAACCAATCAAGGTAGATTTCAAGTGTTGGGTGTATGGAAGTGTATTCCCAATCTTAAATTCCAGATAAAACTTTCCAGCAGCTGTCATCCCATGCCTCAGAGTTACCTCATCAGCTGTCTGATGGACATCTCCCTTCAGCGTGGTGAGAGGATCTTTACAGTACGGCTTGTGATGCTTCAGTTTTTTTGATGAGTTCAAGGTCCACGTCTATTGTCAAGTAACAGGCTTACTCAGCACTAGCTGGTTAATGTGAGGGGTTTTAGCAATTAGACATGCCCTCTGTTCTATTGATGTGTCTAATATCATTAGATGATTCTGAGGCAAGTACCTATTAAAACATGAGAATGCATAGAATAACAAAAGATCATTAAGTCTGTTCCTTCCACAGACCATGTACTATCCTATTTAGGATTGTATTCCAATGATTTAACCCTCAACCTCAAAATTGATTCCCAAAGGTAACTGAGCAAATCGGTAGTACGAGTCCTGTATCTCTTAATTCCATTTCCTCACCTTTTCTTCATACTCTTCATAATACCATTACTGTACAAGTATATATCTATTTCACATCCCATTTGATTGTGCCTCCAGAATCTTTAGGGGGGGATTGTGACTCAACCCACCTACCACTCCATAACGCATTGCTCCACAGCAATCAGTTTGTAAAAGCTTCAAACATAAGTAGCTGTTTGCTACTTGTCTGACAGGTAATTTGTAATGCATCTGAATACATGATTGTGTTCCATATTTCTAACCAGTTTCCGCTGACCTTTCTGCTCATACCAATGGTATGTATGTATAGTCCTGTAGCTCAGTAGTTCGAGCACTCACCTAGCAAGAGAGAAATCTGGGTTCGATACCCGGCAGGGCGAAACGTTGGGTAAGTTTCCTTACTCCACATGCCTCTGTTTACCTAGCAGTAAGTAGGAACCTGGTTGTTAGTCGATTGGTGAATTGCTTTTCTGGGGGTAATAATTCCTTAAAAAAAAATTAGTCACTCAATCCACAACTGTTTGTGGAACACTGGTGTGTCCAATTGACTGCTGAGTTTCTCCCACAAAATATACACTCAATTCACTTTACAGTATATTCTGTGAAGCGTTTTGAGAAGTTTCGAGAAGACGTGATAAGGCGCTATATCAAATGCAAGGATTATTTCCTAGCATGCTGCACCCTATTCCTCCCCAATCCCGATTGAGCAGCTTGGAACAAAACCATAATATCCACAGTATATTTGCTCATCTGTCCTTGGCTAACCTTATAAACTTAAGCACATTTCCAACTGACCTATTCATCCTACTCTCTTTCAACTGACTTAGTTAACAAGTGATTAACTACTCTTACTGGTAGAATAGCCTACATCTACTTCATCTATGCTTCTCACCATTTTAAAGTTCTTGGAACATGTCTTTCCTCTTTAACTGCACCCACATTTTTTTCTCCGATGGAAACCACTTCTCCTGTCATTTGGCTATTACCTCTTTTAGTGTGGTCATCTGCATATCAATACTACTTTTGGTAATGAGCAAATATTACAACTCTTCATGGCTTATAGTGTGTACATCTGGGCAGTTAGCAGTCTTGATAACAGGTTTGATTTTGATATGTGTATTTGTGCAAAGGTGGCCAGGAGACTTCTTACTACTTGTTTTACAGTGGAACAAACTAACTTTAGAAATTAAATATATAGCATTTGTAGATATGATTCAAATTTGATCTGTTTAGGTATGTAAATGTGTCACTGTGTTTCCAGTAAAGAGCAATGGTGGGAATGTGAATTCTTGTAACATTTTCATGTTACCTTTGGGAAATTCTCCAGCATTATAGTAGTTTGAAGGGAGTTTGTCCCATGTCCTGGCCAACAATCCCCAAAATAAAATTGGTCATTCACTTTATGGCTGTTTGTAGGACAATGCTGTGTGCAAATTGGCTGCCATGTTTGCTCCAAAACAGTCACTGCACTTTACAGTAAATCCTGTGAAGCGCTTTGGGACATCCTCCCGATGTGAAAAGCACTCTACCAAATATTAGGATTATTATTATCAGTGGTCATTTTTATTGTTGCTAATATATGACTTGTATAATAATAATAATCCTTGCATTTGATATAGCGCTTTTCACGTCTTCTAGAAGTCTCAAAGCGCTTCACAGAATATACTGTAAAGTGAATTGACTGTATATTTGTGGGCGAAACGCAGCAGCCAAATTGTGCCCAGCAGTGTCCCACAAACAGTCGTGGATTGAAGTGACCAATTTACTATTTTTATAATAAAGTGTTGTCTTACGTGGTAGTGTTGTTATGTACAGTATCCTAAATGGAAATTAATTCCATATTTGTGATGAAAGATGAGGTACAAAATTGCCTTTGTCCTTTATCCTCAAGCATAGGAACTTTGTAATTAAATTGTTTTGTGGATATATGTGTGCTAATGATTTGTTTTAATGGATCAGAGCTTTTTTTTAAAGCTTTGATTTCATTATTATGGCAACTACTGGCCTCAGAATGTTACAGATGAAGAGGATTTGTGCATTTGGAACATTTGTTGAGTACTGTATTTGTAATTGCTGTAGGTTTGATCCTGCAGCACCAGTGACTCCTGCTTGGAGCTCATGCTTGTAAATGCCATGTGAGAACAGAATTGAGCTGTGCTTTGATTCATCGCCACTCCCTCCAGTCAAATACTGTAGCATGTCAGTACTCGCTGTGTAGGCTCACACCTATACAATAGCCACTTGAGTCCAAAGTGTTAGGCGAGGAGAGAGCCAGGGTGACTGCAAGTGTTCTTGGTAATTTAACATTAGTTGTGTAACCACAGGTCCAGAATTGAGAGTATAATTGTAAAAATTGTCTGTTAAAATCCAGAATTGGAGATGCAGTGTTCTGGTAATGCAGGAGAAAGTGAGCATTATCCAGTGCTGCTCAACACCAGACTTAAGATAATAATTTGTACTGGCACTATTTTAAAAAACTGATTTGCACTTCCTTTTTTATATTATCACTGTGCAGGAAGATGTTTGTTGGTGGACTCAGCTGGGAAACGAGCAAGAAAGATTTAAGGGACTACTTTTCTAAGTTTGGAGAAATTGTAGACTGCGTAATCAAAATGGACCCTGTGACTGGGCGTTCACGAGGATTTGGTTTTGTCCTCTTCAAGGATCCTGAAAGTGTAGACAAGGTAGGATTTGGTATTAACTGCCTGTTTTTAACCTGGCTTTGAACAGGTCAAATGAGAAGCATCCTGATTTTATAAAATGTACAAGGTTGAACAGTAGAATTTTTGTTTCCATTTTAGATTTTTATTTTCACCCATTTCAGGTCTCCAGATGCATGCACCGTTATTTCACCGAGAAGGCAGACAACCAGCTTCTAGGCCTTTGCAAAGGCCACTTGAGTTGCCACTAGGAAGTGTAAGAGAGTAATCAACCCATAGTGACAATTTATTTACTCTTCTACTTTCCCTTTTTTGTAGGGATGTGTTTTTGCGATGCTATAGTAGAGATTGAGAAGATTGGGTGTTAACTTGTGTCCAGCACTACAGTGATACAACAGTTCCTAAAATGTATAAATGAAAAAAGGCTGTCAAACATTAAGCCTTATATAATAAGTTAATGTAAATCCAGGGGTTGACATCTGGAAAAATTGGGTGGATGTCTTAGTACAAAAATTCTATCATAATGGAAAATGGGTTAGCATTTTGAAGTAGGCAGAACTATTTTTTTATATCAAATGAAAGGATTATTTTTTAAAGTGTTTTTAAATGGAGTATTTTTTCTTTAAATTGTTGAAGATGTTTTAAAAATGGATTCAATTGAAACCTGCACATATGAGAGCTTTGGGGTCGTTTACTGCTGTAGGTATTTTTTTTATTTTGTGAATTCATGGAACAAGAAGTGGCAAAAAGTTTTGCTTGTTCAGTGTGGTTCTAATATAGTTCTAAACAGTTTAAATGTAGGACAGGTCATCAAAAGGAAGATGTGCACTTCCTCCGTAAAACACTGGGAGTAAATCTTTTGGGATGTCTGAATTTTGCTGCATTATCTATTTGTGGTATTTCTCAGTATCTCTTCCATTACTCTCTTTACCCCCTTTCAACGCTGCACATTTTTTTTAGGTATACTGATGTTTATTGTTGAAGCATGATATGATCTACTGCCAGCTCTGCATCAGCTTGTTGAAAAGCTTTACTGGAGTTAATTTTAAAGATTATCAAACACAATCAGCCTGGATGGAGAGTGTCTGTCAGTAGAATTGACCTTGATAATAAACTTTGCACTTTGCTGTGTACGCTTTTGTGGGGACGTGCACCTCAGATTTAGCTATACAAAGACCACTTTTAAACAATAAGCATCATTTCTCAGAATTGAGCTATTTTGAGTATTCTGGTACCAGTCATGCCACTGCATCTCAGTACTCTTTGTACTACCTTGAAGCTTTATTACTTTGAAATTTTGATGAAGGCAAGTTTGTAAATTAATACATCTTCAAATGCTTCAGCAAATAAGACAACAATCTTTAATGTTGAAATCCATTGTTGAACTCACTTTTGTAGGATCATCTAGAGAAATCTAATAGGTGTAGACAGAGCTTGCGTATAGAGAAAAATTGTAATGCTGCATTTAAAGCTAGGATTTTTGGAAGCTCAAGCACTATGGGGAGAAGGTATTAGCATCAGTTTAAATATTGCAATGGAATCTGCATCATGGGGAGAGTCATAACTAAATGGGAAACTTTGAAATGGGATAATGTGCATGCTGGTTTGATAGCATTTACACTGCCAGTATAGTTTGAACTGAGATCATAAGAAATGCTAGACCTAAAAAAGACCATGGTCCATCTAGTTCGCCTTCCACCTTCCTGGCGGTTGTATGCATATGTCATTTTTATTCCTCTACTCTTTCAACTCTGGAGCTAGATTGTGTCTGCCTTGCCCGAGCGACCATTGTCTGAGTCAGGGCAATGTGTGTCATATTTATCTTACCTGGAAGTTGGATCCTAATTGTATCAACGCTAAGCTCGATTCAGTCCCCCTATGACCTCAACACATTGGTTATTCACTCGTGATTAGGACCAGGAACTCTGTTCTGTTTTCATCAGTTTTTGTCCCTACAGCTGACGATTGAAAAGGCATTAGCTACTCTGTACCATGACACTAATGTATTAGGACAATGTTGAATCTATGGGAATCATAATTTGATTGTGGTGAATTTGAGATTTTTTTTCATTTCATGGCCAGAAATATGTGGCTGGAATATACAAGATTCTTGTTGTTAATCAGCTGCTTCTTAAAGATGAATATTCCTGTTAATCTCTGTTCTGCAGTCGTTTATGTCTAACTGAGGGAATTTGCCAGATAGTATACAGGAATTGGCTCTTGTTCGAATGTATTCCAATTCCAGCAAATGTTTTAATTCTAAAACTGCTACAGTAAAATCCATACCAATAAACTGTACAACTTCATTCAATGAGTATTGTTAAATTGTGAACTCTTATTAATTTATAACTTTAGAACTGTATATTAAAAAAAAAAGGTTCAGGTGCTATTGTAGAATTAAAATTAATCTTTGCGAAGAATTGTTCTGCACTCAGTAAGAAAGATGAGAGCATTCACTTTGAAACTTGCAAAATAAAGCATTCACGTTCAACAGTGTGTTCAATCCAGTTATATTTGGAACTGTTAAATTCAGTCAGGAACATGCTTCACAATAGTAAACCCAGTATATCCACTGTAATTGGCAGTATGATTTAGAGATGGTACCATAAGTAATTGATACCATTTTAAAATATATTTTTGCATTTTGTGGATTTATTAAATTTGTGATCGGGAGGAGAAAATAGTTTGGCATCGGTTACTAATTTTCTTCTCTCCTTTCCTAAAGGTGCTGACTCATGGTGGGTTCCAAGGGCAGCAGCAGTGAGTGTCGGCAGGCTATTCAACCATGGGAGAGGCTGCTGCTTTTGAAGGGGAGGAATGATTAGATAGCAAGCAGGAGACCCTGGTTCATTTCCCCTCTTCTCTTTGAACCCAGGATGTTGAGGCAAATTTAAGCAGCCCTCTACTAACATTCAGCCTAGCTGAAATTGGCTAAGACAAACTGGAATGGATTGTGGAACCATTCTAGCTTGTATGGCTCTATCACACTGGGTGATGCATTTGCTCACTAAACTGTCAATGGCACTCTGGCCAGAAGTTCTATTGTGAACCATGCACTCTTGGCACTCGTAGGCTATATTGGATTTTGGAATATTTCCAAGATTAAATGAACAGCGTTATTCAACTTGCTCTGCAGAGGGATGTTCCATGGTTTCTTGTTAAGATGAGATAATTAGTGTTAATGGGAGCATGGGAAAACTTTAATAATTTGGGCTGGAATTTTAAATATGTTTAAATCTAATAACCGCTCTAATTGTAACTTTAAATTGTTAGTCTTAATTGTTGCAAAATTTCTAGAAAGTGATTGAAAGCACATTTAATTTTAGTTTGGAATCATTTGCTATGTTTTTATATTTGTAGTTTATTGCTACTGTTACTGCAAGTATTCATATAGGCATAGATATTGTAGTACATTTAACCTACCTTGCTGCAATGTAAGTGAGTGTACAGGTTATCTACAAAGCTAATGCATTTTGCTGTGCACATAGACCAAGGTTAGGTTAAATAGAAATCCAATACCTAATGACTGTTCTCAAAAGAATGAAGTGCTTGTGCATGAGGTCCTAGTATTTTTCTGAAGCAAATTGTGTTGCTTCTGTTTATCTTAATCTTTGGCTTTCTTCACCTATGTTCTATCATTTAAAGTTGACTTTAGTACAATTCATTTTGCAATTTGAAGCAATGAATGATCATGATTTTCTTCGCAAACGTCCAGGTATTGAAATACAAAGAGCACAAACTTGATGGGAGAGTTATTGATCCGAAGAGAGCTCAAGCTATGAAGGGAAAGGAACCAATCAAAAAGATCTTTGTGGGTGGTTTGGACCCTGACTGTCCAGAGGAAAAAGTGAGGAACTATTTTGGAACTTTTGGAGAGGTAAGTTGTTGCAATGAATTTGTCAATCTATTTATTTCAACTTATAGGATACTCTAAATTATTTTTCCCAGAATCATAAAAACGAGAGCTAAACTTTAAGTGCCTCGAAAGGTTTCCAGACACTTCAGGCCATCTCCTGTGCTGAAGATTTCTATGCTTGAATTTTTAAAATGTATTCTCTTTATTTTGGTTGTACTTAAGTTGTTTCTGAACACTTTGCTGGGTAATGGAATGTTCCAGATCCCGAGCTGGAATAACAAATTCACACTACATAGTTAATTGAAAAAAATTAAAACCCTTTGCAGTTACTTAAACCTTGAGGGTATTTAGCTTCAAAATTAGGTTATTGTGAAGATATCCATGTCTTTCCAGGGAATTTGGAAAAAAATACTTAACAGTGGTTTTGTTTGATTTAATAGATTGAATCTATTGAGCTTCCTATGGACACTAAGACCAACAAGAGAAGAGGTTTCTGTTTCATAACGTTTAAAGATGAGAATCCAGTGAAGGCAATTATGGAAAAGAAGTTCCATGATGTTGGTACAAGCAAGGTACGAATGTGATTGTGGAAAGCTTTATAAAAGTTTTGGCCTTGAGGTACATGGCATTTTTTCCAAACTCTTTTTAGGACCTCCTTAAATTAGGAATATGTAAAGTTTAGCTATCCAGCTATTCAAATCCTTTGGATTGTGGAGTCCTGTAGCTCAGTGGTTAGAGCACTCGCTTTGCAAGCGAGAGACCTGAGTTCAATTCCAGGCAGGGCGAAACCTTGGGCAAGTTTCCTTACTCCATATGCCTAATAATAATCCCTCCAAAAAACCCAAAACAATAATAAATTGGTCATTTTCAATCTACGACTGTTTGTGGGACATTGCTGTGCGCAATTGGCTGCCGCGTTGGTCCACAAATATACAGTCAATTCACTTTACAGTGTGTTCTGTGAAGCGCTTTGGGACATCCTCCCGACGTGAAAAGCGCTATATCAAATGCAAGGATTATTTATTTATTATATTTATTGTTAATATGATTTATATTTTCATATAAATGTGATTTGCCACATTAGTAAAGTTCATATTTCAATACATTTTTCCCAAAGGTTGAAATCAAATTGGCCCAGCCTAAGGAGGTGTACCAGCAACAGCAATGGGGAGGCCGAGGTGGATTCTCTGGTAGAGGAAGAGGTAGAGGAGGTATTGTTTGGGATATTCTAATCAAGTGTTCAGCCCTCATTTCATGTAAAAATGTAAAAAAAAAGTGAATTATTCAAAGCTGCTTATTTTGGGATAAAATTCTTTGTTGTAGCCAATGATGGTAATTCATGAGCTTTGTAGAATTCATCTCGCCAGTACCCACATATACATGTTCACCGTGTTGGTGTCTATTGAGCGATTGCCAAGTGTAATTTCAAGAAGGGATATTTGGATCATTAATTTTGATGATCTTATTCAATGTTTAAATTATCATAAATGCATGAGATCTCAGAACATTTAAGGTCAAATCACTTCATTTTAGAGTAGTTACATTTATCGAGCACTTTTGGTGGGTGTTCGGAAAAAAAAGATTGCTCAAGGTGAGGAATGCTAATGCTGAAAATAATACTTGCATATTTAAGCAGCTACAAAATTAAACTTGTGTTTGGAAAAGTTCCTGGAATTGGAAACCATAGTTAAGTGATTCAAATCTGCAAAGAACTTTTATTTTTCAAAGATATGATACAAGCAGCAAGAGATACCTCTGATGGATCAAAAGGTAAGAAGTAATAGTAATGGTTTTGTTCAATCATGCAAATAGAGTTATGGGGACATTGCAGTTGGCTTCAGTTCCTCCTTACTAGGAAGGGAGGAAGTCCCTCAGTGTTCCTGTTTGCTATCCGGTGATTTGAGATGGAAAGTGGGCATTGGATTGGTTCACAGCAATACCCACAAGGTCAGTTAACTTGTCAATGGTTGTTTGCTTGGCTTGTATGTGAAGAATAGCCACTTGAGCAAGCCTCTTGGTACTTTTCCTGGTTGCCTATCCAGTAGGAGACTTAGCATTTTTTTTCCTATCTAGTTTTCTCCCTTGATAGTATCCCTCACCAGCTGCACCAGTGGCAAGAATGCCCTCATGCGCCAGTGTTGCTGCATAATTTTGCCTTCTTTTGCATTGTTCTGTAAATTGCATCTAGTTCCTGTATCACCCACGAACATTTATTTTAATCATTACCACAGACCAGTTCTCTACATTGGCTCTCTGGAGACTTGTATTTTGACTTGACTGCTCCATTTTCTTTTACATATTAAAGACACCTTTAGCTCCTCCTTTGCAAACTAGCTATAAATCATTTTTTAATCCCAATTTTTAAATACATTTGTTTTCTTTGCTCTCCTGACTAGGACAAAGCCAAAACTGGAACCAAAGCTACAACAGTAACTATTGGAACCCAAGTTATGGAAACTATAGCTATGGCTATGGCCAGGGTTATGGTGGGTATAGCGGCTATGACTACCCAGCATACAACTATGGCTATTATGGTTATGGACAAGGATATGGTGATTATAACAGTAAGTTTTATATGCCAAAGCCTTTTCTCCTTTGTAAATTGATGGAATTCCAGGAACGAGTGACCTGACAGATTTATCTACGGATTTAATATACCTGTACAGCTATGCTTTACACGCATTTTACTGTTGGAACATCATTTGCTTGCTTTCAACTATTTTTTTATTCTTAATTTTTTGAACGAATATGCAAGTGTTTAGATTTCCAAAGTTTTATTTCAAATTTCCTGCATTTGTCATTCGCCTTCATTTGAAAGAGCAGTTTGGCATTATCTGCAAACAAGCAAGCTATTCAAACCCCGCCACAGTGTAGAAGTATCAAAGAGCAAATTATCTTTGGGAAACTAACCTAACATTATTTGCATTTGTTGAATGACCTACATTCAAAATAAGGGTTGCTTGAATTATCCTATACCTTGTGATGAGGGAGAGTTCAAAATACTGTGATCTGTAAATTGAAAAGTACTACTGTGTCAGATGTACATTTAGGAACTAATTGGCCTGGAGTGGTGAAGTTCGATTTTCATATTTGTGTATTATCTGTTACTATGTAGGTACAAATGCACAGCTACACCAGAAGAGCATTCAAAGCCATATTTTTTTATCAATTTAAGACAGAACTGAAAACGTATTTTATGCTGACAAATTTTACTTTCAGATCAACCAGGCAGTTACGGTAAAGCTCCAAGGAGGGGAGGTGGTACACAAACTCAGTACAGGCCTTATTAAACAGCCTGGCTATGGTGAAGATCTTCATAAACAAGGTAAGATGTATGTTTCCCTGGTCTTTCAGATAAATTTGCACATTTATATTTAAAGAGCTAGTTCATTGGTTTTAGTTTACTTTGAAATGTTGTTCAAATTTCCCTTGCATCGGCTGTTAGCTCTGACCTATATGAAAATGTCTGTCTTCAATGGGAGGCACATCATAAGATCAGTTTACAGCAGCTGGATATTAATCATATCACTGAAGTTTTTTTAAAAAAAGCCAGCTTTCATTAGACAAACTTTCTTTAATTGCTTGCTTAAAATGTACTATTGTGATGCCAAGCTAAATAATATCTTAATTCTGTTTGGTGTATTTTCCAGTGCAAATTTTCTAGTGCTGACGTGGATGTTGGTTTGAATAAACCTACATTTACCCTTTAATTCATTCATTACCTTTAAAGGTATGGATGAGTGTATTCATTTTTTAATTAACTATCATTTCTTGATTTTACCAACATCTATGATACAAAATATTGAAAAGTTACTGGATTTCAATCCTGTATCAATGGTGGTGCAGACCTAGTGGACCTAGTTTACCCTTGTGTATAATATAATGCAACATACTGTATGATAAATTCTACGATCAATGCACCACCATAACTTTTCAAATCTCAAGCTTTGATGTAGAAGCATGTAATATTACATGGTTGTACGGATTATTTAAAGCCACCTTGTTCAAAACTTGAGATTAAACAGTTTCATTCATAAGATCTTTGCTTAATGCAATATTAACGTACCTCCTTCTAGATACAGTTTGAATAAACCTACATTGATTTTTTTCCCATGGAGTTTCTGGGTTTTTAGATGGGGAAGTGAGTGCTTGAACTCATCAGTCTGGTTCGCCATTTTCACTTTGGGTTTCAATGCAAATTTTTGGGGAGTTGGTGCAGGGATGGCTGAGATTTTCTGGTTACTGATGTCCCTCTGTTCCCCCAAAATGATTTACACCATATGTTAAATTGATCCAATAATATAAATGCTGGAGCCTGGGTAATACAACATACCCCCATTTCATCCCAAGTCCCCTATTCATCAAAGCAGAATATACTGATCAGGAGAGGTGAGAAGTATCATTTCTACTTCTCAAAGTAACCTAAATTACAAACTTCTCAAGGTGGCAATAATTTTAATAAACTCTGAATGAAAGCTACTCATTTGTCTAAATGACTGCATATATTTTTGAAAATCTAGCCTCGAACTAGCTCTTTAAATCTTTGTATATTAGTATAAATTAATTTATCAATTACATGTTTATCCAGCTAATATACTCTTTTACTGTAAGTATATTAAATCTAGGTATAACTCATTTTACTCTTACTTCCATTTTACCTTTTTCTTTTGAATATTACATAAATTGTGTAAGGATAACCTAGTCCTGTTTGAACACGTAATGAGTTAAAGATCTCAGGTAATGTACCATAATGGGATTTAAAAACATCAGAGCATCAACCTGATAAGAATTCTACCAGTATAATTCTGACTTGTACCGTTATGTTTGTACCTGCCAGTGGGAACTTCATTGCAGGCCATGTCACCATGACCACACGATTCGCACAAGCCTGCACATTATGGACAGAATTCGAGATGCCCAGTGGTATGGTCTCTTCCAACCTTCTGTCTCACCATAAAGATTAGACCGTTTTAAAAAAGAAACTCTAATTATACACTTTCATTCACGCAGACAGTTTTTCCTTTTTTAAATAAAAATTATATAGTCCTATTTTCTTTACAGGCTCAAGTTAAATGGTAATATAGCCATGACCTCCTGTTTCTTCAATGGATAAAGCCGTTCTTACAATTTGTGCTTTCTTTTAATAGTGTGTAATTGGATAATGAACTACCAATTGCTAAATAATGCTTGCTTTTTTTCTTTCTATAGCTCAATAGTGATGTGTGACTCATGTTTGTAATGGGCAGTTTTAAAGTTAATGGACTTGTATATTCTTACAGCATCTGCAGTTTGTGAAATATATATATTTATAAATGCAGTTGGATTAAGAAACTGAAGGCTGGGTCCAAGAGCATGGAGGACTTGGATAATTCCTTGAAGGTGCTACCAACCAATCAAAGCATAGTCTGCTCTTCAAACTAATTTTCCATTAATCAATATTGACAAAAGAGTAAACATGTCTCGGACAGCCCAGTACTTCACACAGTTGGTGTGTGTGTTTTGAAGAGAGAGAATCTTAACCATATTATTGTCCATTCTGTTTTCCAGGCTACATCGATCATTTTAATGAGAGAAATGTCACCCTTGAAATCCTTTCTGAAATGAAGAAACCTGTCACAGATATTTTTTTTTACGTTGGAGACAGTGTTGGATCTGGTGGACTTTTTAATGTTTTCTTTGTACTTTTTTTTCCTTTTAAATCCAAGTGATATTTGATGACTGACTTTTTTTTTGTAAAGGGGGCAAATGTCTTGTGTGAGTTTTTAACCTAATTTAATGTACCACCATATAGTTTTACTACTGGTGAGCACATTGTGTATCAGTGTGGCAGATGTAAGGGGAATTTATTTTGGTGTACGAGTTCTGTGAAATATTTCCATTTGTAACTCCTTCTGCGTGATTCGAATAAAAGCGTTTGTATATGTTTCCAGCTTTACGTTTGATATTTTGGAAGATAATTCATTCATATTCTCTTTCCTCTGCGTGATCTGAAATTCCACTCCAGTGATCTGGATAATTTTGACCCTCGACCTCAATCTCCATGTTACAGTGATTGAAACATTAAAAAGATGTTTTACCTCATGAGGTATTATATATGAGAATGAGTAGATTGATCAATAGTATTGAACATTGCCATCAAACCTGAATTAAATTAAATTCTATAAAGTAATGTTTGCCCCTATTGTTTTGTTTATTGCCATAGCAGCAATATTATTATAACACTATTATATTATAACACTATTCAGGACTTGGTGTGGGATGATGTTGGTGGCCAGTTGAGGAGTTATTGCAATATTATTGATTTCAGCGGAAGGTATAAAAATAATTTGCGGCTTTGCAGTCTGATTGTAAGAGAATTTACTATAATAATAATAATCCTTGCAGTTGATATAGCGCCATTTCGCGTCTTTTGAGACGTCTCAAAGCGCCTCACAGAATAGACTGCAGAGTGAACAATTGACTGTGCATTCCGTGGGTGAATCGCGACTGCTTGAACGGTGCAATTTACCATAAGACTACATCCTGAACCGCAGTCGTCAGCTGTTCATCTTTCAGTGTCATTTTAATGTGATCAAATGGTATCCCCGCGCCCTGTATGTAATATATAGACTGATGGTCCCTTCATGTTGCTGTGGGTGTGTGTGTGTGTGTATGTGGGGGGGGAGCAGGTCCTCAGCTCGTGCCTGACCCCTAGCGGCGGCGGATTGACCGGTTTACAAAGCCATCGCGACCACGTGACCAGACGGCTCGGCTCTGATAGGCCCCGACTCTCGCCACGGTGTCAGGTGACTGTCAGGTGACTGTCGGGTGTCATGTGACTGTCGGGTGTCAGCCGCGGGGGCAGAGAAAGATGGCGGAGAGCGCCGAGTGCGAGCGGGTAACGGGGCCGCCGGGGCCGCGCAGCGCCGCCGCCACCGCCGCCGCCGCCAGCGCCCCGTCACCACCGCAGACCGTAGACTCGGCCTCGGGAGAAAGCCACCAGTCCCCGGGAGGAGCGGCTAAAAAGCCAGGTACGGGAGGCCGGGGCGGGGCGGCCCGCGGGGGGGAGGGCCGCGGGGGGGAGGCCCGGGGGAGGGAGGCCGCGGGGGGGGGCCGGGGGGAGGGCCGCGGGGGGGAGGCCGGGGCGGGGCGGCCCGCGGGGGGGAGGGAGGCCCGCGGGGGGGAGGCCCGCGGGAGGGAGGCCCGCGGGGGGGCGGCGCTGCTCTGCCCCCGATGTCACTCGTGTTGACTGTCGCTCTGCGCGAAAAAGAAAACATCCCGAAGGCCTCTCCCCAGCGGCTCCCCCGCCGTGTCTGAGCCGCCCGCGCCCTCCCGGTCACTTACTCGCTTCAAGGCCTAAGTTGGTCTTGAGACACGTGTGAACGCGGCCTCGCGTTTAGAGAGCGTCCAAACTGCACGCAGTGAGTGCCGCATTGTGTGGGGGTAGTGGGGGTTGGGGGGGAGTGGGGGGGGTGGGGGGGTAGTGGGGGGGAGTGAGGTGGGGGGGTTGGGATGGGGGGGGAGTGGGGGGGTATAGTGGGGAGTGGGGTGGAGTGGGGTAGTGGGGGGGGTGGGGGGGAGTGGGGGGGTCACCAACAAGTCGTGATAACTACTCTGTCATCTAAAAAAATAAACCACAAATATATCATCATTTTTTTTAAGACTGACTAGACATCGTGATGCTGTCACGATTTTTTGGTCACCCTGTGCGTGTGATGTATGTGTATAATATATACATTATATCTAGTCTATATATCATATATAATATCTATTGTATATATTATATATATATATCTACATATCCTATGTCGCCGCTGAGAAGAATCACAGGCGGCTCTACTGTGTCCTTATTCACATTGACGGCTGCTTTCAAGCTTCTGGATAGAAATGAGGAGTGGGAATCTCATATGATTTTAACAACCCCTCCCCTTCGTTTGCCGTTCGTAGTTATGCCCATTTTTGCCTCAGGTGAGATCTGTTAACTCTGCACAGACTGGGAATGGATTTTTTGATTTGTCTGCTCTGTATGAAGTCGTGCTGCACTAAGCAATACCTTACCGAGGTAATAATAATAATAATCCTTGCATTCGATATAGCGCTTTTCATGTCTTCTAGATGTCCCAAAGCCCTTCACAGAATATACTGTAAAGTGAATTGACTGTATATTTGTGGGCGAACGCGGCAGCCAATTGCGTACAGCAATGTCCCACAAACAGTTGTAGATTGAAAATGACCAATTTATTATTGTTTTTGGTTTTGGAGGGATTATTATTATGCTCTGTGTGGAGTAAGGAAACTTGCCCAAGGTTTCGCCCTGACCTGCCTGGAATTGAACTCAGGTCTCTCACTTGCAAAGCGAGTGCTCTAACCACTGAGCTACACGATTCCACGAGTGGGCTCTCGGTGACTTGCTTGCCAATGGAATTTCGGAATCAAGCCAGTCCTTTGTGGCTGTCTCGGTCGTCCGCTTCCTGAGCCATGTGGGTCCGCAGTATCCCAGGGCACTGCTGATGACGGCACTGCCAGCCTGGCTCATTGGCAGGACTTGGAAGAGCAGACCAGGGGTGACGGACTTCAGCTGCTTCCAGTTGTCCCCAGTGCAGTTCCTTCATTGTAAGCTCTGCAATTTTAGCTGGTCAGACTCCAGCTGTACCCCAACACACACTCTGTGGTCCCCGAGTCTTGGCTCCTGCCAACCTGCGCCTAATACTTTCCGGTATTATGTAAGCAGGGAGAGAGTGTGCATTTCCATTCCAACAATCTGATCTCTGGATTTCCATGTGCGGGTGGGATGCATGGAATTCTCAGCTTGTTTTGGATACTCTTTAAGGATTGTGATGTATTTACGAATGTGTCGGACACCTGGCTGACCAAAACAAACTACTCACTAAAGTATCATGAGCTGAGATTGGAGCACTTTAATGCTACAAATTTTCATTTCTCTCATGCTAGATGATGCCGGAGTGGAAACAGCAGAGGAAGCTACAGAGCCATCTGAACCAGACGTTAATGAGCTCTGTAAGGACATGTTCACTAAAATGGCTGTTTACCTGCAAGGAGAACTCACAGGTTGGTTGACATTAATTGCTGTACTGTTGTGTACAAGAAAAATTAGGAATCCTCTCAATCTTTTATAACTGTAAGATTGGGACATTTATCATTTTGGTACAATCATAGTAGTGCTGCAACCAGTCTGATCTTCTCACAGAGCTACTATATTAAAGTTAAATACTTCCCTCCTGCTTGGTGATGCTTTGAGATATTGATTCTATGTGAAAAAATACAAATTATTGTAAATTTTTCCAGGCTTTGGTTTGGTAGTGCTCCGAGACTCTGTCTGGCGTGAAGGGCGCTATATAAATGCAAGTTGTTGATTAAAAAAGGCACTCTGAGCCAGTTTCATACTTGTAATCCAGATTTGTCACTGAAACATCACACTATTAATGGTGATTGTGGTTCTTTATGAATTTAATAAGGATACGTAATATTCCTGCATTTGTTTCTGTTTTCGGTGCTAAATGAAACACTTTCTGAACTACAAGTAACAAGGAAATATTTTTACTCAATGTTCATTATTGATAAGTCCAACTTGTACTTCAGCTACCTGTGAAGATTATAAACTGTTGGAGAACATGAATAAATTGACCAGCCTTAAGTACCTGGAGATGAAGGATATTGCTGTAAATATTAGTCGTAACCTCAAGGACCTCAATCATGAATGTAAGTTGTTTTATTCTTCTGCAGTGATCGGATTATAGTTGGATGTACAAAACTGAACTGAACAGATGACCAATGCTTCTTTTTAATCATGTTTTTGATGCAGTCGATGAGGATGTGCCTTTTATGAGCACCCCGGCCTTTTTTCTCAGAGCTTTTCACACTCACTGATATTTAACATTTCTCATTTTTAACTTTCATCTCAGGAGATATTTAATTCTACTGTCAATTTATAAGTGTTGTGCAATATAGAGTCTAATATACGGTGACTTTTAAGAGATTCACGGTAACTGGAAGTACATCATGAATGCTGATTCGGCAAGATTTTTGGTGAGGGAGTTGGATGGGGGGTGCAGGGGAAGGGGAGAATCATTTGCTCCTGATCTTTCTCCTCTCTGTGCTCTCCTTAACAATGATAAAGAGGTAAATAAGAGCAAGATAAGCTGTTACTATATTTTCTGGATGATGTAGAGGGTGGTTAATTATCTTTAATAAAATGTGCAGTTAAAGCATGATTGTTCAATAGGATATAAAAAAATAAAGCTATCAATTGTATGAAAATAGAAGCAATTTCTAAACTGTTGATAGCTTTTTTAAGTATATCATTAAATCACGGTGTTGTCCTACTAAAGTTTTAATTCCACTGCACCTGTAAATGGATATTTTCTTCAGATCATGTCTAAAGATCTATTGGTTATGTTTCTTGTGAAACCTTGCAGCTGATTGAAACCTCTGTGATGTGTCTCCTAGATGCCAGTTTGCAGCCCTACCTTGATCAGATTAATCAGATTGAGGAACGAGTAGCAGCTCTGGAACAAGCAGCTTATAGACTGGATGCATACTCCAAAAGGCTAGGTAAGACTTGTAATTTTATCATTTAATTTCATGTGTATGTTATGCATGAGTATGTAATTGAATACAAATGGGATTTTATACTTCAGAACTGCAGTACATATACAGGCACTTTATTTTTTTTATTCTCTTTAATGATATTGATGCCCTAATAAATTTGTGATGTTCAGAGCTCCTAGGCATACCACAAAAGGATTTCCTTTGGCCACTTGCAAGGTCAGGGCAAACCTATGAGGTAGATTTTTGGTTAAGGGAATTGCTGCAGGGAGGGAAGGCTCTGGCCTACACTGGAGCACAGTGAATACCCTACAGTTCAGTGGGCACAACTCGGCCAAAGCCCCTCTCGTGAATACGTGGATTAAGCAGTTGATGGTGAGTCAATCTGGTGCACGGCATTGGACTTTACCTTTAGAACATCAAGGTGTCTGGGCTGTCGCACTTTCTGTATCAGTCCAGATTCATCTAATAATGGATAACAATGTTGCATAGAGGAGGATTGAACATATAGCGAGGGCTTGAACAGGAACTTGAAATGTATCCCAGAGCTGGTTGTCAAACTGGAGGTTGTTTCCCTTCTTTTGGGGGTGCCTACCTAATTGACCAGTGAGATCATTTCCTGGTAACTAATTGGAATTATTTTGTGCCTAAACTTTAAAATGCAACAACTCAGTGTAGGTGACAGTACTTCTGAAATAGAAATGAGAATGCTTATTTCTTAGAGCTTGTGGTTTCCTGTTTAATGCTCATATTGCTGTGCTTTGTTTCTTCACAGAAGCCAAATTTAAGAAACTAGAAAAGCGATGAGCATTGCAAGTGCTGTCTGACTCGCTGCAGTTGATCAGCCAACAGATTGCAATGGTGTAATGAATGTTTGAAATGTGGATCAACTTGTAGTTTGATCTGTGAACAGATGGAACAAAATCTGTAGAATGAATGAACCTTAATACATTCTAACCAGTAGGAGAAGAGATTATTGGTGAAACCTGCAGTGATAAAGTGCGACAAGGAGTGAAGATTGACTCTTCCTGGAGGTTTGATTTTTAATTCGTATAAGAAACGCTGGAACCCATTGTTAAGGTAAACCGAAAATCTTTTGGACTAGACACATCTCTTTCTTACCATTTCAGGGAAATTGGAAAAGTTTGCAGCTTTTTAACTATTTAAATCCTTTGTTTTACTGCAATTGTTTCCTTAAGTTGTACTTTTCATGTTGGTTTGAACAATTTCTGTAAGAAGAGCAAACTATGAATTTTTCTTAGGAACTGAGGTGTTTAAGGTTCAACCCTGTCTAATTTGTATTTTGTTTGCAGTTGCAAAGTGACTTGCTTGGTCTAAGTATTGATTAAAATTGTAGTACAATCATTATGTGACCATAATTGAATACAGTTTGAATACAATACCTTTGACAAGCTGCAGTCATAGGATAGTGGAAAAAGCACCCTTCAATCCTGGCTATTTGTGTACGATTGACAAATTATATTTATTAAGTGAATCATTGCCAGATAGTAAGGGTAACAGACCGACATAAAGTCTCCTAGTGAAATGTTATCTTGATAATCACCTGATATTTTGAGATTGTTAGTCTGTAAATCAATCTAACCCAACTCTGGATTTTCACAAGAAATGTTAGAAAATCAAACTTCTGTAATTACGTTTTTATAAAAAAAATTGAAACTGTTGACACGAGAGACTTTGATTCAATTTTTGTGATGGAGCTAAAACATTTATTGACACATATCCTAATTTTTTGTGACATTTGTCACCAATTATTTCACAAACTATTGTTCTTAAAACTCAGACTTATGTTATGAAATGTTGCTGTTCTGTAACATGAGCAAGACTAGGACCAAGACTGTTTCTTTGTAAACAAAACCAACTGGTTTGTTGCATGCCTGATTGATGAAGGTCATCAGCAAAGTTGACTGCGAGTAACTTAACTATGTGAGATTTCAGACAGCTGGAAGTAAAGAGATCAAATTAATGGAGCTTTACAGCCTTGAACACAATTCTGAAATGGATAATATATAGATCCCTTACCATTGATTTTTGCAGTCTGGGGAAGGTCTTGTTGGTGTAACCAGCCCTGCTTCAGGGAAATTGTTACATAAGGTAACTGGAGGGATTGCATTGTTCATAGTATTTAAAATGTTACAGAAATGTTAAAGAAATGAAATGATTTATTGTAATCCTGGAAAGAAAATGGATGTTTCCATTTATAAATAAACTTGCCATTTTGGCCACAATCTCATTGGCTATCAGATCTTGCACAGAAGCTGTGGGGCTTCAGGGGTGCACAAGAGTTGGGAGCCAAGTGTCAGTTAATGTGCTTATACCTACTTCTGTGCAGAATCTCAAACCAAAGGGATTATTATTGCATTTCCCAAATAACCTGTTTCCCATTATAAAAGTTCTTCCTTACTAAATAACTTCATAAATAACACCATATAAGACAATAATAATGGTTGCATTTGATATAGTGCCTTATCAAGTCTTCGAAATGTCTCAAAGCGCTTTAGATTATACTGTGAATTGACTATATTTTGTGGACAAAACGCGGCAGCCAATTGTGCACAACATTATCCCACAAACAGTTGTGGATTGAATGACCAATTTATTATTTTTTAAAGGAATTATTAATCCCAGAAAAGCGACCCACCAATCGACTGGGTTCCTACTTACTGCTAGATAAACAGAGGTGTTGGAGTAAAGAAACTTGTAAACCCAACGTTTCACACTGCCGGGAATCGAACCCAGGTCTCTCGCTTGCGAGGCGAGTGATGTAACTACTGAGCTACAGGACTCCAATAGCTGGAAGTACAGAGAAATAGGAATTCACAATAACCAACTCATATCATCAGGGATTGATCTAATAATACAACAGTCAAAATGATCTCTATATTTAAAGAAAACAAAATGCTAAATCTATTAAGGTCTTACGAGCATCTATAATTTATTTATCTGCTATTTAATATGCGGTTTATCGTAAAGGCAGAAAATGAAGTCTTACAATTGATCTCATTGCATCAGGTCATTTGTTTGAAAAATAATACAAGGTGATAATCTCATCATGTAATGACATGTTGACCACTGCTTGACTCCATCTACCATGAATTATTTGGTCAGCCACAACTAATGTGACTGTCCTCACTTACCCACTGAGCATGCTAAAGTGTGTCAACCCACCATGGGAAATGCGCCTCTTTTACAAACTATAAAAGGTCACAAGATAGAAACCCACAATGTACTGAACACAGCAAACATTACAAAATCTTGCTAAAAAATCATTATTCCTGTCAGTTTTGAACTGGCTCCAGAACATTGACCCCAAAACGTCTTAACTTATGCCCTTGAAAAATTATCTCAGATGTCTCAAATTCTGTCAAGGAAAATTGCCAACAGTGAAATTAAGCTACAAGTACTGTATGTGGACAGGGCGAGGGCATGTTTCATACATTCAGGGTGTACTTGCACGCATTACTTTCTGAATTCCACTCCACGTTTTCTTTTCTAGATCTCATCAAAAGACAAATTATTTATTCATCTTAGTGATCCCTCATTTCTTCAGGTTTTATTCGTGCAGGAGCAAAGTCTTGCAGGTATGGTGGTGTTCGTTTAGAAAACCAAATACATCATTTAACAACACCCCCTCCCACCCAATCTTGGTTGTTGATTCAATAATAAGAGTTAATTCTTTGAACTGGCTCCCCTGTTTCCAGCACTGAGGCCACTCGATGTAGTGTTGTCGAGCTCCAGACCTGTGTGTCGAATGCTCAGACCAGTTGATTACTTTAGGGGCAAGTGTGTTCCTGTCAAAGTTCTGTAATTTCCAGTGGGGCATCCATGATAGTTTCTTTTATCTTGTGCATCGGAGTGGACTTTGCAGACTCAGTCCTGGCATTCCTATCATTGTAGCTCCCACTGTCGGTGTTCAGGGTCTCTAAGGATCTTACCAGTACTTTTTGGTCATCCTCTGGTAAACTGTTGAGGTCTGAGGCTAGGAGAGTACCTGTGCTTCCATGTACCACATGGATGCCATCAGGGCCTTTGAACTCTACCGGGTGTCTGTGCTTGAGTCGCAGTGTGCCCCGGCTCATAGGTTTCTCATCATCTTCGTCCATGTCGCTGGGAATTAGCTGCAATGGAAGAAATAACATTTAAGCTTCCAATATTGAATGCAAAATAATGTGGATCTTGTGTGCAACATCTGCAATCTCGAGAACACAAAACATACCCATCACATTTATCTAACCAAAACCCTATTTATTTAAACCTATTTAGGTTATTTTTCATTGAATAAATGCACATCTCAAATTCAGTTGATTTTACATGAGCTAATAGTTTTTGCAAAAACTCTTACTAAATGTTAATTATTCTGAATAGCATCTGCACGTGAATAATATATGCCAGTTTAGATGATGTAAATTGGCATATAACACTTCCTTAGTTTTTTTTTGTAAACTGCATTGTGCTGTGTGAGCAGGATGCAAACCGAGGGTTTAAGGCTGCTAAATGACAATCTTTGCAAAGCAATATGAAGCACTGTTCCAGTAAAGGACATTCAGTGCATCAACAACACACAAACAACAAATTTACAGGGTGATCAAAAAGTCTTTATTTGTCAGCTACCCTAAAAGATCTTTTAAACTTATTAGCCTCATTGTAATGGTATCACAACGTTTTGGTCACACTGTATATATTGTCTTTCACATCGGGAAGACGTCCCAAGGCCCCGGACAATAAGGGGTTTGTACCTAAGGTGCAGATTGGGATCAGAGAGAGGTGGAAGGCAAGGAATCAAAGCATCAAGTCCAATCTTTCCACAGATCACTCAAAACTACTTTATCGTTTACTCCATCTACACACTGCCTGCCCTTCGGAGAAATGGCTGCACAATTATTCCCTCAATCCCAAAGGTAATCAAGCAAAAATTAGATAAAATTAATCACCATATCTCTACTATTTAATCGTGACCTAATCTCTGTTACAGACAATCTCCAGCAGCAGCACAGACTCACGGTGTGTTGTAAAATGTGGTCATCTGACTAAGCACCCATTCCATACAAGCTCAAATGCTGTCTCAAGGAGGTGATTACCCAATTCTTTTTAGGAATTGATGGAAGATTAAGTGCTTTTGTCGGGAGTAAGTTGCACCTGGTCACTACTCTGAGGAGGTAATAATACATGAAATCACATATCAACAAGGGGAAAACCTTGCAATCAATGGAAGAACTCGAGTGGCATTTCATAGTCTTTAGTGTTAAAAGGACCTTGTTTAAAAAGATCAATTCACTTCACAGCATATTCTGTGATGCGCTTTGAGACGTCGAGAAGACGTGAAAAGAGCTATACTCCAATGCAAGGATTATTATTATTAACAAAAAAATGTCTTGGGCGGTTCTCATTTAGGAAAAAAAAGCAGCTTAGTAAGACTTTATTGTTGAAGTGATCAGGGTTGACATTTATTTAAGTGGTTGACTACTTTAACAGGGAATTGGTATCATTCTATGCAGTGGCTTTGTCGCTTATGTGCTTCAGTCGCCTCCTGATCGGGGCCAATGGAAAAGCGCGGCTGTTTGTTTACCCTACGTCACTGTTGTGGGCGGGGCGATGACGTCACTGATGTGGGCGGGGCGACACGGACCTGCGGGAGACCAGGCACCACTGACGACCCTCTCGCACAGGGGCCGGCAGGTGGCCGACGCGGACCTGGGTGGAAAGACCCCCCCACGCACCTCCCAACGGTCGGCAAAGCCGAAAGCGGACCTGGTAGAAGCAACCGCTGCTTCCCTGCCGTGGGCGGGGCGGCTCCGGACGCGCATGCGCGGTGCCGAAACTTCGGGAAATGGGCTTCGTTCCACTCGGTCGCGATTATCTGTGACTGTCTCTCTCTGTGTGTGTGTGTGTGTGACTGTGTCTCTCTGTGTGTGTCTGTGTGTCTCTGTGTGTGACTGTCTGTGTGTCTCTCTGTGTGTGACTGTGTCTCTATTTCTCTGGGTGTCTCTGTGTTCTGTCTCTATTCTCTTGGTGTGTTTGTGTCTCTCTATTCTCTGTGTGTGTTTGTGTCTCTCTCTGGTCCTTGTGTCTGTGTGTGGTGTTGAGGCCTGAGAGGCAGGAGGTGGTGAGGTCCTGTAGCCCCGCAGCCAGGACACTGGTCCTGAGTGTCACAGAGTAGGAGCATAGTAAAGATGATTGTTCTTAACTTCATTTCCTGGGCAGAAAGTAATGTCAAGGCAGGCATCTTGACCATGTGCCTCCTTACAACATCCTTGATGTCTCTTCATATCTGTGGATGAGCACCACACAGGGCAGGGCAAAACTTTAGGCAAGTTTACTTCACACGCCTAATAATAATCCCTCCAAAACAATAATAAATTGGTCATTTTCAATCCACGACTGTATGTGGGACACTGCTGTGCGCAATTGACCACAAATGTACTTCACAGCATATTCTGTGAAGCGCTTTGCGACGTCGAGAAGACGTGAAAAGAGCTATATTCAAATGGAAGGATTATTATTAACAAAAAATGTCTTGGGCGGTTCTCATTTAGGAAAAAAAGCAGCTTAGTAAGACTTTATTGTTGAAGTGATCAGGGTTGACATTTATTTAAGTGGTTGACTAACAGTGAATTGGTATCATTCTATGCAGTGGCTTTGTCGCTTATGTGCTTCAGTCGCCTCCTGATCGGGGCCAATGGAAAAGCGCGGCTGTTTGTTTACCCTACGTCACTTGTGGGCGGGGCGATGACGTCACTGGTGTGGGCGGGGCGACACGGACCTGCGGGAGACCAGGCACCACTGACGACCCTCCCGCACAGGGGCCGGCAGGTGGCCGACGCGGACCTGGGTGGAAAGACCCCCCCACGCACCTCCCAACGGTCGGCAAAGCGGAAAGCGGACCTGGTAGAAGCAACCGCTGCTTCCCTGCCGTGGGCGGGGCGGCTCCGGACGCGCATGCGCGGTGCCGAGACGTCGGGAAATGGGCTTCGTTCCACTCGGTCGCGATTATCTGTGACTGTCTCTCTCTGTGTGTGTGTGTGTGACTGTGACTCTCTGTGTGTGTGAGACTGTCTGTGTCTCTCTCACTGGGTGTCTCTGTGTGTCTATCTCTATTCTCTTGGTGTGTTTGTGTCTCTCTCTGTGTGTGTGACTGTGACTCTGTGTGTGTGAGACTGTCTGTGTCTCTCTCTCTGGGTGTCTCTGTGTGTCTGTCTCTATTCTCTTGGTGTGTTTGTGTGTCTCTGTTCTCTGTGTGTGTTTGTGTCTCTCTCTGGTCCTTGTGTCTGTGTGCGGTGGTGAGGTCCTGTAGCCCCGCAGCCAGGACACTGGTCCTGAGTGTCAGCTTTTTTTTAGTGTTCCCCAAATGGTGCAAAACAATAATTCATATCCTTGCAAAACAATCCCCAACATGGAATTAAACCCTAATGTGAAGTTCATAGTGAATTTTAAAAAAAAAGTACAAGCAAAACCGTAATCTTATAAGACAACATGAATCCCTATGGTTTTCCTCGTGAATAATGGGAAGAATTGCCATTGTGCAATCTGGTCTTGTGGTTGAATGCAGTGCAGTGCTATTTGGGTGAGCATCTCGATTAGAGAGGTTCAACACTGCAATTACAATTTCAGAGGTTCAGAGGAAGGTCTTAGCGGTCGAGAAGGATTTAAGACTGAACCCCTATCTGAACCCCTTGATTCAGTCACTGCCCATTACTCTCTCCCAGCAATCCATTGCTGATGCTGTAAAACTCTGAGGATTCATAATGCTTCAAGATGTGTCAGCAAGAATGTGCTTTTAATTCTTGAAATTCTACATCTTTTCCACTCCAAATATTTGAAACACGGCAAACCCACACATCACACTGCAAACTGGCTGTTTTTCCACACCAGGTATACCTCTGTAAGGGACGACTGATCACCACTGCCTGTAGACTTGTGCGCCAGTCGGGCTGCAAAGAGCTTCTTCAACCTCAGGTAATCATCCAGAACCACCTTCAACAGTGAACCCTGAGATAATGCACACAGCTGCTAATCAACACTTGGCAGCTTAGTAACATACTTGTACGTTGACTCCCTGTACCTCCTTATCGAGCTTCACTGGATCACTGGGTAAAGTGAATTGGTTCCCTTTCATAAATGTTACCACACTAAATTTGAAATAAATTTGATAGGAAGGTTTGCTTTCAGATCCCGGTCTTCCCTCAGACGAGGCAACCCCTGAGTATGACCGTATTTTTGGAGTCTGATTATATTCTTTGCATTTGCATTACATTTCTTTGCATTATCATCATAAAATGCAAACTACAACATAACCAATGCTTGTTACTGAAAGGTTATTTCATTCCTTTTCACGAAAGTGTACAGTGTACGTGAAATTTGGGAGAGGACTAACCCAGCACAGGTTTGATACTGAATCCTTTTTGGACCATATATAAAGTTCACAGAGTGAATCTCCATAGGTCACCCAACAGTTCTCAGTTTGAAAGGTAGTAGTTTGAGTCCTGTAGCTCAGTGGTTAGAGCACTCGCTTTGCAAGCGAGAGACCTAAGTTCAATTCCAGGCAGGTCAGGGCGAAACCTTGGGCAAGTTTCCTTACTCCACACAGAGCCTAATAATAATCCCTCCAAAAACCAAAAACAATAATAAATTGGTCATTTTCAATCTACGACTGTTTGTGGGATATTGCTGTGCGCAATTGGCTGCCGCGTTTGCCCACAAATATACGGTCAATTCACTTTGCAGTATGTTCTGTGAAGCGCTTTGGGACGTCCTCCCGACGTGAAAAGCGCTATATCAAATGCAAGGATTATTATTATTATAATGGTTATACAGACTAATTACCAGTGAAAAGCAACAGGTGATTAAAAAGCAAGCTTAGTAATACAATGTTTTCTAATTTTCAAGTTTCAATTTATCTTTCCTCAAGTCCCGATCTCGGCAAAATACTTTCTGCTTAGAATGTCAACGTCCCATCAAGGTAAGGACAATATACCAAAAGTGAGTAAATGTACCTTAATTGGCCCTTCCCTCATGATTTGCCCCAGTTTTGTGATACTGTCGTACTCTTGTATGGCTGCACGTAAGTATCGATCATCCTCTGGCTTAGATGTAACTGGTTCACGTCCAAATGTACCCTTTAAAGCAAACAGTCACAGTTTTAATGCTTCGCAAGAAATATCAATCTGCTGAAAACCTTAGTTCTCAGAAATATTGGGTTTCCTGGGCAGAAACAATAATGAGATTCCTACCAATGGGAAATTCCCCGTTAAGAAAGAAAGTGACTAAGTCAGAATCCCAGAGGCCTGGAATTTCACATGGGCTTGAGTTGAAGGCTTAAAATTTAAAACATGCAGAATTTTGGAAAATTCTTAAATTCAGGCATTATTTTTGTAAGAACTGAGAAAACAGCTTTTAAATTGAGGCAATGACACCCCAAGCAACAATGGAGAATTGGTAACGTACGTGAGTTCTGGCTGGGCTGTTCCATAGATCAGTGATATCACTGAGGTTCTCGGGCAGGTCATCTTCATGCTCAGCCTGAGCTGCCAGCTCCAGGTTTCTGCAGAATGGGTCAAGCCAGACCGGATTCGCCCTGCGACAATTCAATAGTGTGAGAAGCACATCACGTACTGAAGGGATCAGATTTACATTCTTTATTTTCTTGCACTTTGTTCTCAGTGGTCTTTGAAACTATTTTCCCCTTTCCTTACATCTTTCCAGACTGCACCTCAGACAGGGCAGATTTTAAGTTAATTTTTAATGTCCACCCAGTAACTGTTTGGTATAAATTCTCAGGCTTTTAATATGCAGTGCTCCAAGATGTTATTACCTCCTACTTACCTGCCCGTACCCTCCGTTCCTCTGGCTCCGGTCTGCTCCACATCCCCCGCCCGAACCACCCTACCATCGGTGGCCGGGCCTTCAGCCTCTCAGCCCCTCGGCTCTGGAACTCTATCCCCCAGTGCCTTCGCCGCCTCCTCCCTTTCCTCCTTCAAGGCCAGTCTCAAGACCCTTCTCTTTGACCGTGCCTTCACCTCCCCTCTCAACTCTCTACCCCCTCCTCGCTCCCTCCCTTCCCTTCCCTCCCCCTGACCATTTCCCCCCTGCTCGGGTCCCGGCCCAACTGTCCAGGGCCTTGGGACGTCCTCCCAACGTGAAAGGCGCTCTATAAATGCAATCTTGTTGTTGTTGTTATCATGCACAAAGGGTTCAATATAAATGGAAGCTGTTGTTATTGATATACTCACTTGACAATCAAATTGCTTTATTTGACTAGTCCATTTCTTTTTTTTTTGCATGCATCATAAATTCTTTAATGGGAGAAACATGTATATCTATCTGTTCATGTGCCTTGTATCTGTCTCACATAGATACAAATCATTTTGGTAAGTTAAATATCATATTGTTGTAACTATTAATATAACAAGTACTCTACTATGGAAAATGTATTTTATCCATCTATAGATACGAGCAGAGTGGGAATTATTCAAAAATGAATTAGCCAAAAGAAAAAGGTGTCAGTGCCTCCATCTGTCATTTACAAAAATAAATGGCTTCCTTTATTCACTTTATAGTATATTTTGCGAAGTGCTTTGGAAAGCCTCGAAGACATAAGGTGCTATATCAAATGCGAGGGTTATTAATATTATCATTAATGCATTAGTTGATACTGTGCTGAAGTAGAAGGGTTACATGTGTAACCCATCTCCCTCTCCTGTGTCTAGCCCGAAGTTCTACTCACCCTTCAAACGAATACTTGTTGGTGTTTGGCATATCCAAAATATCCATAAATCCTTGATTACCTAAACAAAAGCATAAATACCACTTTTGATTTAAAGGCTTTCTTTCTTTCCAAACTGCAAAATAGTTGGGAGTTTGTTGGTAAAACTGTCAATACAGGCTACTCTATAATATATCAAGGTTGTGCCCTCGATACATTATACAGACTGACCAAAATGTCGTGAAGCTACCCTTTTATCTAAAAATAAACAAAAATATAATTTCTTTAAGATTTATTAGGCATTGTAATGGGATCACGACTTTTTGTCTGCTTTTTGTATAAAAAATAAAAATCTCGTCTGCTGAAGGCTTGTGCTGGCTTCTATGAGATGAAAATCCATCCGGAAATGAACAAGCAAACACAAGTGCAAAGAGTAAAATAAAACAAAAAGCTAACTTCATTCAGTTTCTGGTTAATCAGTCGATATATTTTTTAAAAAAGTACCCAATAATGGGAGTACAGGTCATACATATACTTTAAAAGATTTTCAGTTTTTATTTGACAAAAAAAAAGCATCATGCAATTCCAGAAGTCTCTATTCGAGGCAAGTTTATGTTAGAGCAATATGAAAACAAGGAAGCTAAATGTTAACATGTAGTGATGACCAATGAGCTTCAACATCTGTGACAAAGTGAATTAATTACTTACCAGTCGATCCTGCCACAATGGCTTTTAACTTTCTTTTGTGCCTGAAGAGAGAATATTAGAGGTAATCACTGATTTCACCGCAGCTCTGTCAAGACTACACTTAAGAAGGCAGCATGACCCTTCCTGGGAATACTTGGGAGCAGGTCTGCCTGTCTGTGGACCCTGCTTTGTAGCCAGCTGGAAGCTACAAGGCATTTGCTGCAGGTCATTTACTCGATGCAGTGTTTGAGCTACAACGCTAGTTTTTCCTTTCCCAGGCAACGTGTCCAGTGACACAGATGATGTGTGTACAAAAGCAACACTCAAAAAATGTTACCAAAAATTTTCGATAATGATGCTGCTATTGTTCTGTACTCTTTACATATTTTTATCGTACTAAGTGAGGTTCATTCCGCCACCTGAGGCACATAGTAACTAAAAAGTGTAGTGTTGCACATTGTAAATACAGATCAAGATACTTACACTGTTCTGTAATACCAGTTCATAAAGACAAACAACAAAGTAGCCAGGACCAATAGTACTGCAAGTATAATTATTGCCATCTGCAAAGGAGACAGAAAGATATTTAAAAAACGTGCATTTTCTAAATCTTTTCAGGGTTGAATACGATTTGCAACTCTTAAGCATTTTTCCTTTACATTTACCAAATGTGCTTTCCAACATTGAGGTTCAGTTTCCCAGATCGAAAGAGAGGAACGAATGTAAAAGGATGTTCTCATCCTTCCAAAACACCCATCCGATAAGGAAGATTGGACAGTGAGAAGGGAATGAAGCAGGAATCTGCCTTAATTAAACATGTACAGCAGTATTGTACATTGTGTCAGTGCCCAACAGACAGGCAACAATGTCTCATCATGCTGAAGTAGGTTACTTTCCACAGATGGTAATGAGATTGTGGAATTCACTGCCTGAAGGTACAGTTTAATCAGACAATATAGATGATTCAAAAGGAAGCTCTTGAATCATCTATATTGGGCTCGTAGAGTCCTGTAGCTTGTGGAGTCCTGTAGCTCAGTGGTTGGAGGACTAGCCTTGCAAGTGAGAGACCTGGGTTAGATTCACGGCAGGGCAAAACCTTGAGCAAGTTTCCTTACTCGATACGACTGATAATAATCCCTCTCGGAAAGAAATAATGATACAATTGGTCACTTCAATCCACGACTGTTTGTGGGACACTGCTGTGTGCAATTGGCTGTCGAGTTTCTCACACAAATATACAGTCAATTCACTTTACAGTCAATTCTGTGAACCGCTTTGAGACGTCGAGAAGGCGTAAAAAGCGCTATATCAAATGCAAGCTTTATTATTTATTAGTTATAAGATAGACCTTCGCATGAGGGAGAGGGGAATAGAAAGATATGGGAGGGAGTAAGGAATGAGTGGAGACTCATGCGGAGTATAAAAACTGGCTTGGATTGATTGGGCCAACCAGTCTATTTCCATGCTGTACATTTTTGTAAGTCTTTGTCGGTTAGTGGCTGCCAGGTATGCTTATGTGCATCTCCTAGGATCACTGACTGGGAATGGAGAAAGATGAATGACCTGGTTTCTTTCAGTGTGACCTGACCAAAGGAACAGTGAGAAAAATGCAAATAGCTTACACTCAACCAAATAAAGAAAGAAAAAGGAACTTGAGTATGGAGAGGTATAACATGAGGTATAACAGTGAATGTGAAGAGATATAGCAGTGGAGAGGTATAACAGTGAATTTGACAACGTGATGCTTGCAAACCTAAAATGATTGTGTAATATGTGACATGAAAACATTGTTTTGCAAGATTTCTACAATTGTGAAATGTCAATCCCCAGCTAGGAAATTTAAAAAAGGCTGGTGAGCAAAACAGCAATGGAAACAAGAAGGCAATTTGCTCACTGGCCTTTGTGCTTTTCCATCTTGGGTTTCCCAATTTGCCCATTTTGCAAATTTTGTGCAAAGCTTTCAAACTGAGATTCGTAAACCAGAAGTCACAATTAATGCAATGCTGCCAGATAGCAAATCCTCCCTTTTAAACACACCTCAATACGTGAACTTGACATGATCAAAGCTAATAATGAGGAGTTTAGGCAGGGGTCTCTATTCTTGGCATTTACTGGTGAGGTCAGCATGTTATAATGCTAGAAGCTGATAAACAAAATATTACTTGTAAAGCTGTCATATCATCAGCTGGTCTCACAGTAACAGCTGGCTGAACATCAAGGACATTATAATTTCTGAAGAGATTCCTTAGCTGCTCCTTGTTTTCATCTATCATCTGGATTACACTGTGGAAATAAAGGGGAAGATCATTAAGAATCGTAAAGTAGTTGACGGACAGTGTTTTAAATATCGTCTTGCTTTACACTGATTTTTTGCAGTTTTGTATTTGGCAACGCAAGCTATTGCACTGTCATACTTATTTAGGTCTTCACATGAAATCCTTGTTTGGTGTACGTATCACTTATAGGATAAGCATTTGCTGACATTAGTGTGTAGGGGAGACAACACCAACAACAACTGGCACTTATATTGCGCTTTCCACGCACGGTAGCATCTCAAGAAGGCTCGAATGATCTGGTTTAGACATATGCCTTCAGGAGGGGAGGAGGAGGGAAGAAAATTGGCTAAAATAAACCTGACATTGGCTAAAATAAACCTAAATGACAGATAGCAATTGGGGCAAGGCACTGAAGGGCAAAAACTGCCAATCCAGATGGAAAGCAGGCATTGGTATTTTCAGCTAAGGAGTAGATATTGCTGCTTACAGATCACGGTACTGAAATTAATACAAAATCAGAGGTCACGCTGAAGAGAAGTCACAAGGATAGAAATGGTGGAACAGCCCACTACTCTACTCAAAGTAAGTGCATTATTCAGCATGTGAAAAGAAAGTTACACCCACAAACATCAGGATCCACAATGTCCTCCTTTTGATAAGAAGTAAAAACATTTTCTGGTCTTTTTTAACTCTCTGCAAATCGTAATTATCTGTTTTGCAAACATTGTAAATGAGCCCCTCCTTGCTTTGTTGTTGTGTGTTCAGGACTCTGGTAGCAATTGAAGAGGGCAGTGGAAAATTCTAATTACCTTTAATGCTGAGCTAACTGTATAATTGCTCACGATGAAGAATTTCCCCGGTATTTAATTTTGTAATTGGTTCTGGTGAGTATAATGTTTGATGCAATACTGGAAATTCTTGCCCTACAATATCTAAGACTGACAAAAATGCTGTGAGTTTGCAGCATTTTTATGAGACAATATCATAATTATTGCCACAAATGCAACAGCAAATACACACAATTTTACCCTGTTGTGTTTTACAAAGTAAGAAATAATAGAAGTTTTCATCTTCCCCTATATCTTTTCTCACAGGAATCAATTTATCTAATCATCGTTACTTCAAATGAGCCAGTACTCTCTGCACTAGGTGGCAGTCTATTCCACAGTAACTGAACTATGAAGATACACTCATTGAGGTCAACTTGTGGTTTCCCCAGCTATAATTGCACAGCTGATTTTCATTTCCTTCTTCTGCAGAAAGTACCTCTTTACAATCACCTTAGCAATTTTCTTCAGGTTTGTTTCAGACTTGGGTCTCTCTCAATCTATTTTTTTCATCATCCAGACAAGAAATGAAACCTTCACTTTCAACGTCAGATGATGGCAGACTCCAACCATCTCTTTTATTCTCTGCTGAAGGACTTCAATAGCACTTTTTACAAGTACAGTGCAGAGACTGAATAAAGACACAATGTTTCCTCACCAATGCCATCTCACCAACTCACTGTATTAGAAATATGGATCTTCTCAAAATGTTAATCAAGAGAAGTATTCCTACAATTGCCTTTAATGCTTTATAAAACACTAATTTTGAACCAAATCCACCATGAAGTAATTCTGCTCCCTATTACTTTACAATCCTCAATGTTAAACACTGTGTGTTATTAATCTGAAAGTGTTTCCAAACTAAAATGGTTCACAATTATTAAAAACCTTTCTTATTTTCTTTTATGTAAGCCATCACTTCTTGTGAAGATCCAAGGCTTCTCATTCATTACTGACTAATTCTAAGAGTGATAAATGCTTTGTTTAGGAAACAGCTGAATTGTTCACTTCTCCAAGTGGAATGCATCTGTTCAAATAATCAAAATTGTTAGTTTTGTTGAATTTGCAAAATATAGGGCTTCCGCAGTGTTGTAATAATGCGTGTGGAAGAAATTAATGCTACAAATGCGTAGTTTCACAGCCATTTCTGCAACAGGGAGTTTTACTTCTGCAGCAGCTAAAATAAACCAGCTCACTCACCGCTCTACGTCCAATATTTGATTTGTCTCTCGGTTGACCACGTGGATTAGAACATTCGTCTGTGCAAAATTCACCCGGCCTTTTTTATCAACATGAAACTGTAAGGAAAGGTATGGAGCATTAATGTATTCAGTGATGATGAAATTAATAAACATTTGTATCTGTGCAGTCGTCAGTCACAATGCTGACACAAACACACAAGCTTGCTGCTCGTGAGACAAACTAAACCACCCCACGAGTTGTTGGCTAATATTTTATACTCGAGTATAATCCAGTTTCTCGGTCTGATTACACTGAAGCAATTTTAAATACACCAGTGCTCTTTTACACCAAGTTTTCTAAGTTGCAAAGCACAGTCGCCATGGAAAATGAGAATCCACAATTCTGCGTTATAAGGAAAAAGGCTCTTTTTGCTAATAATATCAGGAATAGAAAGAGTTTTGAGGTAGGCAGGATTGAATTATGCACAAAATAAACCTTACCCAGTAAACTCCACTCTCTCCTTATAATTTGCTTTTCAAAGTAAGGCAATTAAGTAGCCACTAGTTGCTGTATAATAATAGTAACCTTGTAAGTGGCTTTCAGCCCCAAACATTAACAGTAATTATTCATGTATCTTCCACTTCAAGAGACAGCAGTGAGGAGCTTCAGGAAGCTCTTGACACAGTGAGATACTCATACCTGACTGGACAGCAAAGGGTTGACTACCTGAACATCATCGGTGTTTACTATGGCTCCAGTGATGTTGGAAAGCAATTTGATGAATTGTTCTCCAAACTCTCGCACTCTCTCAGGGATCTCATTGATGACTATCTTGACCCGCTGGTCATCTCTCAGAATGTAAATTCCAATCACCGCTGTGTCATTGTGACCAGCCAGATCTGAAACCATGATTTCTACCACAAAGTATCCAGGGCTGTAAGCTGTGAACAGGTCAAAGGTCCTCACAATGCCGCTCTTCTCCCCTGAAATGCAGGAACAGCCAACACATCAAATTGCAAGACATTCCCAGAAATAGTCTAATAGATTCTGTTGTGTAATTACTGCAGCAACAGATTGCCACTGCAATGTATAAACCTTTCACATAAGTCTCAAAGTGCTTCGCAATGATGGGACAGGGGAGCGAGGAACCATTTGATATTAAGTAAACCAAAGTCTTTATGCTAAATTATATTGCTGGCGTCACTCAGGACACATGGTTTAACCTTCCACCCTCACATTACACCAAAAAGGGTTCAAACCTCTCTTCCCCCATGGTTAGATTTGGCATTTTCGCACGAGACATTTTGCACTAGTTAAAGAAAATAAGAACCTGAATGACTTGCAAACTCCTCAAAATCTTTCAGAGTAATCAGATCCCAACAGACATACATATATGTCAACTTTATCCATCCTATCCAACTTTATCGCTTATTTCCTTTGGCAAAATCCTACCAATTATGAAGACATTTCCAACTTCTTCAGAATTGTTGGACTGCAGCTTGATGTAGCGGATGTTAAGAATTTGATAGTAGACAATGCTGTTGTTTCCAATGTCAGCATCGTAGGCATCCACTTTAATTAGTTCAGAACCTACTTTCGCATCAGCGGCAACACCTAGAGGCAGGAAGAAGACATCAACCCACCCTGATAACAAAGTGAAGGAAACTACAGTTTGGAACTTAGTTGAATCTATCAGAATTGTCTCCTTTGGTTAAACTGCAAAATTCAGCACTGATTTAGCCCTAAGACGCAGCAGTAACCTTCCAGTAAACGCTTGGGAGCAAAGCGCCACATGAAGTATCAGAGAACAGCCTCATTTAACTTTGTAACTTAGTGGTTTGAATGCTTTTACCTTTACCACAAAAAGGTTTCCATTCACTTTGGTGCTACAGCATGTACTGAAGTAAAACATCCTGTTAGGTTTTTCCATTGTTAATTGTGTCACCAAATCTTTCACATCAGAACCCACAGATCAGGTCATTTCATCTACTCTCCTGATGTGATCAATGGATCAAATCACTTAGACACTATTCAAATGTACCGACCTACAAACCCTCTGACCTCCGCACAGGGTCTCCTCCAATGGCCTGGTTAACAGTGGGAACTGATTGCAGAGGGGAGGGGAAACTCACACTTGCATGCCTCCACTCTCTGGAAGTACAACAGAAGATGCCCGAAACTGCTGATGTCACTTGAATACTTTTTAAAAAAAGTTGTTTAATTCTGATTAAAGGATGTTAACTTCTCCTCTTGTCATTCACTAAGTTGTCCACTTTCAAAATATAAACATTAACAAAAGCAAAGGATATTGGAAATCATCATTTTCTACCTTTGACAGACATGAAACACCTGAAATCGCTGTACTCACCAGCAGTGTACTCTGGCTTCAAGAACCGGGGTGGCTGGTCATTGATGTCTTCTAGGTAGATACGGACTTCCTGGAGAGTGAGATCAGTGCTGAGGTTGAAACCTCGGTTCCGTCTTGCACTCCTGGCTGGGCTCCAGTTGCGATTGCTGGAAGCCTTGACAGTAATTGAATAGTATGGATTTATCTCCCGGTCCAGATCCTTTAGTATCTTAAGGAGTCCATTCCTGTTTAGCTGGAAGTTACGGTCTGGATCACCAGCTATATCAGAGAAGAGTTGAATGAGCTCCCCGAGTAGTTAGATACAGTGAATTTTCTATTAATTAAGTCACAGTTTTTTAAAACAATTACGGCTTAATCCATTGGTACAACTTTAAATTTTGAAAACTTTAANTTTTTCATAGTTTTATTCCAAATAAAGGATGTTAATTTCTCTTGTAATTCACTAAGTTGCAGTGCAATGGATAAAGCATATTTAATGCAAATTTGTTCAGATATCCAGCTTGGTGGGGTTCAAATAGAATTTTAATCCCTCTGCCCCATCCCAATCGTTGAATTTGAATCATCAGGATTTTCAGGCTGACGTTCAAAATTATTCCGAAAGACTATTCCTAGCACAGTGGTCAACACACATTAACCTTCACAGTGTAAGTGTAAATGCCCAGAAGTCACCAAGCTGTTTCACCTATGCCTCTCACCTGCTATAAAGTAATACACCACAGCATTGGGGCCCTCATCAGCATCTACAGCCCCTGTTACATTCCCCACAATCACTCCGGGCCGGGAGTGCTCGGGCACAGAGAGCAGCTGGTACTGGAAACGTCCTCTCTGATAAAACACAAATAAAGTAGGATTAATTACATAGAAAGCAAAAAAAAAGTTCAACCATATATTCCAAGCTCCAGCGTACTTCAGTCTCTTCGTATAAGCAAAAATGACCCTTGCTGTACATGTCATGACAAAACCCATTTATTTGTTCTTACAGTATTCTTTCCAGGGTCTGGTTCATTAGTAGGTGTAATGCTAAACAGGAAGATCAGTTTTGTGTCTTAGACTTTGAATACGCCAAATGGTGGGATTCAGGTTTGATCTTCCACTTGTTAAATATTATAATAAATTCTTACATTTGCTATAATGCCTTTCACTTTGGGAGGACATTGCAAAGGGCTTTACAAGATTTACTGTAAAGTGGGACTGTGTTTTCTTGGACAAACTTAGCAGCCAATTTTGTGCACAGCAATATCTCACAAATAGCCATGAAGTGAATGACCAATTTTATTTGGGGGTTTTGTTCACCAGGACACTGGGAGAAACTCCCTTCTTATTAGGTGTTCACCAGAAGGCAGACCACAATGAAACTGGAATGTGCTTTGACCTCCTTTTGGCATGTACACAAAGTGATAGTGTGGAGTTCTAACTCGGGTGAAGGGGTGAAGGGTAACATGGAACGCTGTCCACTCGGAACATGCTTTGACCTCATGAGTGCGTCCAAGCTGTGTGTGTTTAATGAGCAACAGCTTCCTTGGAGGTCTGCATTCATTTATATTTCGAGAAGCTAAAGCAACAAACTACAACAAGATGGAAAAGTAAAAGCCTAACGTCAGGCTGTAAACAAACATGAAAAAATAAAACTGTTAAGATTTTAGTGAATAGTTTATATTTATTAAAATTACAGCAAAGCCCCTTTATGATAAGGTGGTTGGAATTCATAAACTATAAAGGGGCACAATAGGCGGTTTCACTGCATGTGTTCTGCCAGCTCACTCCTTGTGCATTCCCATGCTAAAGAAAGACCGATTTGTGGGTCATCAGATTGCTGCCAACAGCGCTGAATAGTTCTGTTTCAAAACACAGACTCATGCATTTGTTGTGAGGTTCTTACGGGTGGTTTCAGAAAGCTGGGTTCATTGTCGTCAATGTCATCTAGGGCCACTTGCAGAAGCTGGGTAGTCTCATAGGGGACAGGGTGTCCCAGGTCATAGGCCAGGAGAATGAGCTGCAAAATAGTCAATGGTCAACATAAAGATGATAATAATAGTCCTTACATCTGATAGCCAAGATCTCTCTGAATCTGCACTCTGCGTCTAACTATATTGAATGCTCATCCTACAATAAGCATACTGGTAAGACATAGTATTATAAAAATAATAATCCTTGCACTCGATAATAATAATCCTTGCATTTGATACAGTGCCACATCACGTCTTCTAGACGTCTCAAAGCACTTCACAGAATATACTGTAATGTGAATTGACTGTATATTTTGTGGGCAAAAATATAGTGCCTTATCACATTGTCAAGATGTCTCAAAGCCCTTAACAACAAATTTCATTTATATAGCGCCCTTCACGCAGGTTGCATTCTGGAGCGCTTAACAGGTTCTATAGCACATTAATGCCATTTTGTAATTATTTTCCTTTCTATTATATACTCCAATTCCAACTTACATTATAAACAGGCTGCTTTTCCCTGTCCAGCCTGATCGTGGTGTTGATGATTCCACTGAGAGAATCAATGTTAAAATATTCCCAGTCTTTGTTGACTCCAGTTTTCAAAAAGCTATAGCGGACGGCTCCGTTTAAGCCTTCATCACTGTCCACTGCGAGCACTTCATACACCCTGAAACCTGGATCCCTTTCCTAGAAAAAAAAAGGATCTTAACTGTAACAATGGTTCAAGCTCCTAGAATGCTCCTGTCACAAAATAATTCCAAAACAGATATAGGCAAGGAACGTCCAAAATCACAGAGGCTATGGGACTTCTTGTGTTGATGGAAACTATGAAAATACTAGAGCATCTGAGTATTAGAGATACCAGAGATGAGGGTCATAGGAAAGGGTTTAAAAATTTATAGTGTTTCACAGGAACAAAGAAAGGCACGAATGGATCTAACAGAAGTCTAAAAGATTTTTTGAAAATAGTGAAAGATTATTGCTGGTAAATTAATATCTGTGGAGCATAAGGCCATGATTGTCACTGAGGAGTTAAGGGGGAGCTTTGAAGAAGCATTGGAGCATGGAGAGTTTAGTAAGATTGAGGTTGAGACTGGAACAACATTTAAAAAAGAATTGAATACACATTTAAAGTGGAACAATATAAAAGGGAATGGGAAGCAGCATGGAATTGGGATTCGAGGGGTTAGTTCCAGTGGAGGAGATGGCACACACACAATTTCATGGGCTGAATTATTTAAGTCCTGAGTAATAATTTAGATCTAGATTTACCCTATTAAAGTAGCATTTCAGAGTATGCAGAATTTGTTGTTGTTGAATCAGTTTTGCCTTTGAAACCTCTCTTTTTTAATAGTTTTTAAAAGAACTTGCAGAAAACTGGCATTAAAAAAGAAACAGCAGCAAAGAGAAATAAAGACTTAGCTCATTTGAAGTTTATTACCTCCATGATGTGCAATATAGTGCCATTGGGAGGCCTGACAAACACAGGGCGATTATCATTAACATCAATCACATCAACTTTCAGCAGAGTTGTGCCCCAGAGGGGCGGCCTTCCATTATCAGTGGCCACAACTGTCAAATTAAACATCTCGTGGGACTGCAGGAGCCGACTGGTTGTGATCAGCCCTGTGTCTCCGTCCATTCTAAAGGCGTCTGAAAGGAAGAAAATAAATTAATTTGAAAAGAAAATCGTTGTTTTTTTTGTGTTCATCCAAGGTGGTGGATGCCAGTACCAGGACAAAGTGGTATTTTGTTCCATTTCTCAAGCCAGCCAATAATAGAGCCAACTTTGTTTGATTTATTCTCAATAAAGTTCTTTTGTAGCACTTATTTTTTAGTTATAAAGGACAAGTGCGCAACTAAAAATGATGCCCTTCTGTGCAGAAACCTTTTTCTGTTACCAGGGGAACTGATACCAAGGTGGCAATGTGAAATCATTGGTGAGATTCAATTCCATTCAATTCATTTTCAGAACAGACTGTATGCGTGAGATGAAGACACCTTCAAGTTGGCAGGTCTCCCCATTGTGCTTAAGAGCTAGAGTTTCTCATCTGGCTGAGATCTTGACCAGATGATAAGGGCTCCACAAGAACAAGGAAGGGGTGAGAGGGAAATGGAACAAACCATCCCAGACTCTCTTCCAAATTTTTGATAACCTGCCAGACAGCAGCCTGCAGAGGTTCAGGAGCTGGGCTTTGTTCATTTGATGATACTGTGGCGAGGGAAACACGAAGGGTCAATTGCTTTTTATGAAGTTAACAGAAAGGGGAAAACATATCTTGAGTGAACATTTTATCCTTAAAAGGAAGTGTACAGCTTTTACCTGCTCCAGGCCCTTCAACGCTGAACTGAAGTACTGCGTTTTCTCCCTCGTCCAGATCTCTAGCAGTCATCGTTATGACAGACGCACCTCCAGGTTCATTCTCATACACACTGGTGCTAAACTCGCGCTTAGAGAATTGCGGTCGGTAGTCATTGACATCTAGGACAGTTACCAGGACCTACAGCAGCAAATAACAACATAACGGATCAAGTCAATAATTCTGTGCATCTCAGAACAAGATTCTCTCTTCTTAAAGTATCCGCTTTCATTTTCTTTTCTTTGTCTTCTACCACCACAAGTTTGATTTATATATATGTTTCGTTCATATCATTCAACTTTCCACCCAAAGAATAGAGATAAGGTTGTTTTTCAATGGTTCACTGATTCATATTATAACATTATAAAGAGGATACTAAATGTTCCTCAATGAATTACAAGACAATCCAGCTAAAGACTGAGGGTGTGTCATAAACCAGGAGAGTAAAGGTCAACCACTGGAGTACATCATGATCGTAAACATGGTTTCTTTTCTTTGCTGTGTGCTTTTAGCTGTTGTAGTGAAAAAGAATATAGTGTATGAAGGGGGCCATTTATATTCACAATGGTTATAAAAGCACTGCCAATCAATATAACAATAATAATAATCCTTGCATTTTATACAGTGCTTTTAATGTCTTCTAGATGTCTCAAAGCGTTTCACAGAATGTAAAGTGAATTGACTGTATATTTGTGGGCGAAACGTGGCAGCCAATTATGTACAGCCATGTCCCATAAAGTGCCCAATTTATTTTGAGGGATTATTATCAGGCGTGTGGAGTAAGGAAACTTGCCCAAGGTTTCGCTCTGCCAGGAATCGAACCGAGGTCTCTCGCTTGCAAAGCGAGTATTCTAACCACTGAGCTACAGGACTCCACAATATGTTGTGTGACCTCAAAGAACATGGGTTTTGTAATGTATTGGCATCTTATTTTTGACAGTAATTGGAAGAAACATTCACTCTCAAGCAAGCATGTACTCTGGAAAGAACTGAAAGCAATGGATTGTTAACAGTTATATTACCTGCACAGAGTTTTCTCTCCGTTTACTGGGATTACCCTCTGGGTTGTCTTTAGCAACAGCAGTTAGTGTATAGTGATCTTTCTTCTCCCGATCCAGTGCAGAAAGAATGTAAATGTCCCCCTTGATTTAATAAAGAGCATTTACCGAAACTGTTATTTCTGCTCACATTCAATTTAATAAGAACCCCTCAAATCCCAATTATGCAGTTTGAAAGAAGCCTACTCTTTATAGTGTACAGTTTAGACACATTTAATTGTCATATATTTGTTGTATTAATAATTGTCTTTTAAAAGGTGCTCATGTCATTGAAATATACTGTTGATTTTCCAAATATTTTACGTTGAATTAAAGTATTTAGTAGTTAATGTTCAAATAAATATATATTTTTTAAAAACAGGCAACAGGTGATGGGTTTCCTTAAAAACTACCACAGAGTCCGTGGATGACTGACTAAATTTACTCAACAACCTCTCTGCAGTGCAAATGAGAGAGGTGCAAGTAGAGTAAAAGTAGTTCTGTCATTCCAAGTTACTATCCTTCCCACACTTCCTGGGAGTTCGCATTGGCAGAACCCTTGGAACAGGTCAGTTCAATGTTCACTTGGCTGAAGAATTATCTACTGTTCTAAAGAGGGCCAGGAAATTCAAACTGAATTATACTACTGACTAAACAGCTGGAGCTGAGAGTGTCACCGGTTATTGGCAATGCCTGTGTAAAAGTCTCCAGCCCACCTCTTGGGCCTGAAAGTACATAACATAACAAGGCTAATCCTAATGTGGAGACCAAAGGGTTGAAAATAATTAATTATTTTCAATGAGTGGTTTAATTTAACAAACAAAATAGCCTTATTTCACTCTGTTGCCAAGAGAATCGGAAACAGTTTAACTGAAACCCTTTAAAGATGAACTTTACTTGCATTCGTGCTTATGTGCTTCTAAAACTTACCGTTGTGGGATTTATTCCAAACCTTCCCTCTCCATCCACAAGGCTGTATTCAATCAATGCAAAACTGCCGTAATCTGCATCAGTAGCACTAACTTGGATAATCACTGTTCCTAAGGAGACATCTTCAAACACAGGCTTCTGTATATAATCATGATAAAACTTGTTTAGAAAACATACCTGCCATTAAAATACCTCTGGCTTCCTACAGTTGATACACATTATACAATATTATAACAATTTTTGCCTTATCACTTCATCGAGAGGTCTCAAAGCTTTTAACTGAATTTGAATGTAAAGTACAGTGTATTTTGTATGTATTTTGTAGGCAAAAACAGGTTTTGTTGGTTTTAGCTGGTTAGACTCCAGCAGTAACCCAACGCTCACTCTGGAGTTCCCAAGCCTTGACTCTTACCAACCTGCACCTAATACTTTCCGGAATTAAGTAAGCAGGATGCATCCCTCCAGGAAGAGAGTGTGCATTCCATTCCAACAATCTATCTCTGGAATTTCCATGTGTGCGTGGGATGCATGGAATTCTCAGTTTGGTTTGAAGCATCGGGGATGGGTTTCCTCATGTGTCAGATACTTGACTGACTACCCCCCCAAAATTAAGAAGCTGTGGAATTCTAATCCAGTTTTATTCAGATGATTGCCATTAGCAAATTATTCCAGGCAGAGGCTGTATATCAGAATCCAAGCAGCGATTACCAAGGATTGAGCTATTCTGTCCATCCACAAATCATCCATTCATGATTTACAATAAAGCCAATTAACCACATAGTGACCTGGTAGGAGGACTGCACAAAGACAGGGTTGTTATCATTGATGTCCACAATCTGTAAGTTGACAGGAACCTGCACGGATCGAGGTGGCATTCCATGATCCACAGCTCGAACTGTGAAATTCAGCCAGTGGACCTCTTCATAATCCACTGTCCTGTTTGCAACTATTTTCCCTGTGGGGAGAGGAGGGAGAGAAGGGAAAATGCTTTCAAAGTTAATTACTCAAGTTTACAGTTACTTTGCCAGATCAAGCTCTGCTTCGCTACTGATTAGCTGAACAACAAACGTGGCTGTGATCCGATTGTGTCTTTGTTGGTACCACCCACTGCATATCCTCTGTAGGGGGAAAGACTAGCAGTCTTAAATAATAATACACCCCACATTTGATATAGTAACTTACACATTTGCAAAGCCTAATTATCATGTTTTTTTTGGACAGAAAAGCTGCTTGACAGAATTACATCATTGTGTTGTGGATTTCCAAACACAATATGTTGCCCGAACACTGACAGGTCTTAACATGAATTTCATTGATCACATCACTGTGCTCAACATCAACATGATGAAATAACCAGTTCTTGTACTTTTCTCCCTTCCAAATAAACATTTCCAAATAAATCTTTGCCCAGCAGAACACACTGGCTCTGGAGGTGAAAGGACGATGCTGTGAAGGCAGCATAAAATCTGATATTTATATATTTATAATTACCCACCACATACCTGCTGCAGGATCCTCGAGTCGGATGTAACCCCCAGTTGGAAGGTTTAGCAGCTCGTAGATGATGCGCCCATTGAGCCCCCTGTCAGAATCTACTGCTGTTACAGAGATGAGTGTTGTCCCAGCCGTTGCCCCTTCTAGTATTCGTTCGGTGAAAGCTTTCACCCCAAATGGTCTGAACCGGGGAGCATTATCATTGACATCCTGAACATTCACTGTGAGCTTAGCTAAAACATCACAAAGAAAGAGTTAGATGGTTGATTTTTAAAAAAAAGGGGGCTACTGTATCAAACCCCTTAATTTTCTTCCATCCAATCTCATCCTTCCAGAACACCCACCCTGCTCTCCCCCATCATATCATCAAGCTGCTTTTTAAATGAATCCAGTGTCTTCTAAATATGGACAAGAAGGCAGACTAATCCCCTGCTCCCACACCAATGCTGTTGTTTATGTTAATTAGCTTGTCAGGTTATGCCCAACAAAAGATTCAGTCGTCAACCTTTCTTGCCTTGCTTCAAACAGCTGAGATTGAGAAGTCAGAGACACAGGGGAGTCAAACTAGCATCTCTGGTATTGTGCAATGCCAGGTGCAATGCAATCCAATACTGCACTGTAATCCATTTGCTTCACTCAATCGATTGTAATTTTTAAAATTATTTTAAAAGCTACATGGAATCAGAAAAATGTAGCATGCATGTCCTCATGTTGTCTTGGCTGTGACTTGCGAGCCTTAGGGAAAAGGGATTGGGAAAAGGCCATCCTGTTATTGATTTGTGTACTGTACGGGTGGCAAAGTGAAAAGCAACAAAGTAAAATGAGGGAAAAGTCAATTTGAATTAAATACTTTCTATTAAATTGGTGCAATTAATGATGAGATTACTTCACATGGTTGATATTTTTACATTAAGACTATTTTGAAATTCTGCTGTGAAAAAAAGGTTTAAGATTTAAATAAGTGAATATTTCACTAAATTGAAATGTTTGGTAATGATCATAACCTCTAGCCTAAATCCACAATTCCTCCAAATATCTGTGATGTATACCAAGCTAAATAGTTGGGATACAGATGTAATTTACATTCATTAGATTCACAAATTGAATATACACACAAATGTTGATTTGAAGAAAGGCCCCACTTTAGATTAAGCTCTGACTAATGGCTGTTTCATTAGTTGAGACCATTAACAATAATGAGCTGAGCCCATTCACTTTGCTACAGGGTTGGGAAATTGGAGGGAAAATCATTGTGGATCATTCTTGTGTATCCCTTGTGGGATCTCACCACAAAATAAATAAACTTACATCTAATCAGTTCTAGATTAATATAAGAACTGCACAATCATGCTGTATTAACTGTTAAGCAAAAAAAAGCCCACCTTTTAAAGTGAGCGTGAAAAGCTTACCATTGGGAACACTGACAGAATGATCAATCACATCACTAGCATTGTCGTGCACCGAGATAGTTATTTCATAAGTAGAGACCATCTCCCGGTTCAAAGAGCTTCTTACAAACACAGCTCCTGGACAAAAGCAAAACAATAGCAGAAGGTCCACAGTATGGTGTTTACTATTATTGAATGGGGCAAACAATGCAAAATACCAGCTTGTGTCCAGCATCCCACAGGCTGGTTTGCTATATGACATAGGTCATACCCCAGTGTGGAACAATATCATAGTTAGTTATACCATTCATAGATTCTGTAGCCCAGAATGTTCCCAGGTCAGGGAGACCACAACAATGAGGGGAGCAAAATAATAGGAAACAGCTGATCTATTGGTGAACACACAATAGCACAAGAAAACACACTCCATGGTTTCAGATAATCTGAAACCGAGGCTTCAATTTAAAGGCTGCAAATGACAAGTTACAGTAGTATCAGTTCTTATCCTTGTTCTGCAGTGTTGGTGAAGCTGATCCATAAAGTTAACAAATGGTTTCTCCTGTACTGATACACATGGATGAGAAGCACTAATGCTTTGAGCTGGATTATATCATTGATTAGCTCTTTATCACGATAAAGACTTATTTCTCACTTTCCCTACTTGACTACCAGACAGAAACATAATTGGGGGTATACAATGCTTTGGTAAAGATAATTGGGAATACTCCAAATGTTAAACTACCAGATTTACCCACAATAGAACTACAGATCCTTTTCCTTACTAGATTACCAGAGGATACTTGTAGTTGGGTAGGGAGAATGGTAGCATGCATGTTGTATCGCTTTTATCGTAACTGAAAGGTAATAAAAGGGGTAGTGGGGTGAAATGCGCTTGTACTCAAATGGGCGAAATGGAGGTGGACCATTCTAGGTTAAAATCCTTTGTCAGTTTAGCTAAATTGGTAGAACTTAGCCTCTTGGTCATATGGTTGCTGGTTCAGGCTGTGCATTAGGATTTGAAGTCATGGTTTACATTGACACTGTAATGAAGAACCTGGGGAATGCCTAAGGTACCGTCCTTTAGATAATATGTAAAACATAGGTCCCACCTGCCTGTTCTGGTGGATGTTTAAAGCTCCATCTAATTTGAAGAAAAGAAGTTGATATTATTTGGTGTCACAACCAACATTCCTTCCTCATTCAAATACTCTCTGAAGCAAACAAAGCAAAACACCAGCTTGTGTTCAGCATCTTATAGGCTAGTTTGGTATTTGACAAAGATCATACCTCTTTCCTCACAGCACTATGCTCTCAATCCAAATCCCCAAATTATCCTTTCATACTCTTTCCAGAGCTGTATTTAATGCTGCAAGATAGACCCCTGCATTTGAATGTTATTTCCTTGCCCTGAATCTATTTGCTTCAATTTTACACCATAAACTTTACTGCCTTACATGGTGGGGAGATTTTTAATGCATGATTAGCTATTGTGCCTATCTTTCATCTGCTATGCTTTCTGTGAGCTCAGTAACCTTTCGATGCAATTACAATTAATAGTTTTAGCACACATATGGATTATCTTACATTTATTTAACAACACAAAATGTCAAAGGCAAATCTAGGCACCAAGGCTCAGTAAACTCATTAAAATTATTTCCAGCTACTCGGCATGGCTTGTCTTGTCACCCACTCCACCTACACGTTACCATCAGCTTGAACATTCTGCTTAAAATCCTTATCAAGTCCAGTAATGACCATTAATAATGATATCAGATCTCTGGGATAGAGCCCCTTGGGTCTACATCAATCATTGTTTCCCAATTTAAATCACCTGCTTAAAAATTACCCTTTTGCTGTCAAATATGCTGTCTATCTAACATGCAATTCCACTCATGATTTCTCTGAACCTTTGCTTTTGTTGCATCTTTACAAGGTAGTAATCTAATCTAGGGGTTCAGGTGTTGCTATAAAGCTTTAGGGTGAAACTAGAGTGGTATATAACCTTTTTGCTTTGTTCCTGAGATTAGATTACACCTTGAAATCACTGAAAGGTAATTTGAAAAAATAACATGCAGTAACATGCTTGTTTTTATTTAGTTATTAGGTTACTGCTTCTGCTGACAGTGGCTGTTGGCACTGAACTCCAGTCCAGGTCTTTGACATGTGCTGATTTTTATGCTAACAGATTAACGATTGTAACCTCATCAATCCATAGTAAGCAGGGCAAGTTTCACCTCAAGCTTTCTTGTTCCAATTCTGTGACTGAGCACAATTGGCAATCTCTGTGTGATAAGATAACTGATTTACTGTGGGATGCAAATAGTTTGGAAAGAGGTAGGAACACACAGGCACCCCAGCGGCACAGCTTGATGGAGAACCGGAGACTGCTGCACCAGAATTGCAGGGTGTCCTCCTTGTAGCCTTGCTTGAGTCCAAATGACAATTAGTGCTGAATTATGGATAATTCCTGCTTATGGAGTCATACTAAATAAAGGCCTTTATTGTACTTTTATCTAATTGAACAGGATGTAATGTTAATTGAAAATAACCGCTGCTCTAGCTAGGTCTGTTCAAAACCACATAGTTACAGGACCACAAGCATCTTACCTGCTACCATTTATATTGTTTTCCTCTTTATTAGCACAAGTCTAACACAGTGATACTTAAATCAAAAGAAAAATGTCTTGGACATTCTTTACAATTTGTTTGTTGTGCCTGGTTTGAGCTTTACCTGTTTCAAAATTGATTCCAAATGCCCTTTGCTGGTCTTGTATTACTGCATCAGTGTCGTCCTTAGCAACAAGCTCAATGATGTAATATTCCAGTCGGGGTCGGAGGTCCTGATCAATAGCTGTAACATTTGCTATGATGGTACCAATTGCAGCTGATTCACTGACACTAACAGTCTGGATAGGGTTTATAAAGTCAGGTCTGTAGTCGTTGACATCATCAATTATAATATTCACGGTGGCACTTGCTGACAATGATGGGATCCCACGGTCCATCGCTATAACAATAAGTGTATATGACTCCCTTTCCTCTCGGTCTACTGTTACTCCATTGGCCACTTTGATAACTCCAGTGAGGAGGTCAATGATAAACTTATCTTGGGCTCCTCCCTCTATACGGTAGTTCAGTTGTTGGTTGGAACCAATATCTGCATCTGTCGCTTTTACCTGGACGACACTAAAACCTACAACACAAAAGTACAGCAATGCATCTGATTTCTCAGACTAGAAAGTGTTAAAAGGTTCTGTCAGAATCTTTACATTAAATAGTTTTAATTAACATTAATTAAAAAGAGAATGCAATTCTGCGTTTCTGCTAAGATTCCCTATTTTCTTCCAATTTTCAGTCAAGGTATTTTGGAAGTATAGAAATATTTAGTGGCAGAACGTTGCAGGACATTGGAGTCCAAACACACAGCGCCAGGACGTATTGGGATGTGGGTTTGTGCCAGTACTCTACACACTGAATTACTGCCCCCAGCCATGCTGTCATAAGGAGATTCTGCCACTGAACCACAAGGAGGGAAAATCTGTGTCAAAACCTGAGCCTCACTTCATTGTCTCCTAGACACACTGCAGATATAGAAACAGATCACCTGCCCAGTCTTTTGGCCAAAAACAATGCACCCCAGAGAGCCAAGAGGCAAGAGACAAGAGAGAAAATGTGTTTTTTTGCCCTTCTGACTTGTGAAGGGATAAAATTCAATGGGTGTCAGCAGCTCTCTTGCAACTATCAAAATGATACTTCTGGATGACAATTGTGCCCACTGCTTCAATGCCCACTACTTATGCTGAGATCAGAACAGGAATCAAACCTGGAACTTTCCTGGTAAGAAAAGCTCAGAACTTCACTGTTTGGTGCATTTGGTGCAAAAAATGACTTTTTAACTGCTGTTTTAGAGATGTTCAATGTCAAGGTTCTAGTCGGAGAGATGGTACCTTGGGTGCTGTGGTCTGTCACGTCAATGTTGCTGAGAGCTCTGTCGGTGATTATGGCGTCTCACCGTTCACATCAGGGAGCAATGTAAAATGAACTAGAACAGAAAGCAAAGGGGAGGCAGGAGTGCAAGGAAAGATAAATGGGAGGTGGCAGGGTATGAAAAAAGGGACCTGAAAGAACCTGTGTAAGAATCTATACCCAATTTATTCCTGAATAAATTCATTCAGCTACTCACCTAAACCTTTCTCACACAGTATCCAAATTTGGACAAATGTATGACTGTTTACGCTTCAATTCACAATGCTCTTTCTCTAACTTAGTAACAAACAATAATGTTGCTCAGCACTTAGTGACTATGGGGAAATTTATAACATGCTGCTGTTAGATTTGGTCACCAGCCCAAAATGGAGAAAAAGGTTTGATGCTGCCTGATAGGTATTGAACACCCTATAATAACCTATTGTACCTGATGGGCTGTTCTCTGGAAGACTGACTGTCAGCGTGGGAGGACTAAATACCGGTATGTTGTCATTTTCATCTAAAACTGTTATAACAAGTCTAGCTGCACTCTTCAACTGGCCGACATCTTCTGCTATCAATGTGAACACCAGCCGTGCACTGGTCAATGCTTCCCGGTCGATGATCTTTCCTGGTCGCACAGAAACCGTACCTGGAACAAAATTTCAAAGACAAACGTTAACTCATTTGTTTGCCATATATTGATTTAATTCTAAATGGGAAAACATGTAGACAGGAGTAGTCTATAGTAGGATAATAACAAATAAAAATGTCAAAATTAAAAATATGTATGCTTAATTTTCAGACTTCTATACTCTTCTACTTTTTTTATATAAAAAAAACTTGCAATTCAGGTCTCTCCTCCACCAAACCAGTTTCCCGATGAAGACTCAACCCTATGTAATTGTTCTTTTTTTGAAAGAAGTAATGTTGGTTAGACTTGCTCTTTTGTATTAGTCTGGAGATTTGAAAGCCATTGAGTGAAAATATTCAGTCACCTAAAAACATTTAAAAATCACTGGACTGTTATATGCCTGTTATATATATATGTTATATGTTATATACCTGACATATTAGCCTTGCTGTTTATGGAAATTTGTACACAAAGATTAGGAACTACTGTATTTACAGCAAGAGTGATTGGCTTCACAAGAAGGAAGAGTGAAAATGAGAAAAAAACTTTATTTTGTTCTTGCTTTTACTTAGTACCAAAATGTCATTGCAAAACTGACATCTTGCGCAGAATCCTTTGGGTCTATTATTGCAAAATAGATAATAGATTACACCATCACTGATGTCTTTTCTTAAATAAGCCACAACATCCTGCATTGAGCTAACACTTCTTCCTCATTAAGACAGTCACGATTCTTACATCTTCACAGCAGTTGTGGATCAATGCGAGCAAGTCATGGAGCAATATTACATCTTAAGGAACCTGTGCAATAATTTCAGATGAAGGCTTTTTGGCTTTAATTTGTACAAGCAGGAGACAAGGCCACAATCAACATTATGCTCACTCTAAAAATGCTGTTACACTTTCACACATATTCGTTTCCACTTAAGATTCCCCAATTAAAGATACTAGAGAAAATCTTCTGGTTTCTGACAGTTAAGAAGATTGAGGCTGGAGATTGATAGCTGCTTTTCTGTTATTGCTGTCAAAACCTCTATGTTTTGTTTGCTGAAAAACTGGCCAGGATGAGATTAGCACATTCAAAGTCATTCACATCTCCCTCACTATCTCTTCAATTGCTTTGGTTGAGTTAAAGATCTCAATGGTGTGCGGCAAGAATGAAAATCAAACACATGAACATGCCTCCTATTGTTCGAGAGTAAGACATTGATATATCCTGTAGCTCAGTGGTTAGAGCACTCGCTTTGCAAGCGAGAGACATGAGTTCAATTCCAGGCACAGGGCGAAACCTTGGGCAAGTTTCCTTACTCCACACGCCTAATAATAATCCCTCCAAAACCAAAATAATAATAAATTGGTCATTTTCAATCTACGACTGTTTGTGGGACACTGCTGTGCGCAATTGGCTGCCGCGTTCGCCCATAAATATACAGTCAATTCACAGTGACTGTGAAGCGCTTTGGGACGTCCTCCCGACGTGAAAAGCGCTATATCAAATGCAAGGGTTATTATATCATTAGAATCCATAACCAACCTGGATTCATGAATTAGCAGTAATCTGTGACACCCCATAAACTAACATTACTTAAATTGGCTCTTGAAGTCATTTTTGTTGAAGCCAAGTGCTCCCTGGATAAGAATAAATATATTTCTGTCAATAAAAATAACCACTCAAAATAGCTAATGAGTGGATAAAATACTGAGCGTATTTAATCTGGTCAACAAAGAAAATGAGCAAGTAAATATGGCTGATTTGTTATGGCGTCCTGTCAAAGGGGAACAACTTCTACTTGCGCAGATGAAAAAAAATCTAAATTTCTATTTCCCCAGCAGAAGGCTCCAGTCAATGGGCATCACAATGGGCAGTACTGTCATTTGGAATATTTTACTGAAAGCAAAGGGGAAATCTTAAAGAGCCAAAGGATAATTTACATGTGGACCTTGATGTTTAGACACTTATGGGTGTATGCAAAATGTGGTGAGTGTTTACATACATTCTTCCGAAAAGTCTTTTTTCAAAAGAAAAAGAATTGCAAAATTTCCCATAACATAGCTGTTAACATTCAGTTGTTTCAACATATCCTACCGACTACAGAATCTCCAGGCATATCAAAATGACCTTCCCACCCAAGTTCCTTTTCACCATTCATGATCAATCAAAAACATCCAGCAGCAAGGCTAACTGCACAAAAATAAAACATGAAAATAATAAAAAAAATGCACCAGTAAAGTAAAAAAAAAACCCACCACTAAGCCATGAATTCCCAACAAAATCCAGGTGATCCACAGGGCAGCCTGCAGATATCTCCTTCATGACACTAGCAACATCCATTTCCCCTCAAACACCACATGTAGAAAAAGTGTTGGTCTGAATGACACTGAATAATGACCTGATAAGCACAATACTAAATCTTTATATTAAGTATGCTGCAAACCTTTGGGGGATCAGTATTTTAGACAATCCCTCCCAAATCACAATGGACATAGATATGTCTATAAACGTTAGCACTAAATCATAATATTGGTTTGGATGAAGATGGCCCTTTGGCCCATGTGATCTTATCTTCAAGAATACCCACCTAACCTTCCTCCCAGTGCCCAGGCCTCACTCATAACATAACATAAAGGAGAGACTCACCGCTTGTTCTGTCGATGGTGAAGAAATCAGTCCTGTTACCCAGCAATTGGTAGCTCACCACACCATTTGGGCCTTCGTCCCTATCGTGAGCCATAATCGGTCCATTCACCAAGGTAATTTGTGTACCTAACAATAAGACAATCACGTTTTAAAATCCATGACTGTTTATTAACATCACTGTCGTCTGCAAAATTGTCTTTTTGTAAAGATAAAGGACTGTTTGGCAAAATAGACTTTGTGTTACGGGGGTGGAAATCATGTAGATGGAATGACAACCCAGGTAGTGCACAAACACAAAAGTTAAAAATAGATTTTTTCTAAAACTGTAATTAAAAGTGTTTTATTCAAGGAAAATGACAAGACTGTTTGAAAAACCTCTTTATTATTTACAATCATCCGCTTACCTGCTCGAGAATTTTCAAGAATTTCAGCTTGATATGTGTTTTGAGTAAATATGGGCCTGTTGTCATTTTCATCTGAGATGGAGATAATCAAAAAATCGGAGTCCTAGCAAAGAGAGGTAATGTTCAGAACGACACCACAAACACAATACAGATGATTCATATAGATTTGCTATTTCACGAATGGCTTATGTATTCTGTTTACTTTACCATTTTTCTTCTGTTATGCTACAAATTCTCTTTTGACACCTCAGCTGTCAGCCTGGTTTAGGAGATTGTGTTTCTGTGTCAGAATCAGAAGGTTATAGCCTTCTGGAGCTTGAAGCAAGATCCACTTTGGGCCTTTACACTCATACTTTTCCTTTACAGCCTGATACAGTACTAGGATGCTTTAAAACAGTTTTGTTTTGTCCTGAGCATCACTTCCCACAGATAAATTGGTTATTCCTTTATGCTAAATTGGCTACAATTACAGGTGAAGTATGTTGAGATGTTTTGCCATAATGAGAGCTGTATCGAAGCAAATATTCTTATTGTTATTGATGTGAGATTCTTTTCAAAGTTTTGTTTTACTTCTTTCTCCTTTTTCCTGATCCAATCCATCACAATCCTGTAGCTCAGTGGTTAGAGCACTCGCTTCACAATCGAGAGACCTGTGTTCAATTCCTGGCAGTGCGAAACCTTGGGCAAGTTTCCTCACTACACGCCTGATAATAATCACTCAAGAAAAATAAAACAATAATAATTTGGTCACTCAATCCACGACTGTTTGTGGAACACTGCTGTGCACAATTGGCTGCTGCGTTTCACCCATAAAGATGCAGTCAATTCACTTTACAGCATATTCTGTGAAACGTTTTGAGACGTCTCGAAGACGTGAAAAGCGCTATATCAAATGCAAGGATTATTATTATTTATTATTAATCTGCTCCCCAGTCCCCTGCAAATGCTGCTATAAAATCACCAATGAGAAAGTGCACAAGAACAGCCTGTGGTAGTAGCATGTCCATCCTTGGATCACTAAGTTTGTGGGTTCAAGTCTCATATTGGGACTTTGAGCTCATGTCTAGGCAAACAATCTGTTGTAGTGTTGGCCCAGTGGACTTGTGGGTGTGAGCTAACTTTATATTATTTTAAGTTGCTACACCTTGGTATTTGAAAATATAATTGGTAGCCAAATATGTTCCAATGTTCTTAAAATTTATTTTTTGAAAACTTTCAAGGACATAGAAACAGGAGGAGGATATTTAACCCACTGGAGCTTTCTGACAGTTTCTAAGCTCTAGGTAAATCTTTTAACCTCCAATTTGACTCATCTCTCAGCTCCTGTGCCCAACAAACAGTGTCAAGCACTTTGAGACAGCCTCTCCATGGGAAAGCCTCTATAAATGTAAATTGTATTCTACATATCCTTAATTCCCAAGTAACATTCATCTCCTTTTTAAAAATTCCACTTGATTCTTCTTGTACGGCTCCTAGCATTTAGGCTTTTAACGTAGAAATAGTAAATATTGTGTTGTCATTTGCCAAGCTTCATGTCATGGTGCATATAGGATGGGTAAGTAGAAAAAAAGCCCTTGAATAGTACAAAATATACTTAGAAAAACATCCAACGGAGGTAGCAGTTTAATTCTATTTATATTTGCAGGATTCAAATATTTATGTTTTTTGTTCAATGTCCTGTTGTGTGGGAAATTTATATTAGCAGTCAGTGATGAAACCATAGGAGTTGATCTGAAAGTAGACTTGAACCTGTGTATAATAAGTCATAATTATAATAATCCTTGCATTTGATATAGCGCCTTATCACGTCTTTGAGATGTCTCAAAGCGCTTCACAGAATATGCTGTAAGGTGAATTGACTGTATACTTTGGGGACGAAACATGGCAGCCAATTGTGCACAGCAGTGTCTCACAAACAATTTGGATTCAGTGACCAAATTATTATTATTATTTTTTTGAAGTTTCTGCTAGCATAGTTTAAAACATATCACATATATGTACCCTGGCGTTGGAACAGTAACCGTTGATTTCAAGATTGTAATGCACATTTGGCTTCAGATGTAGGATTAAAAAAAATCGTGTGAACTTGACATTGTGGTTTAAAGAGGTCATCTCAACTTCTCGATTAAGATACTGAATTGTCATTGACAAACAACCATCATTAGATCAGGACACATATATATCGGACAATAATTTTAGTGAATGTGAGTGTGTGCAAAATACGATGCTCTTATTTGCATCTTTGTTACGACATCTAATGTAAACGGGTTTGGCTTCTGATACAATGGTAAGGCCCGCTGTATAGATCTGTAATGATAATGCATTCGCTTAAGAGTTTCAGGTAATTACTCTCCGAGCGTGTCTTGGGTTCTCTGGGTTGTCCTTCACAGTGATCGTGAGCCTATATTCTTCTGTCCGCTCCCTGTCCAATGGTCTATTAACATAGACGCTACCGCTCTGCAGAGCAAATCACAGGAGAATGTCACACAAACAGCTTTTTAATTACAACAAATCTAGATACACAATTCTAGCAGAAGTTCTTCTTCCCAACACCTAGCCACAAACTATCTCTCCTTCCTCTTCCCAGCGACATTGGAAAAAAATGAAAATATTGAGAGTCATGAAAAACAAAATCATTTTTTAAAAAATTAGAAGATTGAATGGTTGAGGAAATGCACGAAAGGAAATATCAGAAGGGTTTCCACTGAACTTCTTCTATTGTGGGACTTCTCATAAGCAGCATACCTGAGACCAAGAACCCTGCAGAGTTGAGTACTAAATCTCCAGTACATTAAATCTACTATATTTTATGTATTTCTTCTATTTTCTGAACTAAAGCTTCTTAGGCAAGTAAAGTGGGACTTTGTAAGCTTGTGTTGACAACTAGCTCGACTATTGTTCTATATTTTGTTCAGTTGTGCTTTTACCCTTTCTATTTAAATTTTGCAATTACATATCATGATCTCGTTCAATTTTGACAGTGTTTTCATGCCTTAAGTAATACTGCTGAAGAACGATGATCCATGTGTATGAACAAAATATGCAAAATACAAATGAGGAAGAACACTAGTTATTGTTCACCCTGATATGAAATTTAAGGCTTAGTAACCCAAATTAGAAGTTTCTTCACCCCCAATCTTACTAAGAAGTTGGTAGAACTGCTTAAACATTTTCAAAATTGAAAGAGATCATGATATGTTATTGCAAATTAATACAAGCATTCTTTGGAATAAAAGCAAATAGAAAAAGAACAAGCAAGAGTATTAAGCTTGCAATGGAATTAATGGGATGCTTCTTAAAAATAAAAATAAATAACTTAACCGTTTCATTGATAAAGAAGACATTCTCTGCATTTCCAGCTGTGACACTGAATGTCAGCAGAGCATTCCGGCCGCTGTCTGCATCTGTTGCCAGCACTCTAGCGATGGACGTGGACACAGTTGTATTTTCACTGACGATGCAGTTCAACGGGAGGTTCTGAAGCACTGGATCATTATCGTTTATATCTAGTACTCGCACTCCAACAAGTACCTGAACACAGAACAATTGATAAGTCGATTAGAATAAATACCAGTGAAAAATTCATTTATCTAAAAAAAAACTAAGTTTAACTGAAGTTTTAACCTGCAGCAAAAATCTTCACATTGATCAACACATTTCACCTGCAAATTGTTTTTGTGTTGCACGATAATTTAAGGTATTGATTTATGTGTCCTCATCAGCAACAAACCTGTCAACATTCGAGAACAACTTTCCAGCTAACAGAATTATAAAGATCCAGAACATATGCGGTAATAATTCAACCAAATGGCTCCAATGATAAGCTACTAGCCTAAATATTTCATCAGCAAATATAACCCGTTTCAGTTACAGCTTTCATCTTAGCTTTAGACATTTGTAAATTTGCAGTGTTTTTCTTATGTGGTGCACTAAAGTGCACTAAATGAACGATGTAAGATAACAAAGATGGTAGTGATATACAATCTGAGTTTTATGAGACAAAGTACTATAAATCATAAATTATACTGGACTCTAAAAATCCCTTAAAACTTGGCTTTACTGGCCACCAATACATCTGTTTTGGGCAGGACCGTAGATTGAGGATTGACCAGGAACCCGGGGAACAATGGGGGGAACTCTATAACCAGTAACTTAATGTGGCAGCTGCCATCAGCCTAATGATGATAGTTTGGATGGTTCTGTCCTAGCCTTTGCAATGCAAAGTAGTAATTTACAGGATCATTACTTATTAAGATGAATAATAAGTGGGCTGACCTTAACAAATCACTGAACTTCTTCTTTTGCAGCCATCTTCCCTTTGCTTCCTTTACTTCCCCCTTTCTTGGTTCTCTTTGCTCTGGAGGGTTTAGTCGACGTGCTGATAAGCACTTGACAGATTTTGATTGGGACTGTGGAAGCATGAAAGGGTGTGTGGATTCTACTTCTGCCACTGGAGATATTGCAGCTGCCTGGGTAAAGCAATGACTTGAGCATAGAGCCTGGACTTCAACTCTACTTTAGTAAAATAAAGCATCATTATACCCCAAGGAGTAGATCCTAACAAACTAACAGAATAATTGTATAGCGTATCAGAAATTGTGACTGAAGGACAGTGACAGTGTGTCTACATTGATTAGGGATACCTGAGAAAGGCCAATTGAAGAGTACAGTTGCACAGATCAATTAAGGATAAACTAGAGTCAATTAATGATTACTGTTCGAACTTGTGATTCAGTGTTAAATGAAAGTGAATGAAGTGTAGGCTTAAATGTGATACTGAGAGTATTAATGGAGTAAGAACTGACCGTACTGCTCAGTGATGGTGTTCCTCTGTCTTTGCCCATAATAGTTATGTTATAAAATGAAAGAGTCTCTCGATCCAACTCAGCATCTCTTTTCACACGAAGCTCCCCATCCACTGGAGAAATGATAAACTCATCTGTACCGGAAAACAAATTACGCAAGTAATCTGGTTTTATTTAAGCAGATATTATCTCTAGAACATGCAAACATTACAAATACATAGTCACTTTACAGGAAAAGCCACTTCAAAGTAAAATGCAAGGATTATTATTCAATAATATTCCCAACTTTGTGTTTGTTATCTAACAGGCGATCATCTATGACTGGACAGGACTGTGGAGTCCTGTAGCTCAGTGGTTAGAGCACTCGCTTTGCAAGCGAGAGACCTGAGTTCAATTCCAGGCAGGGCGAAACCTTGGGCAAGTTTCCTTACTCCACACGCCTAATAATAATCCTTCCAAAAACAAAAACAATAATAAATTGGTCATTTTCAATCTACGACTGTTTGTGGGACATTGCTGTGCGCAATTGGCTGCCGCGTTCGCCCACAAATATACAGTCAATTCACTTTACAGTGTATTCTGTGAAGCGCTTTGGGACGTCCTCCCGACGTGAAAAGCGCTATATCAAATGCAAGGATTATTATTATTATTATTATTATTATATAACTTCTGCTATTTTGTAACCTTGCTCATGCTACAGTTATGCCAGAATCAGGCTGCATTAGTCCCCAAACCTCAATCAGAGGTAAACTCGTCACTAAACCTCTGAGGAATGCAAATTGCATTATTATGGCTCTGCAATACACGTAAACCTTTGACGATCATTGAATCATAATACAGCGACACACCATGAGACAATGAAAAGTTTGTTTAGAATGTGCTCAGTATGTGATAGTTTGGCTTTGTAGTCTTTCATTAACAAGTGAAAATAAGTCTTACTGTGGGCTCAGGAGATCAGCATTCACAGTTAGAACTACAAAGTCTACTTTTAATTAAAACAATTAATAATTTAGAAGATAAATTTCATAATTTATTCATGGTCTCAGAAGGGTTTCTGAAAGAAAATTCCACATAATGATACATAATAAAGATAAAATGTCCTCCAGCAATTTTTCCTTCATTTGAATTTATTTTCAAATTTTCCCACTGTTTCGCTTAAGAGTTTCTTTACATTTCCAGTTACTTCTTACAACTCCCCTCCCCCACCACACAGACACACACACACATGCACACACAAAGAAAGGAGCCGTGGAGTTTCAAATAATGGATAATTGTTAAATTTTAAAAAGTTTCAGTCCATAAAACATTTGATCTCTATTTAAAAATATTCCCATTTCTGTCTTCCATATGACAACAGCACCAGGCGTTGTAAAATGATGTGGGCTAAAGTTAGTCAATTAGCGCCAAAGAATGATTCTTCCTGCAGCACAGGGCTGTTTTCATCCTCCCGACGTGAAAGGCGCTATACAAATGTAATCTTGTTATTGTTGTATTAGGTTTGATTAAACTTTGCTCGGGTCAGGATTAACTAGTATCCATTTATGCTGCTGAGTTCATTTCACATTCACGAGAATGTTTCTTTGTTGGATACAATTCAGTGATTCTTTCAGCAACATTTTAAAACGTAACAGTGATAGTGATAATGAGCAGCCATCATGACAGCAAGCCTGTGGTGACGCTACTCATTTCAATGTCACATAAAATTATTTTGCTCGAGTAGAATATTTTTAAAAAAATCTATCTTTCTTCTAGAGATGAATAGACCCTGTTGTTCACTGTTTTTCTTCTTGTGAAAGCTTGAGGAAGGTAACTGGACTTCAGTGTCCTTAAGTTGTATACTTGCTTCTCTCATACTTACTGAGAGGATCCCCTGCTATGACACTGTATTCCACTTGCCCATTTGGGCCTGCATCTTTATCTGCTGCGATGAATGTCCACACCCTTGGACCTGGTTGGCCCTCAGTGATGTCAAATGGGCCTTCATATGAACGAGCAAAGGTTGGCGTCACGTCGTTGATATCATTCACATTGACAATCACCTATAATAGAAAAAGAAAGGTTCACAATTTAACCCTCATATGAAAGGTATAGATCAAGAGTTCTAACATTCAAAAGCTAGGGTAGATGGAAACACAAGTCTTTTTTTTAAAAAAATCACTGGGTTCATTGAATTCTATCTCTACACAGAGATGGAGTAAAGATGATCTTTCTCCAACGTTGGTTAATGACTCACATTTCCCTCTCAGATGATCCTGGAATAATAGTTCAGTAGAAACTAAATCAAAACAGAGTTTGCTATGTTCAGGCTTGGTCAGTTTGTCTTATTCTCCCTCTACCACACCTCCCACTGTCACATGAAAAAGCTTTTTGAATGGAAATCTGATACAAGGTTGTTTATACTTTGTCATGTCAATTATGAAATGGCAAATCTTATTCAGAGAGGCAGTAAGGATACCTGGTAGGACAGATAATATACTGTATCATATTGGTGATCTAAAGGCTTCCCCTGAGACTGAGTTAGGCACATAATTGAAGCAATAATGAAAAGATCAATACTACATCTAATCTGCACCATAATGATTGATGTGGTTAATGGTTCAAATGTGGTTAATAGCTCACCTCAGGAGAGCAATATTTTCTACAGAGAGCAAACATTTCATTTGCAGCTTTCAAAGCACTGTATTTTGCTGAATACAAAGTGATCTCAATTAATAAGGCCACAGTCAGTAGCCTATACTGAGTCAGAAGGTATAAGGTCAAGACCCACTTCAAAAGTTTGAGCTCATAGTCTCACTTTCTGGTCAGACGGATGTTAAAGATCCCATGGCGTTATTTAAAAAGGGAGAATTTCTCCTTGAGTCCTGGTGAATGATCCTCCAATAAAATTAACCATTCATTTCAAGGGTATTCTGTGTGACATTGCTTTGCACAAAACATTGCTGTGTTTGCCTATACATAAAGTGCTTCAAATGTAAGGTTTATTAGTAAGATTAAGATCAGCCAGGAAGGCCAGAGGAAAGAAAATGTCAAGAATGTCTTAAAGGGTTACGGTTTGGTTTGGGAACAACAAAAATATTTTCAGATGATCTCAGTTAACTCTGAGCAGATTCTCTTGCAAGTCTTACAGAATGCTGATTTTTTGCAATCCGCTTCCTTTATGGTGAAAGACTCACTGTGGTTGTGGATGTGAGGCGTCGCTCTCGATCTGCGCACTGGTCTATGGCTGCGACAATCAGAGTGTAGCGTCCGTGGCTTATCTCGTAGTCCAATTCTTTTATTGCCTTGATCAGGCCCTAGAAAGGAAACAAAATAACTGCTTGCATGAGCATAGGTGTTTAACCCTCTTTTTTTTTCTGATTCAACCATCACTTAAAGGTCACTTAACCATGACTTACATGCAACTTCTAGCAGGAGCTGAACAGTGATCTTGGACATTGAGAGGTCAATTTCAGTTCAGAAGCAAGAGTGGTCAATGTGAGCTTCCATGGTAACTGTCTTGCTCAGCAGCAGGGGACAAGTAAGAGCATCATGGATGGAGCTCATGATTTAACTTTGCCTCTCTCCCCAGTCATGCCCCCCAGCCTTTACTTAGCAATACAACTGAGCTGCAACCTAGCAAAGATCACCAGAGTATGGATTCACAAGGATCATGAGCACAGTGATATCACCTGCACGTGCGGGGGTCATTGACGAGTGAGATCCAGCTTTATTAAGAATCTTATTTTCTAAACAGTGAGAAAGCTGCAATTCTGAGCTGCGCAATGCACAGATCAGCAAACACAAGCAGATCTGTTTGTTACATTCATACATAGGGAGCTGAATTGCTGAAGATAGAACACATTATCGTGGAGTTTTGTGTATTGGTGATGTAGACTTCTTTCAGACAAGTCAATTCTCTTTACAGTATATTCTGTGAAGCACTTTGAGACATCTCAAAGATGTGATAAAGTGCTATATCAAAGGCAAGGATTATTATTATTTATAACACAAGTCAAATCTACAACCAACACCTTCTCCATTGCAAGTTGAATTGTAATTGTATTCATTAATACTCACTGTGGTGTTGTGAATAACAAATGTGTTACCAATATTCCCTTCCAAAATGCTGTAGCTAATGGTCCCATTTAGGCCTTCATCTTGATCTGTTGCATTCACCGTTATATTGAATGAATATAAGGTTAATGGCCCTTCGTCCAAAGTGATTTCATATAGCTGTTGCCGAAATACAGGGTAGTTGTCATTCTCATCCAAAATGGTTATAAAAACCATGGTTGTTACCTGGAATAAGGGCAAGATGTTACAGGTTAAGCTTTAAGAGTACATTAACAGTTTTGCCTTATGTGTGGTGGGGGAAGAGGAGAAGGATCACCATCTTACTTATCAATGCAATAGTAGTATGCAGGTCTGTAGTCTAAGAGTCTGTGTATTGTATAGGTTGTGCATCAGTTTAAGAATACCTGGATTGTTTAACATTGGCTCTAAATCTTGGGGGGGAAAACAGTTTTAAAAAAAAGTCTAGGTTGCAGATGGATACGTTGCAAGTTTCATGATTTGAGCCAACTTTGAGAAGGTGATTAACTCCATTCTACACCATGCTGTTAGCACAACAAAGCAGAATATTCTAGCAGCAGAATTTTTTTTATCAATCAAAAAATGAAGCCAAGAATATGTGTGTGTGTTTGTATAGAAACAAGTGAGTAGCTATAATTACTCTGATGACTGGGAAGGAGTGTCCCATGTATGTGTTATTCGACACACACCTGGAACACTGCTGACAGGTTTCCGGTATTGGAGGAGCTCTTTCCAAAGGAAATTGTCCACTAGTTAAATCTTTACAACAATTGAATTGTGAATGGGAGAACAGCAGACCTTGTATTCATTATAGTTTCAGACCAGCTGTTTCTAACAGTGAAGCTGATGCTGATTGCCACCAGAAAGAGATAGTTTTCAGGAAATTCTGGTTTGACTTTGTTTGGTGGAGAAGCCATTCAAATGTACTTTAGAATGTGGAGCAGAGCAGGATTTCTGGTTACTACTTCTTCCCTAATAGTGCATATAATACTCTTACTTCCGTTCAGGTGTCAGCCTCAGTTGGTAGCACTCTTGATTCTGAGCCAGAAAGTTGCGAGTGCAGACCACATGTTGGGACTTTGAACTCGGTCTAGGCTGGAGGAATGCTGCATTGCTGGAGACGCCACTCTTTAGATGAGATGTTAACCAAGATCCTGTGTGCCTGTTCAGATGGATGTCCTGGTCAACATTCACCCCAGATAAACTTAATTCACTTCATGGTTGTTTGTGGGATATTGCTGTGTTAAATTAGCTGACAAATTCACCTACAAAGTCGATGCATTTTAAATCCTGTGTAGTACTGGGACATCAATGTCAATCTTTCATTTTAGTCTTGTGGCTGAAGCTCAATTGCTGTCTCTGAAGTAGACTGGTCAACAGTTACAAAATGACAATTCTAGGAGCATGAGAACTGATGTCTAGCTTCCTAACTAATTGAAGGATTCAACAATCTTAAATTGGCCATGAGATAAAAATCAAAATTCTTCACATCGCAGAGAATGCAGCATGGCTGACTTTTGCTAGGGATTTTGATCGGAAATGAATGCTACACAAACAACTGAGCTTAAGAGGTATTGTTGATGTATAGATCTAAGGAAATGTATAAGGTCAGAAAATGTCTAAAATGGTAACTGTTTATATATAAAAACACAACCTTGTGTACTGGGAAAAAATAAGGCAGATCTTAAGGCATCAATGACTGTTTGGATGTTACAGTGTATGCAATATTGTAAAACTAGACACTTTTGAAAGTAAACACTGGAGTGCCAGAACCTAAGGTGAGCATATTTCTGTGTGACCAGGTGTGAGTCAGTCTAAACTGGAACAATTTACATGGACCTTTTCATATAGGATAAATAACTTGAAGCACATTACAGAATTAAAAGCACTGAGGAAAGGGGAATGGAAGGAAAATTTAAGAGTGCTGGCCAAAGGCATTGTTTTAGGAGATAGGATATTAAAAGGGATTTGTAAGCAGGAAGGAAAAATAGGGTTAATCTAAACCATTGATTACACCATCAAAAGCGAAATATGTTTTGAGTTTTACTGTATACATTTAGAATAATAATAATAATCCTTGCATTTAATATAGCAAAGACTATTGCCAAAAAGGAACTTTTAATTACCCAAACTCAGAATACTTATGAAAAAATTCCTTTAAGAAATACCACAAATTTGTTTCTAATAATAATAAATAATAATAATAATCCTTGCATTTAATATAGCGCTTTTCACGTCGGGAGGACGTTCCAAAGCGCTTCACAGAACACACTCTAAAGTGAATTGACTGTATATTTGTGGGCGAACGCAGCAGCCAATTGCGCACAGCAATATCCCACGAACAGTCGTAGATTGAAAATGACCAATTTATTATTGTTTTTGTTTTTGGAGGGATTATTATTAGGCGTGTGGAGTAAGGAAACTTGCCCAAGGTTTCGCCCTGCCTGGAATTGAACTCAGGTCTCTCGCTTGCAAAGCGAGTGCTCTAACCACTGAGGTACAGGACTCCAAATGCAGTGCATAGTAGTATAATTCTCCTCAACGCATTACACAGTTCTGTATACACTGTACAGAGGTTAAAAGCATTGCGTATTTTTCCACTGGAGGAAAAGCCAGGAGCAGAACATCTGTCTACGGTGATTGGGAAGGGAGGAGAAATAAACTTGGGTCTTCTATTGCCTGAGAAGCCATTACATTTGCTAAACTAGCTCATGGCAGTCACTGAGACCAGGACCAATTAAAATCAGTAAATACTTTTGGCCCGCCTCTCAGCGTCTTACAGTTTTGAGCCTCTTTCTGACAAATAACACAGTTTTGCAGAGCCCCGAGGCTGTGTCAAGGCTCACACAGGAAATATCTGTTTATTCGGTTTCATGCAAAAAATAGTTAGCATATGAAGGAAGGATAAGTCTGAGAAGAAAACCAAATGGATAGTCAAAGGAAGATAAAACCACACCTCCTAATCTGGAGTGTCATCTTGCTTTTGAACACACTTAGAAAAGGTAAGATTGTTGCTAGAACAACAGAATTATGTAACTTAAAAAGGTTACATTTAAGCTTGAGATTGAAACATAACTGCAGTTTCACCCAGTGGCAGTCTTGAAAGTGCTGTTTGAAATGTTACTGAGAGCATGTCAGAAGGAACAATTTGTCATTTTATGAATTGCTAAACTAAAGCTGCTTTTAATGCATTTTCAGTGCTGTGGTTACTGGACAAAATAGGCAAGAGGTACGTGCAGTTGTTGCTTGAGTTGGGAGATAAACACGCATGCTTTTCAGTGACCAAAATAATGTGCACAAGTCCTTAAAACAGAAAATATAAATCAATTGCAGGAACTGTCATTTATGCTATACTCTACACCTAGCTTAGACATGCACAGAAGCATTTCTCTAATTTATGTAGTATTTTGATGAAATTTATGATTCAAGGATACAATAATAATGTGGTCAGTAGTGACCTTCATTTTAATACAAGGTACAAGTGTACTTCAAAGATGAGAATAATTTACTGTTTAGTGTTCAATACGTTTCTTCAAGCAGCTCTACATACTGGAATTAATTAAATGTTTAAAACTGCACAATTCAGTTGGATGATTTGCTTTTTTGATGCTGATCACAGAATGCAGAAAATGGTTTGTAACCCCTCCCCCCAAACAATGATTTACAGTTGTGCTTGTTCTGAAACTGGCTTCAAAGACAAAACTTTCAATGATAAACAAAACAATTTACAAAATTAATTTGCTTCAGGCAACTTTTCACTTCAGAGAAAATGAGCTTAAATCAGTTGTTTTAATTGACATTCAATTTTAGTTTCTGTGATGATGTAGATGGGTGAATTTAATTGGAATTGACATTTTAATATATGCAAAAGAAACTGCTTAAAGTATATTAACTTTTCACAAGAAATTTCCATCTTCTGGTTGCTTGAAAGAACTACATGTTTTATTTTGTCGTAAAAGCCCAGCAACTTTCATGTATGATGCAGAACACCAAGACACGACTTGACTATGCATGTAGCACTTTCATCAGCAACTTGGTCAGGGCAATTTGGAACTGGAAATAAAAATCTGACTTTTAGATCTAATTTTTTACAGCTAGAAACAGTATAAACTGTATGATTTCTTTTCTCTCCCCCCAAATGTTCTGTGGCTTGAAACACTGCAAAAGGGCCATTCTATATAATTTTCTGTATTGTCATATTTCTGTTCAGTCACATAATTTATGGAAATCAAATTTAATGCCATTTGTTTCTGTTATGTGGAGGCTTGGAAACAGGATATGCAACATTTTCCACTTCAATAAATGACAGTATTGTCATTATAGCAAAGTTGTTTACTCATGATTCAAGCAACAGCTGTCTCATTGAACTTTTAATTTTGCAGACCCTCATCCGTCCCTGAAGCTTTTCTAAACAGCTGTTTAAAATTATTTTGCAGTTATAGCCTTTTTTAAAAAAAACCTTCCTTTCATAACTAATTCTTTTGAGATGCTCCCATTCAGAGGGCGTCTACTGTCTCAGATATTGTCCTATTCTTTGTAGTTGATACACCTCTTAATTACACTCAATGAGGAACCTGAGATTTATGGTTAACGCCTGGTTTTATTGTGTATATTCTTGTACAGTGATAGAACAGGTCTAACTAGTTAAATGGCCTAGTCCTCTAATGTGCAACCCAATGGCACAAAGGAAAGATATGGATTCCAGGAAAAGTAATTAACATGAAATTTACCTCTCTTAAATCCATTCTAGTCTGCATAATTCCGTGGATAAGATGTAGGTATTAAATGCTGTCTATGAAATGCTATGGTACTTTTACAGTTGTTCTCTGTAGAAAGTCATGGAAGGAAGACTTTAACAAATAAATTAAAACACTGAATCAGATGCCTGTAGGTTTGAGACTCATGGGTTCGGGGGAAAGAAAGCATTGATTAGTGTACCTCAACAGGATATGAAATGTAAATACAAAACTGCTATTTATGCAATGATGCTCTAATATGAATGATGTAATGCACACTTCCCCAAACCATTCGGATGAGTAGAAGTGTATGTGTTTATTTTTATTGGACCAATGTTCAGCAAAGGTGATTAGAGTCGTGAATGATGGTCTAATTCTGGATACTGTTAATGGATTCTGAGTCGCCCAAATAGACTTCTGATAACTTTAGTGTTAACTCACCTGATGGAAATCTTCTCTGATGCATCAGAGAATTGTATTGTGATTATTTATGAACTATTAAAAATAAACTAATCAGCCAAATGAGGTGCGAAATGAATGATGTCTTACAAACTAAGTCTTGCAATATAGTAGGTTTACACTAGTGATGAGAAATTCTATGGCCAATTAAGTTTAATGTTTTTTTAAAAAAAATTGAGCTCTTTAAATACATGACACTATACAGCTAAGCTGGCATCTGTAGTACCTATAGTAAAATAAGTAAGGAGAAATCTGCCATCTTCAATGCTCTCTCTATTCAGTATAACTGACAGCAAAAAAAAAGCAGGCAAAATGATGATCAGAGGCAGCTTGTATTAGGATAACTACTTCAAATCAATGTATGGCTATCAAAACAAGGTTAGGCAGTAATGAGATTTATATCATTAGTCTGCTATTAGGATTAATAAATATACCTCTTTGCATTAACATTTAAATACTTGATGAGGTGAATTTGGTATGAAGTACATTGCTTTAAGTTTTTATATATGCCAATCATACTTTTTCGAAAATTGCCTTGAGAGAGTTCAGCGAAATAGCAAAAAAAATCTAAAGGAATTTTACGGTATATTGAAATCAGTTCATTGTTCAGTACAATTGAAGAACTGTACAACCTTGTTTACCTCCTCCCCAAAAAAGCCAAACCAATGCTAGATTAACTTACTAGTAATAAAATTAGTTCAGGAATAGTTTGTACATTTCCACTGTCAACATAATGAGGGGCTATGGTTTCACTAATTTATCCTCTTTATAATGGCACACAACCACATCAAAACATATACCATGTTCTTCAACTGAACATTACAATGCAGTTGCCAAGTGACTCTGAAACAGCTTGGCCTCAACAGTTGATCTCTGTGTTGCATTCTCTCTGTCTGAATTACATTAGTTTTAATTTACAATATCAGCTGGATCTAGATTCTGTGAAGGTGGAGGGAATCTCATTGAAATGCAACCAATTGCTCATCTGAGGATGGCATCTCCAAGACTGCAGCACACCCAGCACTGCGTTGGGAGTGTCAGCTTAGATTGAGCAGGGGAAGTTATATAGTTACTGAGTTATATAGTTAGTGCTGCTTCCACTTTTAAAGCTCTCCAAGATGCTATGTAAAAGGCATTTGTTATATCCAGGTATCTTGTTGCAACATGGTCACTGAAGTCACTGCTAGGCAAGTGCAGTATGAAATAATGGTGTATTTGGAGTGCTTCAGATAGTATCACTATTACTGTACTATGAAGAGTTACTATCAGTGGGTATTTTCACATTTCTTTTTCTGCTGCTGGTGCAGATTTTTCACTTGCAAGTAAAAATGTAAATGTTCTGAGGGATGGAATAATAAGGAAGTACATTTCACAATAACCTTATTTCTGAGTGTTTAGAAAAAATCAGGAAATGTATTTTACAACATTGGGCTTACTCAACATCACATCATCACTGCTTAAGAAAAATCAACATTGAAAAATGGGCAGAATATTTAATAGTGATGGGGCCAATAAGATACCCAGCATTTTGTATCATCCCAACTCTCTAATTTAGTGCTACTACATTTAATAGAAGGAAATTTATTATCGCAAGCTGTTCAACTTCTTGTAAAGAACTAAACATTGTTGGCAAATTAAACCCAACAGAAATATGGAATAATTTTGCAGCACAAATGATTAATTAGCTAAAAACAAATTCACAACATCTTTGCTCAATTGTAAGCAGTTCTACTTCTGAGGCACTAAGCTTTGGAGAAAACCGCACCAGCCATATGGTGGGGTCAGAGTTTTTGTCATTTGGATGAAACCTGAGTCCTGTATAAATACCCTGTTCAAAAAGGAAGTTTTTCCCTGTGTCCTGACCACACATTTTCCAACTAAATTACTCATCCACTTCATGCTTACTTGTCATACCTTACTGCATGTAAGCAAGCGAGTCACTAAGCTTAATGAGCACTCATTGCTGCTTTTGTTTTTGACTCAACTGAATTGCAGTAAAGCACAAACTAGGTTTGCCCTCCTCTCCCATGAGAGAGCGATCACAATGAGTTAGAACCTCTCTGCACATTAGGCAACATCGCTTCCAATGCGTCCAGTGTAAAACACTCGAATAAAGCATGCCAGCGCTCAACAGTTAAATCCTATTCATCTGGAAGGGAAGTGTGTACTTTCACTGTAACATTTGAGTAAACTTCTCAAAAAGAGATTTCAATGAAAAAAGTATTTTCACAGAATTGGCTACAATGGAAAAATTCTACTTCTTTACATTCTTCCAGTGATCACTTTCTTAGTTTAACCACGCATTTTTTTAAATAGAGTAAGCCCTGAAAAATTCTTAAACTTTACCCTGGTTAAAGCGTTTCCTCAGACTATGCCACAATCATTGTTTAGCAAAGGTGGTGAGAGAAGAGACACAAATCATTTGCTTTCACACACGCATGACACGAGGATGCTCAGATGAGAACCATGACCCACCGCACACGCATGTAAACAAAGGACTGACCGGGACGCTTCTCACAGTGTCCTTTTAAAACAGGCGTAACTTGGTGCACAGATTGTGCTGCAAATAATGCAAATAATGGAGCATTGTAAGGAATTGGAAATGTAGTGGGTGTATGTGTGGGCGTGGAGGCTAAGACCTTGTCACTTTCTGTAACTGTAATTACCAATTTTGGAGATTCTTGGAAATTAAAACCAACAGTAAAGATCAGTCTTTCATACTTTTGAGTTTTAAAAAAAGTCCTGTACATTGTGAACCCGACTGGAAGTAAAATAATAACAGTAGCTCCCTTCTTGAAGTCCATTGA